CAAAGATCTCGCTGCTATTTGCTGATGACGGTTCATACAACTATCCCGCCATCGATGCCCTTCGCCGCCCCTCCGCCCCCTCCCCCTCCATCTTACCCCCTACCACCGACCATGCGCCGATCCAGGAGCCTCCATTAAAGAAGGCCAAGCGGGTCATCGATGAAGACGACTATGGCGATGACGACGACGAAGACGATGAAGACGCGACGGATGCCGACGCGCACAAGTCGAAGAACGGCACCGCGGCTGCCGGCGCCGGCTCCCTCCTCTCCCCCTCCAAGTCCGGCAGTTCGCCCGTGCACTCCGTGAGCTCACCCGGCAAGCAACTCGATAAACTCAAACAAGCCGACGGTTCCCAGGACCTCGCAAAGACGAGCGAGGATGCGCGCAAACAGTTACAAGAGGCGCGCAACGCGACCGAGGAGGCCGCCAGACGCAGCTTCCATACAGTATTCTATACCCTCGAAAACGACCGCACCGCCATGCTCGAGCAGCAGCAGCTGGAAGAATCAGAAAAGCAGTTGCAGGCAGAGATGGAAAACAACAATAACCATACCACTACCAACGGCGCCCAAGCCGAGAACCACGGCTCGCTCAGCAGCGCCAACCTCGGCGCGTCAAGTCTGACCCTCAAGCATCTGATTGCGAGGATAGACTTGAAACGCGACCAAGTTCGCGCATCAGACGCGGAACTGCGATCATTGATGAACGAAGTACGAAAGAACCGAAGTAAATGGGCGAGCGAAGAGAACGTCAACCAAGAAGAGTTGTACGAAGCCGTCGAGAAGGTCTTGACAGAATTGAAGGCACATACGGAATACTCGACGCCCTTTTTGCAAAGGGTGAACAAGAGGGATGCGCCTGATTACTACATACGTAAGTCTCTAGGCAGACGGATTTCACCAGGATTGGCTAATGACCCCCGCAGTGATCAAGCAACCGATGGACCTGGGAACCATGACCAAGAAGCTCAAGTCTCTCACGTACAAATCCAAGGCGGATTTCGTCACCGACCTTAACCTGATATGGGACAACTGCCTGAAATACAACCAAGATATGGGACACCCTCTCCGCCGCATGGCCAATGGAATGAGGAAGGAGGCAGAGAAGCTTATCCCCCTCATCCCAGACCTTGTTATTAGGCCACGAGCCGAGGTCGAGGCCGAAGAGCGACGGAAGCAGAATGGCGGCGAAGAAGACGGCGGTGATGACTCAGACGACGAGCCGATCATGTCATCTCGTGGGCGTACAGCAGGCACCAAGGGCGGCAAGTCCAGGAAACAGCCAGCCGACCAGAAAGAGGGCACACCGAGTGTCGATCAGAAGCCGCTGCTCCAACTCAACGGTCTGCTTGCCAAGGGACGGGAAGGCTCCGAGGCCGTCGACGGTAGCAATGGCTTCGGTACACCAATTGGCGGGTCAGCCACCCCTGGCGGCATCAACGGGCACTCCGGCATCGGAAGCAACGCCGACGCCATGGACATTGACGGACCGACCCTGAACGGCATGGCTTTAGGGCAGGCGCTCAACGAGGCAGCAGAACAGGCTTACGAGGACGACGAGTACAAGATCTGGAAGCAAGTTACAAAGAAGGATCGTGCGCTCATCGCCAAGGAGCGGTACCAGCTCTTCAAGGATAACAGGCTCAATGTCGACGCACCTGCACTCCTCCGAAACAAGGCAGGCATTCGCTGGTACTTGAGGAACCAGAAAGAGGCCGAGTCCTTGGGCGTCATCAGCCACTCTGCCGACTCTTCAGCCATCGCCGCCAAGGAAGCAGCAAAGCCTGCCGAGACTCTTGCGGAGGGCATGGAAGGCGAAGAGGAGAAGGTCGTTCCCGCGTACTACGAGCCTCTGACGGTCATCCCCGACATCCAGCCCAAGCTACAGTGGATCGAGGACGGCGAGGGTCACGTCATTAACCAGCACGAGGAATATCTTCGGCTGATCCCTGAAGGCCACTTTATTGCGCCGAAGAGCAAGTTGACCAGCAAGATCGACACCAACATTCGTCAAATCCAAGAGACGAGGAAACTATCGAGCAAGATCGGCGTGATTAAGCAGATGCAGATCCAGACTCAGGTTTGTCCGACGACGCAGCTAAGAGAACGAATCTAATTTTTCCAGGTTTACAACAACCAGTTTCCCAAGTCCAACTACGAGGCGTTTGTCGAGCAGGACGCCGAGCCCTCTTTCATCGCCGACGACGGGCCCGTCATTGCCCCGGAGACCTGCCACAATGCCCTGCAGCGGTCCGTGGCCAAGATCCTCTACCACACCGGTTTCGAAGAGCTCCAGCCTTCTGCCATCGACACTCTGACCAGCATCGCGTCCGACTATTTCGAGAAGCTCATCCACACGTTCAATGTCTATCGGGAAGCTGAGAAGAAGGAAGCAGTTCGTTCTGAACACGGACCTCGATTCCAGAACCGCTTCACTCCTGAGGAGGTCATTTTGCATACCCTGGACGAGAACGGCTGTGATTTGGTCAACCTGGAGTCTTATGCGAAGGACGATATCGACAGGCTGAGCACGAAGCTTGGCGGTATTCACGAGCGCATGAAGCTGCATCTGACCGAGCTGCTGCGTCCTGCCCTTACCCAAGAAGCTGGCCAGGACGGAGTCGGAGCCTTCAAGGACGGCAGCGAGCAGTTCGTTAGTGGCGACTTCGCAGAGGACCTTGGTGAAGATTTCTTCGGATTCAAGGCGCTCGGTCTGGATAAGGAGATGGGTCTTGATATGCTCTCGGTTCCTCTTCACTTGCTCCAGTCTCGCGTGCGCAACCAGTACCAGATGCAGACACAGACCACCGGCACCGAGGTCACAGACTTGTTCGACTCGCTGCCGCCTGTGGACCCCGTCACTACGGAGAACATCCACGGACAGATTGGCTTGATCAAGAACTTCTTCCTCGCCAAGTTGCATGCCAATAGCGACGCTCCCCTCGTCGAAGACGAGGAGCTGCCTGTCAAACAGAGGAGGCCTCGCCCGCGTCTTGGTGCATCCGGAAAGATTGTCTCTCCGCAGAAGCGACCTCCCAAAGAACAGATCGCCCTCGCCAAGAAGAAGAAGAAGATGGAGTTGGCGGCGCAGGCTCAGAAAGAGCAAGGTGCCGTCAACGCTTCTCCCGAGAAGGGCGGCAACACCACGCCGGCGAAGAAGGTCAAAAATGCCAACATCAATGGTACAGGCCCCAACCCGGCTGCAATCGCCCTTCCCCCTACCATGGAGCGGAACGAGAGCGTGCAGAGCCAGGGCAATGCCAGTCAGACCGACAAGGATGAGGGCATGGGCATGATGAGCCCCGAAAGCATTGAGAGGTGATATTGATCTTGTCCGCACTTCTCCGTATATATACCCCCCGCAAATACGACCTGGACGGTGTGATACTGTCTTGCCGCCTCTAGAACGTAACCCCACGGCTTCTACTTTACTACCTACCACCCCAGGCACATGGTCTCATCACTGTACTCCACGCCTGGGCCGTCTGTTATCATACATTTTCAATATACGTTTCCCCCTTTTTTCATCCCTCGGCGTTGGGTTCGGATCATCATTCGATCGTATGGGAAGGGAGACGTAATGCAGACCAAACTACATGGCATGCTATTGCTAAGAATATTGGGATACCCAAAAGCCAACGACTGGCCTTTTTTTCAGGGACTCTGTGCTGTCACAGAAGGCCAAAGAGTGGCCACATTTTTATCGGGCGGATCGTCATTTTTTGAGACGCGGCAAATTTGAATTACTGTTTCTTTCAGTCTCGTCCTTCATTCCGTGGCCCTAGCCGACAGTCCTTGCTTGGTGTGCCGCGGCGCGGAGAAACCATGCCATGGACCGGGGATGGTACACGTTTCCTACTACACTCTTGGCTATTATAGTGCACGACCTCAAAACACCCGCCCTCAGTATGAGTCCAGGGGAGGGAAAACTTTTTTTCGCGTAAGAAAGACATGGTTTTCGGATGGGGATTGACTGACGGATTGGAACGGCAACCCCGCTGGGTGGCATCGATATCGTGTTTCTTGGTTTGGTCTCGACGCGATTTTAAAATTCTGTTTCATGGCATGCGGAACGTGGACATGCCTTCTCTTTGTCTAAGGTTGACGTGATGTTAGGGGAGGTAAAGCTGATAGATGAGGGGGTGGCTTATTTGCGTGATGTTGGAGAGTCGCAGTAGTGAATTGACACGAGTTGAATGAAGTTGCCCGATTGCATGTCATGTGTTGTGTGTTACGTCAACGTCTAGTCGAAGATGAGGATGGTGTTTATCCAAGGCAAGGTCAAACATGCTCATCATCAGAAATGGCATGCACTACGAAGAGAGAGTAGTAGTCTTCTTCACAACCCTGAACAAGCCAGAGACAGCAATGAAAACAAGAAAAGGGTGCATCAACCTGGAGGCAGTGTAATACCAGGGACACACTAGAAAGTTCCAAAGATTAAAAAAGGTTGTAGAACCCCCTATACGAGGGACCTGTCGTGTAGTTGTAGACCCCCCTATGCGAGGGACCTGTCGTCAAGTTGTAGACTCCCCTGTGCGAGGGGCCGTCGAGCCGGGAGAGCCCGCCCCTCCGCCGTATCGGGCGGGACTTTCCTGTGAAGATGTCAGTAAGGACGAAGAAGAGGAGCGGGGCGAGGACGAGGACGAGTATGAGGATGAGAATGAGGAGAAGAATTGAGAAACTGCAGGGGGGCTAGCGGCTGGCCTTATATTGTTTCCCAGCGGGTGCCGCGATCAGTAACCGACCGCAGCGGTTCTTGAACGAGAGTCGTCAGAGAAAGGTAGGGTATGGCCAAAGAGGTTGAGAAGTAAGGACTCTCGAAGAACGCAACGCAACCGAGTTCTCACACACAAGCTAATTGTGTCAACGGTATATCCAGGGGTTCTCAAATTTCCTAAAGCTAAATTTAATGGACCAGTAGATCGCAGGCCCTGGCCAGGCACCATCCTTTGCAGCAAATGTATTGTGAACTCAAACGAACTGATGAGCGCCCCTCTAGTTCCATACAAAGAGTGTGTTTGCCAAGAAACTACCCATAGCAGCACCACCACTTTGCCTACTGAAGTATCCTATAAGTCTCATGCAGTCTTTGGAGGAGAAGCCTTCGGTGAGCATTAGATACTTGATGGCCATGCCGATGGGGAACGGGGCAGCGTGCATTCCAAAGGTTCCAGCTTCGGGTTGGAAGAAGACCTCGACGGCGTCGGCGATCAAGAGACAGTATGGCCGCGGGTTTGTCCGCTCTGACAGCTCCATCACCTCTATACCTGGCAAGTTTAAGGTGCTACTCAGCACTGCGCGAAGTGAGCTGTAGACTAAAATACAGACAGTCCAGAAGCATGTCATGACGTGGGCGACGGCGAGTTCGTCGGCAGTGGGGTTTTTGTATTTCCGCTCGTGTAAATCGTGGAGGATGTCGGTGGGCGGGCTGAGATTTTCGAGCCACCATACAATCTCCCGGTCCAGACGCTGGTATGTCTTCATGAAGTGCTGGCAATTGTAGTCGCTTGGGTTGCTTTTCAAAATGTCGACTTCCTCGAGTAAAGCTGGGACGTCGGTGAGAGTGTCTAGTATGACGTCCTTTGGGATCTTTGGGATTTTGGCCCACGGAACTGTCTTCCATGCCATGTCGCTAAGGAAGCTTCTCTTTCTACTCATGCACCCAGCTATGGCCTATTCAAGTCAACTTCCGCTTGCTGAATCTCACTGGATGTAAACTTACGAGGTGCATTCTCACTCCCGAGAAGATATGCTGTGCGTGGCCTTCAATAAACGACTTGGGGCCTCTTTGTTGGATAAGAGCTAGCTCACCCAAGATGTGGTTATGCCAGCTTCTCACCTGAGATCCGTCGGCCTGGACGCGCTCCTGCGTTCCGTACAGAAGCTTGCCACTGTTAGTATGGGATACGTCAAGAATACACAGGCAACTTCACCTCAAAGAGTCCAAGTCCCTGCGACGCAACCATGATGGCGTCAGACTTCCATCTTTTGGAATGTTGCAGGCTTACATTCACCTCACTCAAAGCCTGAACGTACGTCTGGAACCCCTTCGCAGTGGAATATGCCTGGCCATCCTTTTGTCCTAGAGTGCTCAAGGACATGGCAATCAAGCTTCGACGCAGCCCATCGTCATCGTGGTAAAGGTCCCTAGCCGAAGAGACCCAGCTGTAGACAGGGTAGTTGGCAGATATTTCGGCGGAAGGAGTTCCACATGGGGACCGGGCATCCCACAGAAGGCTGATGTACTTGTCCTCATACGCAGAGCGAGCCAGCGAATGTGGGAGCACTACATCGGTACAAGACGGCTTGAACGTTGTCCGTTCAGCCTTCCCTGGCCCTGTTACGTTGATGAAGACCTGTCGTCGGTCATATTCACATGTGATGTTAAGCCTTGAGCAGTTGCCGCAGATTGGCTGTTGGAGATCACACTTGGACAGGTCAGGTCTCCGGATTTGAAAAGGCAACACCGCGTGTTCACTTACACCCTTCTTCCGCTGCCGACATGTCCGACAACCCTTGGATCTTCCTGCAACGCCGACCATTGTGGAAGATTGTGCTGACTTGGCAACGTAGATGGAACCCTGGCCACACGTCGGGGCGCAAAATAACTACTTCCAGTCCAGAAATGTCGACGAAAGACGCAATCTGGCGGGAGGTATGCAGACCTTTATCTATCTACCCGCTCGAAGGAGCTCATTCTGCGCGCCAATCAAGAATAAGACTTATGTAGCCCTACGGCGTAGCTGACAAGATTCAGGGCAGATGCGGGGGAGACGACATGTCTGCTGGCAAGATGCGCCCGACTGAGACACAAGAACCAATCACGACTAACTCCCGATTGCCTCTAAGCCCAAAAAGGACCATTTTGCGCCGTCGGTATTCCTATGTCTCTGCTGTATGCAAGCCAAGTCTCATGTGTTGCATCGCTTGCGAATGTGCGAAATCAACATGATATTTCGAGGCTGCGGTTGAATGGTTTACAACAAGACATTTGTAAGGTGAGGCCTCGTGTATATAAATGATGGTGTTGCTCTGTTCTGGACTACCAGTTGTCTCCTGCCTCCTCCTTCTATCCATCAACTTGCCTCTTCCCTGAGCCTGCACATACACACAGCATCAAGAGTTGCCCTTTTATTGCAGCTACTCACAATGGCTGCAACAAACCAACCCAACAACTTCGCCGCCAAACTTGGCAGGATACACGAACTTCTGGGCTTCCGAAAGAGGTATCACTTCATCCTCTTCGTCAACTTTGCGGGCGCCCTCATGGGGTTCACCCTAGCCCGCCTGATGTATCTCAACTTTGACAAGGTCTTCTGCGGACCGGGCTTCAGCACAACTGAGCGCGCATTACCCGGCGAGTGTTATTACTACCGCAACTTCACCGTAGACCGGATCGGGATCATCATGCATCTCGCATGTATCTTGCCTGCATCGTTCCTCGTCTGTTGGCAGTTCGTCCCCGCCATCCGGCGCAGATGGATCATCTTTCACCGAATCAACGGCTATGTTATCCTGACATTGTCTGTCCCGGGCACCATTGGTGCACTTATGCTTGTAAGACATGCTGTTGGCGGTGGTTTAGAAGTTCAAGCCTCCGTTGGATTCCTCTGTCTCGGTTTCTTGGGTTCACTTTTCATCTCGATCATTCAAATCAAGAGATTGCAGATTGAACAGCATCGCGCTTGGATGCTTAGAGCTTGGTTTTATGTAAGTTACCGCCTCGCCATCGTTGAACCTTGCTGACCTAGCCTTGACAGGCCGGCGCCATCATCACATTGAGACCGATTCTTCTTCTTGCGGCGCTTGTCATCAGCAAGCAAGGAGGATATTACGTCTCTCTTCCTTGTGCAGTGATCGAACACATGCTGGGAGCCGCGAATGTGAATAACACCGCGGTCGCAACGTCTTTCCTCTTTGAGGGGTGTACCCCCTACACGTCGGGGGAAAATCCGAACCAGCAGGTGCCGATCGAGGCGAACTTCTTTGACAGGTCAACTCCTGCACCAGCCACGGCATCTCTACACGCCAGTTTCGGTATGGCTGGATGGTTGGCGGGCGCAATACATGCAATTGGAGTGGAAGTCTACGTGAGTTTCGTGAACGACCCTACCCAGGCAAATACTAAAATCGATAGCTGCGTCTCACTCCAAAGGAAGCAGAGAGACTTCGGCATGTGTCCTACCAACGACAGCTGGAAGCCGGCATGCGCAACCCTGGCAGTGCAGGTCTGACGGTAGACAGACTGGGAGTTGAAGATAAATGGGAACCAAAGGATTCCGGACGACGTGACGGAGACGGCGGGAATTCTCAGGACTCGGGCAACTCATGTCTTGAGACTGGAAGTACGGAGAAGCAACCTCAGGGCTATGCTGAACGATCTATAATGTAGCTTACTCACCATTTGTACCAATGTTGTTATCCGCGCGATGTAAAAGCAAGCCCTACGAACAAGGCACAACCTCTGGGCAAAACACCAAAACATCAAAAACATACAACACCGGGCATTCGCCGGTCGTCACCGACCCGACTACTACTCCAGCCCTCACTGGCTTATCTATGGGAGAGCGGACGGGATCCCGAGTTTTCCAATGGGTATGGTTGTATGTGGTGGTTAGATATCGTGAGATTGAAGATATGGCCATCAGGGTGTCAGAGTTTCCACAACGAACGAACTCAAACTGCTCAAAGACTCACGAAGAGTCATATGACTGCTTAGGAAAACTCGCAAGGTTTGAAAACAATCATGGAGACCGCCTTTTGTGGGGTCGCTTAAGACCCAGTTCACCCAGTTATTGATAGTGGGCTCAACCTTGGAGCCTCACCTCACCTCTATTTAGAGAACCTTGGGCTTTAGGGAAAGATCAGTCCTGAGGACTTGCTTTAGAGTTGATATGGTTGACCCTTTTTGCCCTTCCTTCCTTTTTGGCCATTTCAGCACAATGGAACTTTAATTTTTGGCACCTTCCTGCCCTTCTCTTCTCCTATTGCTCCCTTTTTAAGGAAGGCATCGCCGCTTCGGTCGGGCATTCTTTTCTCTTCCTTCCTGGCAACAGTTCCCCTACTATCAACGTTTAATGCAGTATTTCTTCACTGAACCAAAAAATGGCCATGCAAACTTCTCGCGCTCTTCCTCCTTCCCCTCCACTTCCTTCCCCTGCACTTCCCTCCCTCCCCTTCGCCCTCCCCTTCACCCTCCGCCCTGCCCTCCACCTTGCCCTCCCCGACACTTCCCTGTCGGCCAAAGACATGGCGAACCGTTTCTGAAAGTTACCCCTGCGCCATACATGCAAGTCCTTCCTGTCGGTCTTTCCAAAAATATGAGGTAGCTAACAGGCTGTTAGAATGTCTGAATTCAGACTGGCGGACGAGGCGGCGGAGGAGATTCTCGCGTTCCTGGGCCTCACCTACGAGATCGACTTGTGGAGCCATGAAGTCCCCACGTCTCTCATTCACCTCAGCGAGTGCGATCAGGACGTCTTGTCCGAGCTCTACGTTTCTTACTTGATGCCAACCGCTCGTTCAATCTGGTGGCAACCCAACTACTATGGCATCAAGGAAAGGCTGATGGTCGACCAGAAGGAAAAGCGCGCCACTACGAAAAAGAATGGCGTAGTTGAGAGAAAAGACGTCGTTACGAAAAGACTTCTAGGCAAGAAGTACCCTCTCTTGGAGAACAAGGCCTGGAGACAATGCCATGCCAAAGCGAGCAAGGTCCTTCGAATTTGGCGCAAAGATCTCTCGCGTCTCTTCCCCGAGCTTCGACCCGACGACTATGTGCCAGAAGACGAGCTTGCTGACGAGTCTGCTGACGAGCTTGCCGGCGAAGATGAAATCACAATTTCAATGAGTAACCGCGGTAGCAAGCGGAAGGCAGAGGCCGCCGCAGAACCCAAGCCGAAGAAGCTCAAGACAATCGCGGCTGCTCCTCCTAAAAGCCCCCACGAATCCAAACCAGTATGGCAGACTTCCACGCCCTCTCAACGTTGCGCCATCTCTTTTCTCATCACGCCCCCTCAGAGCGGTGGGAACAGCCCAGTCCTCGGCGATCTCGACGATTTCGACGACACCGACGACCAAGCCCCCCTCCCAATGGGCAGACGACGAGGCTGTCCGGTCCGCACTCTCGAAAGAACACCGCCTCCTATCTCCTGCCCTCCGCCCTCCGCTGCCTTACCTATTCGCGCTATGTTTTCCAAACCTGGAGCGGCACTCAAGCAGGAACCCGATACCAGCGAGGATGAAGATGAGGATATCTTACCAATGGGAAGACGACGAGGCCGACCGATTCGCACTCTTGAGAGAACCACGCCCGCCATCTCCTGCCCTCTGACCACCACCGATCTTCCCATACGCGCGATCTCGTCGAAGCCAGTGGAGGCACCCAAGAAACAGGATCCTACGAAGCCCGACGACGAAATCGAGTTCGTTAGCAAAGCCGTTTACGAGGCCGTCGTTGCAGGACGCCAAAAGACGGAGCGAAAGATCAAGAAACTGGGCAAGAAGATTAAGAGCCTGAGCAAGATGATTGAGAAGCTGAACGAGGACATCCAAGCTTGATCGGTCTGCGTTGCGAAAAGGGGAGGAATGGCATCAGAGCCGCAGGGTGTCGCTAAACTGAGCTTACACTTGGAATTGCATAGCAAGATGGATTGTGCATGAGCGGTTGGACAGCTGAAGACTCTTTGGCATTAGCTGGACGACTTGGAAGTGGCTTATGTTAAGGGTTTTATAAAACCCAGCCAGCCAGTGGTTTTGCAGTAAGGGATCCAAAATGGTCTATAAAGTACCAATTTTACAAGTAATCCTTACTTAATACTATTACTTCACTAGCATCATTTTCTTGAGCCCATCATTCGTGCCTGCTGTGCCCCCTTTATCTCAGGTGTCCTATGGATGGGATCCTCCTCACGAGTACTCAGAAGTGTTTGCAAAAGCAGAGGGTACTTATATCAAAGTCTTCTACAGGACCGCCTCAGTAGATCAACCAGCCAGACGGGACATACATTATCCACGATTACTCAATACCGAAAAACCTCTCAAGCTACTTCTCCTTACGCTCCCTCTTAAAAACCATACGAAGCAAACAAAAGGGTATTCAAATCTTTCTTCTCCTTTATTTCATCACTCGCCATTCAGTCCCATTACTGCCTGAATGAATCTTCAACTTTGCCGGCTGCTTTCACGAGACTCCAAAACGAGAATCACCTCCAAAATAGGAAATCACGCCAGACAGCTTCGGGAAAGGCCTCGCCGCCTCATGCCATGCACTCCCAATCCCCGGTCAACCCGAGGGACACTAGCCAATGACATCCGTGGCGATACGCTTCTCTGCCGCCCTTGCATTGCGGCGAGGCGGGGATGTGGTCTTGCATGTCTTAGCCTGCAGTGACCTATTCCGCATGTTAGTGCGGGGAGAAGGATGCTGCAGAGAAGTTCAGAAATCCGGGAAGAATAGGATTATCGAGAGAAGTTGGTAGCAGCTGCTCTGTAGTCTAGCAGAGGTTGAACAAGCATCTTTTGAGCCATTTCGCCTTCTTGGTCATAGAAGACCTCACCGCATCAGCTGAGAGCTTAGTCAAACCCCACGCCCCAGATTCTCCAGACTATCCTACGTTTACTCTCAATGCGTTGGGCTCAACCGTCCTACCTTCATTGTAACCCGCAGCCTGGTTCGTGTGATTCCTTATTTAAAAGGGCATTCTAAGGCTGCTGGCTTTGGTTATCAAGTAATCTCTCCAGTGGTTACACGAACAAATTGTAGTGGGTGAGGTCTTGGTCAGAATTCATCGCTGCATGTCTGCAACCTTTACGACGTCCCTTTGTCAAAACCTGCGCATCACGTACATTGTTCAAGACCATCAAGCACCTGCACACAAATCAAGAGAAGTATCACACATCGTAAGCCATTTAAAGTGTGGGCGCGTTCGCGCCATGCAATTGCATTTGTTGATCCTCTACGCATGATCCATACCCAGTAAAACGATTTAGTGGGATCCAGGTAGCAAAATGATGCCTCCTAGATTTTTCCCTTTTCTAACTTCAGGCCGTCCTCTGAAATTTAGCGGCCCTCCTTCTCGAGACCCTCCAGCTCCTTGAGCACAGAGGTCTTGGTGCCAATCTTCTTCATCTGGGTGTCCTCAAGCTTCTCGCCTCCAGCCAGTCTCATCTCGAGGTCCTCGATGGCACGCACCTTCTTCTGCAAGCTGCGAATCTTCTTCGCGTTGGGGTTCTGGCCGTCAGCGCCGGCGTCGTTGGCCGCCGCGGCCTGCTGTGCGTTGTTGGGCGCCTGGGGCGCGCCGTTCTGGCCACGGTGGGTGTTGCTCCTGTTACGAGGCGCACCCGGGTTGCGAGAGTGGCTGCGGTGACGGTGGTTGTTACCGCCGCCGCCGCCGCCACGGCGCTCGGGGCTGCGACCCTCGTGGCCGGATCTTCCAAAGTCGCGCGGGGGCGGGGCAAGGGAAGCTCCGCCGCCGTTCTGACCCTCGGGGTTGGCCTCGCCCTCCTTCTTCTTGTTGTTGCGCTTCTTCTTGTTCTTGAGCGCCGCCTTGGACAAATTCTCATCGCCTTCGGCGGTCTCAGCTCCCGGGATCTTGGGCGCCGCTCCGGGAACAGAAAACTCCGCGCCGGGCACACCGCGACGGGGGCGGCCAAATCCGTTAGGTCCAATGGGCGCCGAACCGTTGTTCATGCTGACGTGAGCGGCACCTCCCTCGTCCTCACGCTTGAAGTGGAGGGGGGTAGCGAGGCCACGGGCACCAGGGGGGCGGTAGGCTCCCGCAGGCTTGCTGGGCGTCTTGACAGAGCCGAGATACGTGGCCGCGGACGCGTGCGGGGCGGGGATGGGGTTCATGGGGTCGCCACCGGCCACCTTGTCAAGCGCCTGGGGTCTCCAGAGAACGTTGTACAACTCGACCATATCCTCGTTGTACATGAGGGCACCGCTGACGTGCCAGAGCTTGACGCCGTTGTCGACACGGAGACGGGGAGAGGTGGTGGCCGTCATGATGTAACGGCTGTCCGGGCTCCACGTGCACACGCTGGGGTTTCCGCCCTCGATGGTGTAGAGCTTGCGGAAATCCTTCTCGAGGTCGTAGATGTCAATCTGGCCAGCCAGATTACCGAAGCCAGCAACCAAAGCGAACCGACCAGTGGGCGAGAAGATGATGGTGTTGCGGGGCCCAAGGGGGAACGAGTGAGTCGCGACGGCTCGGTGGTTGAAGATGGTGGTCTTCGCGGGCATGTATCCGTAGACGACACCGAACTCCTTCGAGTTCGGGGACCAGGAAACGTCGTGGATGGGGCCCTCCTTGTCGAGGCTGACACGGGCGTCAAAGGAGCCGTTGACGCTGAGCAGGTACAGCGTGGTCTCGCCGTAGTAACTCTTGTTGGACTTGTCGACGTCGGTCTGGGCTAGCACGAGGATGCCGGTGCCCAGCTGGTTCCACTTCAGCTGGACCTTGTCGCCCTTGAAGAAGGTCTTCTGGGAGATGGGGGCGTTGAACTGGGGAACGTTGAAGACCTTGACGGCAGCAGGTTGTCCCTGGACAAAGTTAGCAATTGCATTGGCATGTTGACTTGGCGTGTAAACGTACCTTGCGCTCGGGAATGAAGACTGCAACGGCGTAGGAGCGGCCGGGCGCCAGAGCAAAGTCGGCAACGCCCTCGGCTCTCAGCTTGTTCCAGACGGTGCCGAGATCGTGGCTCTCGTAGAACTGGACTTCGTTGGTGACGAGACGGGCACAGTACTTCTCGTCGGCCGTGTACTGAAGGTTCCAGCCTCCTTGAGACTTCTGGACGTACTTGCCCAGGGGCAGCTTGTCGGCACCAGCAACACCCTCCTCGACGGTGCGCCAGACCTTCAGGTTCTTGGTCGCGTCTCCATTCTCGTCCTTGGCGGGTCGCTCCCAGGTGATGAGGAAGGTGCCGAGAGGAGAGAAGCCAAGCTCGTAGACGTTGAGGATGGGGAGGGCGAGGACCTGCTGGCCAGTGGAGGCGTCGACAACAGTGACAACTTCGGGGCTCGCCCAGGCAAAGTATCGGCCGCAGGGCGAGTATCCACAACACCGGAGGTTCCCTTCGGGCTTGACGAATCCAGAGAGCGGCTGGTAGGCCGGGGCAGCATCAAACAGGCCGATGCCCTTCTGGGTTCGGTAGGCAAACTGCAATGATGAGGACGCCATAACTAGTCAAAGTCACAGTGTGTATCTAGAGCAGATGTCTGTCGGAGTATTTGGACGTTCTTGGGTGGGATTTGATTCTTCTTCAATCGGGGGTGAGACCTGAGGTCGTCGTCGTCGATGTCGATGTCGATGTCGTCGGGATGGGCGGACAAAGGCAGATGGAGCTTGGTGAAAGTTGCTTGTAGGTCGAACAGGGGACACGGAATATCAATGGATGTTCCGGCTATGCTCGTGTGCAAGGAAGCTTGTTGTGATGGAATCGTCGGCGAGCGAACGAAACGAGACGGGCGATGTTTTCTGATCTAACGTCGGGATTTGATAGACAAAGCTGGCGTCGAAAAAGTCTTGAAGGCTTGTCGACGAGATGGCGTGTGACTGAGCAGCGAATGAGCTGACGGAGCAATCTTGATTCGTCCGGGGATGATCGAGATGTGCAGAGACACACGGGCGATGGGCGAGGAGGCAGACGACGGGGATTCGACGACTGGACAGCTAGGCTGGGCGATGACCGATTGACGGATTGAGCGACGAGAACCCAACGAAGAAAAATGGGAAGAACGCGAGGGGAGGAGAAGGGGAATGGGGAGAGAAGCACCCTGAGGGGGGATTGGCGTGCAACGGTGCGTGTTGTTGTGTGGGCTGGAGAAGGGAAAGGGAAAAAGAGAAGGGTAGGAAAGGCGAAGTGGGATTTTGTGAATATTTTTTTTCTACTTCCGTCGCCTTCGCGGGTTCGCCATGGGCACTGGCACTGGCTGGATTGGATTGCTGGCTGCTTGCTGGCACACCCCGGTCGCCTCACCTCTGTGTTTTTTTCTTTCTTTTTTTGCCCGAGCACTTGCCAGGTACCTTGTCACTGGGGATTCAGTGGAAAGTACCTACCGGCCCGTTGCTTGAGGTGCTGCTGGCCGTGGTTGGCTTGGGGGTGTGAGATGGTCTGTTGTCTGCCAATGCAAGTACCACTGTCCAAGATGCTTGAGGGCAATCTGGCCCCATTGCACACGCTCATAACTCGGTACATGTGTAGCTGACTGGTCACTGGACGGTCCAAACAGAGAGTTATTTATACGATAATCATATTTAGCTCCTCCCAAGACGTCGTATGGAGGGCGGTTTGCTGACGTGGTGTCAGGTGTCCTTCAGCTCTGCTGAAAGGTACATGTTAGAGTCAATGCCAGTGCTGAAAGCCACAGCACCGTCCGCCGGCCGCATCCACTGAGGGTGGTGACTGGACCACCATTTCAGCCCAAAGGTGACCTCCCTAAGTGAGGTGGCCCACAACTCCCGGGCCCGGCCTTGTTCCATGGGATTTCCAGCGCGCAAGGCGTGGCCCTAGTCTCGGCTGCTCCCTCCAGGCGCCGCGAGAGCTTCTGGGCCAATCACATGTTCCCACCCGCTTACGGCGCCGGCATTCAAAGACCTCTGGTCCTCTGGAGGAGGGAAGGGTCCAGTGCTTTTTAGTGGGATGGCTGCTTAGACCCAATCGTTGCCTCGTCCCGCCTGGATTCTGTACGTGTCTTATTCATCGCTTCTTCACCAAGTCCATTGGCTTGCTGTGTTTCGTCTCCTCGTTGATATTGTCATCTTTTTAAAACAGGTGACGGCTCTCGGTCTAGCTGGCCAACAACCACAGCATGGCCTTCCCACGATTCTCCCAAAACCTCACCACCGGCACCGGAACCCGTTGCCGTAATTGCAAGGCTAAGGTTGCTGCAACGCGGGCACGGCACTGACACCTCCTCGAATCAGCCACAGCCTCCGTCCGCGACAGGGACAGGACCTCTGCCGTCGCCGCATGAACCGCGTGGATTCGGCCCTTGCGCTGCGTCTCCGCATGACAAGGACGGAAATTAAGGCGCGCCTTCTGTGCTTCACACAGGGTTTCCTTCCACTGATTCCAGCACAACAGATACCAGATTGGCGAATGTGAGGCGGACCATTAGCATTGACTGCATCTGCTTGGTGTCAGCTCATCAATGACGGCGGCCGTATTTTGTCCAGGGTGACTTAGGGTGACTTACTCTAAAGTTTCATTGAACCTCACGGATTGCAGGGGTCGTATCGGTGTCTATGGCTGATACGTCTTGGACCATGGCGATGAATGCTTCAGCGTGAGCTCGGCATGCCATTGTCCGAAATTCTTGAAAGTAAATACCAAGATCCGCCTCGTCACCTACTCGGGCACTCCCGCCCAACATCCGGCAACGGCCTCAACATCGGCAGCGGACCCAGCCAGCCCTCATCACCGCCCTCCGGACCCCTTGACGGGCCCGGCGAATCAAAGTTGTGCGTCGGTCGCCGTGAGAGCACCGCAAGCTCAATGTCGTAGTCCTCTCGCCGCGGCTCGCTTCTCTCTGTCTCCGGGCTCATGTTCGGCGTCCAGTTCGGCGTAGAGGCCAGCCTGTCCCTGCTCGTGGCGTTGGTGCTCCGCACCCACGTCCTGTTCCGCGTGCTCCCGCCCGTGAACCTTGAGCAGCAAGACGAAAACGTGTCAATGTACTTTTTCGAAGTGTTCCTCCACCACGACGACGTCGACCGCGGTGTGTTGGGCGATATCCTACGGAGGGACCGTTGCTCGAGGAGGTAGTTGATGGAGGGAAAGCACGCGCATATCAGCCCGATGGCGAGCTCTCCGGTGCTGCTGGTTGTCAGCAATGCGTCCCATTGTGTGGACGGGCCCAACTTACACGGTCCAGTCGAGCGGGACAAAGTCGACGGTTGGATCTGTCGTGTCTTCGAACTTGAGCACGAGGTACATCCGATAGGCGGTGATGCCTACCGCGACGCCGCCAGCTCCCAACAGTCCTACGATTTTGACCTTTTTCAGCAGAGAAACACGCAGGGTCCACGTCAGGATCACGGGGATCAGCAGGATGGCGAGATCGGATACGATGCCCAGCGTGGTGTCGTATATGAACAGCTTTGTCTGGTTGATGCACTTGAAATTCCGTGTTGTCGGATCCCAGAAGGCGTTGATGGGGATGCAGACCAGTGTCTTAGCGACTTGGGCCGGGAAGTAGCAAATGAGGAAGAAGATCAGCAGAGCGTGCAGTGTCCGAGCGACGAACAGGTCGACGGAGAAGACTCGCACAACCAAGAGCAGGATGGCCACCTTGGTGAAGAAGGCGGCCGGGGTGTACAGGAGGGAGCTGATGTAGAGCCACTGGTGAAGTCAGCACTGGCGCTGTTCCCTCTGCAAGTCGCCTTACCTTTTGCAGCTCTAGGAAGTTGGCCTCGGTGATCTCCCAAATGTGATATCCTTCTCCGTGCCGAAGCTCTGTCTTGGTCAGCCACATAAAGGTGTCGCGGGGTAGCTGCCTCACTTACTGAAGAACACGGTACCGTTGAGCAACACAGTAAAGAACTATCGAGTCAGTGCTATGCGTATGCAGCGGTGAATCGTTCCAAGCTCACCCATCCAAGCAGACAGCTCCCTGCGACTCTGTTAGCCAACATCAAGCAGCCTCGGCCGGCACACCTACAGTCCTCCAGTCTAAACCTTCCATGGGCTGACAGCTTCACATACACCCGTATCGCAAAGAACACGACGACAACGACCTGGATGATGGCCATGTAGACGGTATGCAGCGTGTGAAAGATGTCTCGCGGGTTCGCAAAGTCGGGCGTCTCCCCGGGAGGCGGCGGCGCCGCTCCGATCGGACCACTGGAGGAACTGCTCATCACTGGGCTCAGTCCGGTTCCATGACGGGACGTCTTCTTCTCCTCTTCCGCGGGGATGATCGTGTATCACATCAACGGTCGAGTCCTCAAGCAATGGCATCCATCGAAACAAAATGTGGCGACGCGGGTTAAAAGAAGGACGACGATCGGTTGCTCCCGATGTCAAGATTGCGGGGCCCGGTGGGATTAAAAGAAAGGGTGTTGAAACTACAGCCGAGAGAAGACAATCGTGTACTAGATCAGGCGGGGGATGGGGGAAGGGGTCTTTGACATGATATCTCGGCATGAGGTTTCGCAAGTAGCAGCCATGCCGCGAAGGGGGTGAGCAGCAGTTTGGGCACGACACGAGTAAGACGACGACCTCGACTTGCGATTCGGCGAAGTGCAGACCATCACCCCGACGTCCTGAATCTGTGCTGCCCCCCCTTCGAAATCCAGACCGTCGCACTAGCCCCGCCCTCTCTTTGTGTTTGTCCAGATCCTGGCACTACGTCTGAAGCTCAGAAACGGCTGGACCAAGGGGTTGTTGGGAAATCCACCCGAGCCGTGATTGGCTCCGACGGCAACGGCTGTAGTTTAGACACGAAAGCATCGTCTCATGCTGCAAGATCCGTGAGTGGTCCCACCGAGTCAAAGTTGAGAGGTTCTGGAACAAACACAAACTTTATCTACGGACGGACCTTGTCTGGCGTCAGGAGCATCCCAGACTTTTCTTGCGAAAGCCCTGGTGGTTGCGAGCCACTCGAGACTGGCTGACAGGTGTATCAAAGTTCAGTCACGCAAGAAGAGAAGACGAGGTCCCGGGTCATCCGCTCCAAAGCATCCGGGGAACGGAACACCGATGGCCTTGCGCAGGGTCTTGGGAAACAGCCTCGCCTGGCCGAATCAGGCCAAGCGTGCCCGTTCTCCCATACGGGCGTTTGTCCCTCCCCCGTGAGTTTTTGCCTTGTTGAGAGTCAGAAAGCCCTGCCTTGGGCCCAAAGGGACGGTTCGATGGAGACGATGTCGACAGGTTACGACGAAGGTTCCAGCGGCGCGCGTTTGAATCGTCGAGGCTGAGACGGCCCTGCACGACATTAGGCTCGTCGTTAGTGAGCTGTAAAGCTGGTCAAGCGTAACCTTTTACTGGATCAGCTGCCCGATACCGGCAAGGCGTTACAATCGTACTCTGGTCTTGTAATCGTGGTTTTGTCGCCTTACATTTCTGCCGTCTCAAGTCCTTGGAAACCCAAGCCGACCTATCTTTTCCCTTCGTGGACACGTTTGGGTTAAATACTCGCCAAGTTCCGGGAGAGTTCTTCTGATGTTGCTGGACGTCATAACAAGGTACAATATGGGTAAATTCACATTGGTCGGACGGCTCCTCTATAGACCTAAATTGCCCCAGTGGTAGCACCTAAGCATCGAACCAACAGACACTCCAGATTTGCATATCGACGCCTCCCTGTAACCATAGCACATGCTTATCGAGAAATGTGGAGACGCAGCACGTGTCACAAGAAAGGATGCCATGACAAAGGCGTCAGGCGTTGGGTGTTCCCGAGACCGAGCTGGGTTGGGCCGTATAAAAGAGTCAGGATACTTGACTCCCTGCTTGGACATGCGGATCGGAGAGCCCAGACCGGTTTGTCCCGCGAAGCTGAGCCCGCCCTCCGCATGATGCTGCAAGTGACGCTACCCCGGATTGAGCACGTTGTCGCCATGTGAGCCCGCTGAGCGCAATATGCGGAACGAGTCTCGCACTTGACGATGCCGTTCTCGCAGACGTTGCCTCAATCGTGAATGGCGCATGTTGCAGAAGCGGAATATTGCTGTAGCTCCGGATCTCCTCTGCGTCGGCCGACGTTGAAGTAAGAAACCGAACACGCTGCATCCTCCACAGGTTCATTTCATAAAGAACGGTATCCACCCTTTCGAACGTCACACATGCAAAGTTTCTGCCGTCACCGAGTCAGCGAAGCCTCGCGAATCATGTTCTCATGATGGTATCTTTGCCGGCCCGGTTGCCCAAGGGCGCTTTTCTTGCAAGCTTCAATCATCGGCCTGACCACTGCTCCTTCCAACCGCCCTTCTCAAACAGCCAGAGTGCCTCCGTAGCATAAGCACGACTTCCCCTGTGCCCACCCTCCACAATGGCCGCCTCGGCAAGACTCTCCAGTATCCTGCCCTCTTGAACGCTGCTCCATATACCTCTGGCTAGTTGGTCTTCTTCTCCGGTGCCCCATTCGCCCTTGCCGAGTCTGTAGAGAATACGACCCAGAGTCTGGAAGGCGATGCAGCGCTGAGCTGGAACGGCACTGCGAGCATAGATGGACAGCTCCTCGATAGTGTATCCCGCTGCCTCTGGTGCCAGCCCGTGGTGGTGTAGCCCTTTGGATACGGGAATCGATCTGCTCAAACGGGGCGGGATCAGACCACCGCGGAAGTCGAAGCGAAGGTTCGCAATCGGGAGTGATGACTGCCCTGGATAGTATGGCGACTCGCGGTCGGCCGGGCTGTCGGCGGTTGGGATCGGAGCCATCCAGGCAAGCTTGCTCGGATCGGCAGGTAGATTGGGAAAGAACTTCTCATGAAGTGTCTGGAGGAAGTCGGGATGGGATGGGTCCAAGTCGGGCAAAGCGGGCGCCGCCGGGAAGTGCGTCTTGTCGGGTTGATCGTTCATGGGGAAGAGGTCCGCGGGAGGCGCGGCCGGCGCCTTGTTCTCATCTACAGACACCGACTTTTCTTTTGCTTCCGTCGGGGCAGCCTGAGGCGCCGGCTTGGGCTTCGGTGGCGCGGAGGTGTCTTCGACTTTAATCTCAGGCGCGGGCGCGGACGGCTTTTCGGCCTTGGTCTCGTTCGCGACTGGCGGATCGAAGGGGTTCGGGCCGTGTTGCTCATCGATATTTGCCCGGCCCAGAAGTCGCTGAATGAGGGACGGGTCCAGCGAGCTTAACAGCTCCCGCCTCTCTCTCGCAATCTCCTCTGGTGTCATGTCGTCCAGCTTCTGTTGGTTCTCGCGGTCGATTCGCCGTCGCTCGGCCGTCTCGAACTCGGGTTTGGAAGAGCTGCCATCTTCTGTCTTTTTCGCCTCACTCGCGTTCGCTGCCAGCGCGCTCGTAGCAGCTTGAGCACCCGAGACGTCCTTGCCCTGCCGCTGCTGCTTGAACGCGGACACTCGCGTGCGCTTCTTGTGTGCTGGGAAGCCGGTCGGGGTGGCGTCAAAGTCGTCGAAAACGACGGGCTTCGTGGGTTTCGTGGCCTTCTCGACAATATCGCCTACCAAAAGCGTGCCGTCCATGGCTGCGTTTGACCTGTGTACCGGCGGTGGTGGAATTTGAGGTTACGGTGGTTCAGAGACAAAGATCGCGAGGTGGGGGGTTTCTTTTTTCCTCGGAGTGACGTACCGTTTGTTTTATTGGATTACCTCACCTTGGGCCCCTGCTCGAAGCTGCCCTGTCCGGAAGAGCCCGTGCGGCACCCGAACTGAAGCTCATTTTCAGATGGGAGTACAACGCACAGGGCCCTGGGGGCGGAAATTTGCGTTGAAAACCCCCGCAGCTCTTTATCTGTCTCACTTGGCTCAAAAATTCGCACTCTAGGTGCATGCACTGAATGCCGACAAAAGGTTCGAATACACAACGGCGGGGCTGCGGCTTAGCGTCAGGAGGCTCGTCCCAAGTGCAATACCGAAAAAGCGCCGTTTTAGAGTTGTGGCTGACAGGCGGGACTGAGCCACACCAGGTTTTGCATTAGCGTCGATCGTCCCCCGTCGAAATTCCAGAAAAAACTTTGGATGGGGGGTCGAGGCGGCGGTTGTGCCGGGGCCGCCTAGTGTTTCCACTTGATTGGCACCGGGCGCTGGCTACAGTACCACCATGCACATCAATCTGCGGGTGCGGGAAATGGAATATGAAACTTGCTGGGCAGTGTTTGAGGGGCGAGAATTGCGTGGCATTGGAACCATCATTTATGTGTTGAGTTATTGTGTTTCTCGCGAGATCTCGCAAGAGAGATTGCAGCGTCTATCTCGTGTCCGAAGGGGCTACAGGGTCGAGGCCATTTCGGCTGTTTATGCGCATGTCTTTTCTGCGTCGATCGTCCAGCTCCGCCATGCTGTCCTCAGCCAGCTAGATAAACGAATTGGCGTTTGTGTCCGTTGTGTTCGCAGAGCATGTTTTGTAGGGAGTAAAGAAAGGATTATGCACGTTCTTTTTTTTCTTGTGGCGTGTTGCAGATTCTGCAACATGTCTAGCTCTGTGTTCGTGGCGCCAGCATCTGTGTGACGAGCACCTGCGGAGGGGGGGTGAGACTTGAGGAGAGAGAGACGGAACATCGGATGCATCTGCTTGGCTTGTCATCTCAGCTGAATCGTAATTTTCGAATTAGTTCTCTCTGCATGGTCCATAGAGGTAGAGAGGCAACCGCGCCCAACATCTTCATCTTCGCTGCCTGCCCGCCTATTAGTACGACTACGTACGGTATGCAACCCCCAGTGGAGAGAGATCTGGCCCATGTGCTGCCCCTCCTCTGGGCCGGCATGGTTTACATTGCACAACCCTGCAGCAGGCGCGGTTATCTGGGACGCTATGCCGGATATGGAAGCCGGACGTGGTTCAACGTCAGACGCGCAGGACCCACCCTCTGCTGGGCTCTGAGCGTTGCACCGACTGGACTGGCTTTCTTTGATTGGATGTCCATCTGTTGTTGTCTGGCAAAGAAAAGGTACATCGGCCTTGTACCTGCGCCCGGACCCATGTTTCTCTTTTTTTCCTGCGCCTGGCCATCCCATTCGACCGGCGACTGCCCTGCACGCGGTTCCCCTTTCCTGTGTCTTGCCAATGGGAAATTCCACGACCCCTTCTTTTCCTTCCACGTCCCGTCCAGGTTCCTTTCCCCACGGCTCGGCTCCCCTTCTCCTCAACCACCACACAACCCAACCCAGGACAGCGCGGCTGCAGGGCACCTGGCTTTCCGCTTGACGAGCGAGGTACCTGCCCATGTACCTACCTACCTCCAGCTGCTGCTCATTGAAAGTTGCACCCTCTTGGCCCTTTACCCAAATTTACTACACACCACCCTGCCTTACCTCCCGCACGCACCACCCTCTCTCGCATGTACTTGCACTTGCTCTTGCGTAGCGCCGCCTTTCTCTTCTCACTGTCAAGCTCGCTCACTGTCTCTGCCGCTCCGTCCCGTCCCAATTGATATCGCCGCATCCATCCGGCACAACGACCGCACCTGCTGCAGCACACGCGCGCGCGCAATACACACCTCGCCTTCCAAGTTCCCACAGTGTTGTTGACTGTTGGGTTCTTCCTGCCTGCCGCGGCAAGCTCATCGTCGGTTGGTCGGTCGGTTCCTCGCAGCCTGCCCTGCATGACTGGTCGTCCGTCGTTCATCTTGACACCTGACGACTGGTCTTTTCCCCTTGCCGACTGGCGAAACATGGTGTTCTTCCCACTGCCAACTGCCCTAGGGGCGTGTTTCCATTCCCATTCCGCCCCCCCATGCCATTCCCTTTCCCACCCGACGACCTTGCTCATCGCAAAGTGAGGCTTTGGTACGGTGTACCTCTCTTACCTCACTTTTTGCGCCTTTCCCTCCTCGCACCCGTCCATCTTGTCTTTCCGGGTCTGGCCCACGTTGGAAGTTTACCTCACAGTACCAAGCCGTGCCTACACAATCACTTGTACTGCTGCGTCTTCTTCCCTCTCTGGGCGGCCCGTTCACGAGGTGCCATCGCTTCGTCCTCTTGGTGTTTTCCCCCCTTCCCGCCTCCACTTCCCATTACCTTACTTGCCTCCCTTTGGCTGGTGCTTTCCCTCCGGCCGTCCACCTTTGCATGTTGTTGCTTGCTCCCATTCCCAGTTCTCCTGGTCTTGCTTCTCCGTCTCGTCCGTCTGCCGCTCTCCCGCTCCCATTCGCATTCCCCCATCCATTCCGTTCCCCCCAGGCCTAGTCGTTCCTTTCTTTCTTTTGCCTTCTCGCGCTTCTTGGTCCATCACCTAGCCCCGTGGCCCGCCCCCGTCCTGGTCCTCGTCCTCGTCCTCGTCCACGTCCACGTCCACGTCCACGTTCCTCGTGGTACTGAGGCCATCTGATCACATCGATGTGCCCCCCAGCAGTCCGGATCTCTAATTCGGGTTTAATAATAAAATTTCCCTTGCCATTCACGCCTGCTGAGGCCATCCACGTCTGCTCGGTGCCCCGTTTTTCTCGTCTTGCGCAGCAGCCAAATGTCGGCCCAAAAAATAAATCTTGTTCCCCCCAAAAACGTAGCCATCCCCATCTCCTCTTCGCCGCTCCCATTTCCCTCCTCCTTTCCCCTTCTCACAACTACCCACGACACTGCAATTTTGACTGCAGCAACACCAAACTCATCAATTTCGACGTCTGCGCCCATCGTCGACATCGCAAAAAGACCATCATTCGCTGCAGCTCAATAAGCTGCATCTTTTGACGGCCTCCACTTCCCTACGCCGATCCCGATTTCATCGATTTTTCGACCTCAACGGCGTCGACTGTCGTCAAAAAACACGTCTTGGAGAGCTCTTGAGGTTATTCACGAGTTCCCACCCCAGCGACTCCGCACGGCCACACCACAGGTGACCAACTGCTCATCTGTTGCTGCAGCCTCTCCTGCCTTAGCCAACCTAGTCCATCTTACATAATTCCACATACCCCGACACCACACCCCCAAATCGGCCAATCCGACACCGCCAAACGCCAAACGCACTGCAACACGCGCCCCCTTGTACCTGACAAAAAAAGTGAGGTCATTCACGACGCCCTACCAAGGGAACCCGCAGCACAACGAATCTCACCAACCCTTTCGATGCACTGCAGCTTCTGCAGCTGTCGCCATTAGAGACATCCTGGAGCTGCATCTACACTCTTTTTCGTAATTGATTGGCGGTGCGCCCCCCTGCAGAAGGACCTAGTTATCTAGAGTCCACTCCGGCGCGGTCATTTTGGTGGTGGACGAGAGCAAGATATGCGCGACAACTCCTCGCCAGATCTTTCGTCACCACCTTCCGGCTCTATCTCAGAACCCGGCTCGCCTCTGCGAAGCCAACCCAACAACAACATGGACATGGATGAAATCATCGTCGACCCTTCGCAGCCACGTTTCGGCGTGCTGTCGGGTAACGAGCAGCCCCAGCCCGAGGTCCGCTTGACGGCCGCTGGCCTCCCCAGAAAGAAGCCCGGTCGCAAGCCCGGCTCGACGGTTAAGCCCAAGAACCCAGATGAGCCGCCCAAAGTGCGCCGGCCCAGGAAACCTCGCGATCCCAACGCGCCCCCGATTCAGCGTAAGAGGAAATCCGCGCCTGCCCAGGATGCCGATGCAGGGTCGGACTCAAAATCTCTCGCGGCGGCAGCCTCGTCCGCGACGCCCCCATCCCGACAGGCCAAGATTACAGATCTCGTCAGCAATTTCGACTCACGACCGAGCTCTGCCCAGCCCGAACACACAGCACAAAAGGTCCCCAAACGAGAGGACATTCCACGCTCCATGCAAAGCATCCTGAATTCCGATCCCGAGCCCGAATCGAAGCCTCAAAGCGCGTCTTTGCCCACGCGTACCAGCGGACAAAGTTACGACCCCATCCGTGGTAACTACGACCCCATCAGAGAGATCTTCGGCAGTGCCTCGTCCCCACGACCTCCTGCGCAGACTGTCGCGCGGCCAAGCGCATCTCCGTCCATCGCCAGCCTTGTCGAGCCCACACATAACGTAGCCTCCCCCAACCAGAGCTTCCGCGCCTCAACGCAGTCTCGTCCGCAAGACTCCGCATCAGTCCCGGCATCACCGTCATATCCGGTCAGGTCAACGCCCCAGACAATCTCCAAGCCGCCGGTGCCAGAGCAAAAGTCGCTTGCTCCGCCGCCTTTGCCCTCAAAGGCGGACAAGCCTAGAGAAGCCGTATCAACCGCCGGATCAGTAGCCAGCAAGAAGCCTTCACCGAAGCAAAAGCCGCAAAAGTCCGGTGTCTCATCACCAAAGATGAGCGCCCTGGACGAGCCCGAGGGCAATGCCGACCGGTCCATTCTCGACTTTGGCAAGTCCACCGGAAAGGAATACAAGGCGCCCGATATTGTTCTCGACATCCCCATCAAGCCGGGCGATACAAATATTTACGTCAACGTCATGCGCATGGCCGAGGAGAAGTACGGATGGGATGCTCTTCACCCTCGCTTGGCCGAGAAGCGCGACCGCAAGGCCAGAATCGCCGCTGCATCAGCTGCCTTGGAGAAGACGGCGTCAGGCCAGGAATCTGGCGACGAGATGTCCGAGGACTCAGACAAGGAGGCGAGCAACGTCGAGATGGGCGGTATGACTAGCGGCGCCGAGCCCGAGAAGCCCAAGAAGAAGAAGCGCAATTTCAAGGAGGACGAATACGACAAGGACGATGACTTTGTCGACGACTCTGAGCTTCTGTGGGAGCAGCAGGCTGCGGCCAGTCGAGACGGTTTCTTTGTCTACTCTGGACCCCTGGTACAGGAACCGGAGAAGCCAGCTGATAACCTACGGTATGTTCACTCTAGCATGTCACTTGAAGGCGGTTCACTAACACATCTCAGACCTGATGGCTTGCCCAAGCGCGGTCGTGGCAGCAGAGGAGGCCGCATCGGCGGCCGTGGCGGAACCACTCGCGGCGAAGGAGGCACTGGCCGCGGCGGCGGTCCCGGTTCCAGAGGCGGGCGTGGATCTCGCGGCGGTTCCCTCACGCGCAAGCCGCGTATCACCAAGTCGGAGAAGGAACAACGAGAGCGCGAAAAGGCCGAGAGAGAGCGTCAAGCCGAGCTCAGCAAGGCCGCCAACGGCTACTCGCTTCAGCCCCAGACGCCTTCCTTTGCGGCTGGAATGGCTGGAGCTTAAACACTCCAACAGGAGAATCTTTGATTTGCAGCCATCGTCACTGGCAACCGTTGCAATGCAACTAGAACAGCCATGGCTTCCGGACGGCGAGGGCACAAGCCTGCATTGAATGTTGATATGCGTTGTCCTGGTCTTTGACGTTATTTGGGTTGACATGGTTCGGCATGGTATTACTGTTCGAGGGCGGTTTGGGACGGCAAGGGATCCCGGAAGAGCGGCGTTTGGCGGACTGATTTGTTGGACGGACCGGAACCACGACCGGGTCCACTTAGAGGCCTACACTGAGAGGAAACGCCGATAAAGAGTTGCTGGTATTTACGGAGTTCAGTTGTATTTCTAGAGGCGTTTCGCGCTGGAACTGCAAACAAAGCATTGTGTACTACACGCAGTATTAGTTGCCAAAACATTCTCAACCAGCTGTCATTGAATGCAAGCGTCGCCCAGGCGGGTGTTTCAAGTGCGAACAAGGTCCCCGCCGAGAGAAAGGCTTGTCGTTCTGGGCCCCGTCCAAGGTACAGCCAAAGACATGTACATATCGGGGCGCTATATCATTGCGGGGGTGCTTACAGCACTCACCGCCCCTGAAAATGGGGTGTTCCAGGCGGCAGAAAAGTGCCAAGATTTCGCATAAGCGATTTCTCCACAGTCCAAAAAATTTCGAACGCCCGAAAATTCGCAGCCAGTCCGCCCGCAACCGCCAGCCAGCAAAAGCTCACCTCACCGAGTAGAGTTGTCCTGCACCGCCCAACCGCGAGCGCTCTCACCCTTCGGCAGCCACCTCTTCAACCCTTGCGGCCCGGCGAAAGAAGATTATTATTCCTTGCAGTAGGCATATTCTTTCTGCTTTCGCATCAAAAGGTTCAAAAGATGGCGGACGCTTCATTGCAGGTTCGTCAAAGTCCGTGCCCCGCCACCTGCATGAAAAAAATAGCTGGCGGTGGTGATGATTACTTTTGACGCCAGCGGCATTGACATTTTACGTAGGACCGCCTGCGCGAGCACTCAAAGGCCTTTGATGGTCTTTTGTCTCTCATTCCAGCGAAGATGTATTACGGGGAAGATAACTCTGTATGTTTGCCCTGCCTAACGGATGCCTCTCATGTGGCAACGGACACCAACCTCCGCGCTTTATCAAACCGCTTCGAGCTATCGCGACAAAGGCTTACACAGTTCTTCCGTCACAGGAACAATGGAAAAAGAAGAAGCAGACCAAGGCTGAGGCCAAAGCAGCAAAGACGGCCAAGCTGGATCCCGACAGCGAGCTGAACCGCAACGCCAAGGAGGTCATGGACGAGCGGGCGCGCAGCAAGAGAAAGCTCCAGGATATGCAGGAGGAGGAGGACAAGGAGGATGACGACGAGCCGATTGCTGGCGTCCAGAGGGAGCTCCCCGGCCAGGGACTCCGCAACAAGGAGAATAAAAAGCAAAAGACTGCCGACCCGATCGACACGATTGACGACGCCAACCCTGCCGAAATGTCCCAATCACAGCTCATGAGGCTCGCGAAGAAGGAGGCCAAGACGCAGAAGCGCCAGGATAAGAAGGAGAAGAAGGCGGCGAAGAAGGCTGCCAAGGCGGAAGCCGCCGGCGAAGAACCAGCAGAGGCGGCTGCCGAGAGCAAGCCTGCGGAGCCTGTGAAGGCTTCGAAGAAGGCCGCGCCCAAGAAGCAACAGAAGAAGGCCGAGTCGACGGATGCTGCGCCTGTCGAAAACAACCACGACAGAGACGAAGAGGAGGGGGCCTACGAGACCGTAGACGAGGAATCCGATGATGACGAAAAGCCCTCCAAGAGCAAGGACGTGCGCCCGCTGGACGTCGCCGGCATGGACAACGCCGCCGACACCAGCGGCGACTCGACACCGCAATCGCCCACCTTTGACGCCGCCCAGAACACCGCCGACCCCGCGAGCACCACGACCTCCACCAGCTCCACGGTCCCGCCTTCCGAGAAGCCGAAGCACATCAAGCTCCCCGCCGACACGTCCGCCCTCCGCGCCCGCCTCGCCGCGAGGATAGAAGCCCTCCGCGCAGCCCGCAAGGCCGACGGCGCCGACGGCAAGCCCATCCGCACGCGCGCGGAGCTCATCGAGGCCCGCCGCGCGAAACAGAACCAGCGCAAGGAGCACAAGAAGGAGCTCCGCCGCCAGGCCAAGCTCGCCGAGGAGGCCAAGCGCGAGGAGGCCCTCGCCTCCAACTCGCCGAGCGTCATGTCGCCCCGCATCGACCTCGACCGCGACGACGAGCCGGCCAACTACGCCTTCGGCCGCGTCGCCTTCGAGGACGGCACCAAACTCTCGCACGACCTCTCGCACGCGCTGACGTCGCACAAGAAGAAGGGCCCCTCGGACCCCAAGACGGCGCTCATCAAGATCCAGAACCAGAAGAAGCGCCTCGCGGCGCTGGACAAGGAGAAGCAGGCCGACATCGCCGAGAAGGAGCAGTGGCTCATCGCCAGGCGGCGCGCCGAGGGCGAGAAGATCCGCGACGACGAGGGCGCGCTCAAGAGGGCCGTCAAGCGCAAGGAGCAGACCAAGAAGAAGAGCGAGAAGGCGTGGAAGGAGCGCAGCGACGGCGTCGCCAAGGCCATCCGCGAGAAGCAGAAGAAGCGCGACGACAACATCAAGAAGCGCAAGGACGATAAGCTCGCGCACAAGTTGGGCCGCAAGAGCGGCAAGAAGGTCGGCGGCGGCGCAAAGAAGGCGCGTCCCGGGTTCGAGGGTAGCTTCGGCGGCGGCAAGAAGAAGAAATAAAGAGTGACGAGAACGAAGTGAGGCAAGGGTGTGAGGGAGGCAAAAATTAATCGATATCCTGGCGAGGGGAAAAGAGGGTCTTCGAGCATCATCCACGGATGTGCGGCGTTTAGGGGGAACAATATTTTGTATTTCTACACAAAAAAGGGGATGGCGGCGTAGGAGGGACCACGAATGCATTCTTCAAATCGTTCTAGCCATGACAATTACGTTTCCCTTCCGCATTTCTTCGTTCCCAGTCACAACGGAAGCAAAGCAAAACGCCAGTGTTCCTCACAACACCTCCAAGACGAAGGCTGCAATAGACATCTCTCGCACTCTTTCCTGCGCGCGGTACATTTTTTTTTCAAAAGTTACATTAAAACGATCGCTTACGGTGGGGAAAAAAACGTAGTTGAACCCAACCAACTACACATGTGTTCTCTTTTTGGCCTTTCCCATCTTCCCTTGTTTTCTCCATCTCGCCCCCTGCCTTGAGAACCCTATCGTGAGGTTGCGCAACTGAGAATGGATAAGAAAAAAGCGCCACCTTTCGGTTGTCCCCCCATGATAACCCACCCCATCCGCCATGCCTAGATGCAACACCAAATTTTATGTGTGGGTTCGGGGGAAAGAAAAGCGAAAAGATCATGTCCCCTTGCTTTGTTTCATCATTTCTCGTGAGGGTTCGAAGATGGAGGTTGGGGGAGCAGGATGCTGCGGCGCTTCGATAGTGTGTCGTCTAGGTGCAAATAGGATTGGAAAGGAGATGCCCGAGCTTGCGCTCAGCTAGCTGCTGCGGGCCTTGAGGCGGCCTGACAGCGGAGCGCTCGTTGTTCGAGTCGATCAATTAGTTTACAGGAGGGAGTCGAGGCGGGTGAAGACGCTGAGGCAAGCCGCAACAACCTCTAGTTGCAGTTCCTTGTCCTTGCCCTTGCTGACCTCCTGCGAATTGTTAGCTCGTGTTATGGCGGCAAATGTGTGTGTGTAACGCACCTCCTGAATAACCTGGGGCAGGTTAGCACCGATGCCATTGCCGGTAGCCTTCTTTCCGAACGGCCACTGGCTGTAGTCGGCGAGGAGCTCGTCCGTCTGGGCAAAAGCACGCTCGCGAGCCTCGTGGCCGAGAGTGCTGAGGGCGTTCTCCAGCACGTTGGCCGCGTAGGCAGCGCAGACCATGGCGATGGTGCGGACGTAGCGGAACTCGAGGTTCTCGGGCAGGAATTGGGATGCCGGGAGGACTACGGTGCGCTGGGTCAAGACGTTGCGGACACGGCGGCGAATCTCCTCCTTGGCACCTCCGTCGGCGACGGGGTGGGTCGCCATATCGAAGAGCAAGAAGTTGCGCTTCTCGGTGCGGAGGATGCCCTTGTCGACGAGTCCCTTGGCCAAACGCTCGCGCACCTGTTTTAATTGGTATCCGATCTTCATCAGGTTCCAGGTCTCTCCTGTTGTGGGCGTCACCGTCAGCTCCTGGTTCTGTGGCCGAGTGGACAGCGTGGTGCTTGTTCCCAGGGAGGAAGGGGGGCATTACCGCTCATGAGGTCGATCCAGGAGCTCACGCTCATCTTCTCGCTCTGCTTCATCATCTTCAATGCCTCGTCGAGCAACACCTCGCCGGTCAGGGTTTCGTCGATAACTTCGATGACGCGGTCAGCCAGCGGGAAGCGCCTTCTCGAGGCATCCTTCTGCATGCTGATGCGACCGCGGAACGCGAGCTCGATGACGATGCATCCTCGCAGGGCATATGAGATATTGTCGTTCCAGAATGATAGGTAACCCTGCAGAGTGGGAAAAAAGTTAATTAGCGACGAGGATTCGATTGGGTCGTGATGCCAGAGCTTGTTGCCGACGAACCTGCTTGTCCTTCAGCCCAAGCAGCAGAACCTCCTCCATCAGAGTCAGCTTTGGCTGTTTGCTGCGCTCGGCGCTCTCGCTGATGTCGCGGGGGTCAAAGGCAATCTTGTGGCCATTCTCGCCGCTCTCGTAGCTCGTCTCGGGGGCGCTGTCCTTGAAGTTGCTCGTCGAGTTGGTCCGGCTGGCGCCGTTGCTGGTCTCGCCGCCCTCGGCAGCTGCGCCGCCTCCACCGCCGCCGCGGCGTCGAGTCAAGCCTCCTGCTGCGGATGACATTATATCGAAAGGTCAGAGGGGTATCGTGGGGTTGTCGTCAATGGAGGCAAAAAAGGGTAAGGCTGGCTAAGGGATTGACCAGAAACGGGGAGGCTAGGTCAACCGGTCGTCGCAGGTGAACCGCTTGGGACTAGTTGACGGCGCGCGAATGAGCACCTGATGGAAAAGTGATGGGATAGAAGCCGGCGGGTGGTGGGAGTTTGCTCCGCGTGGTAAGGCTGGTGACGCTCGGTCGTGATGTCGAGGCGCCTTTTTTTGCTCGTCCTTCTCCCTATCTCGGCGATCGGGCGAGGAAGCTGGTGGCAGCTGGGAGGTGCGCTGAAATGGTTTAGGTGTGCTTTGGGGGACCCGGTGTGCAGGGCAGGCCAAGGGGGCGGTTCGAATGGCTCTCCAGTGCCGTAGACGATGGTCCAGTCCTGCCGATGGGGACGAAGTGTTGGATGGGCAGTTTGTCGTAAAGGATTGACGCTCAGCTATCGTGTGCCCTTTGCTCGTCAGGTATTCCGTTAGGTATCTCCCCGAAGGCCTGCTTGGGTAAGTTTTGGCCCCTTCGCTCGCTGAATGGAATTTCTCGCAGCCTGGGAATTGCACCGCCCCATCCTTGTGCACGGGCCAAGGGAGTAGTCCTGTTGAGCTCCTGTGGCGCCATTGAGGCTGATGCTCCACCGGGCCACCTGAGAGCTGCACCTGGACCAACTGGACCAGCTAGACCAACTGGGCCATTGGCTGTACCTGTTGGAGACGTGGATCTTGGACCTCCCCGCCCGTGGACCCTTGATCAAACGAAACGACATTGATGTTGAGATTTTCTGATCATTGTGCCTTCAATCGGCCTCAATTCTCGACCAGACTAATATCACGCCGGATTATCGCAATCGCAATCGCTGCCCCGTCGATGCCGGCGCCAACATGCGCCAACCAGCCTCAGCGGCTTGACTCAGTACGCAAAAGTCTAATTCAGCACCCCAATCCACAATTTCATCTGCGTGTTTTTAACTCCCTGTTTCACCTCGCCGAGTCCATTTTTCCGCCAGATCACATCTTATCTCCTTCTTGCGTGAACACGTGGCCGGACGCGTGTGCTGACTGAGATGAGATATCCACTCAATACCGAGACAATGTGCCGGTGGGAACGGCTCCTTCGCGATATTCATATTCCGACGCGGTCTTCGGTGTTTTCACGTGTCCGGGCGACTATACATATCGAGTGGCTAGACTGAAGCGGTGGGAGGGTTTAGGCACGAGTGTACTTGCACCCTTGCCTGCAGCTTGCTGTTTGCGTCAATGACAAGTATGAGATCTGAGAGAGCCCTCGGCTGGAGCGTTTTTGACAAGGGATGGTGACTTCTCGTTGTTGGAATGCAAACCAGCGAATAGCTAACACCGTCTCTATGATACCCCACGGCAGCTTCATCGGAACTCCGCCGTCCCCCGTCCACAGTGGGCCCTCGTCGGCGCCGGACCGGGTCTGAGCGGTAGCACGTTATTCCTGATCCGCGCCCGGCGACGCTAGGACCCGAAAGGCAAGGTCGCCGGACCGGGGATGGTAAGCTGAGGAAAAGGGAAATACTGCGTACTCCAATTTGAACAAACAATAAAGTGGAGCACCCAATGGAGATGGATCAACTTACAGGGAATATTGGGAAGGGATGTGCCCAGCACAACTCTCCAGTTGCAACCAACAGAAGAAGACCTTCAGACTCAGGAGTCGCGACGTGTGATGGCTCACGGCTAAGGACTCTCGACTACTACGTTGCGGCCGGGACACACGATGGCCCAAGAACACCGGGATCAGCCCGAGACCCAGCCCGAGTCCCACGGTGAGACTCAGCCTGACGGTCAATTCGAGACCCAACCCGAAGCTCAGGCTGTTGCCTTCGGAGCGGGCTCCGACCACGACTTCAGGTTCGAGATCCCGTACTACACCCAACCGGAACATGACGACGATGACGATGGAGCTTCCACCGCATCGCTGAAAGCCAGTATCCTCGACTACCGCAGGGAAAATGGACGCACCTACCACCGCTTCAGTGACGGTCACTACGTCCTCCCGAATGACGACCTCGAGCAGGAACGCCTGGACATTGCGAACCACATGTGGACTGTCGTGTGGGATGGGCAGCTCTGCTTGTGCCCCAAGAAGAACGGCGCCAAGAGAGTGCTTGACCTTGGAACTGGAACTGGCATCTGGGCATTGGACTACGCTGATGAACACCCTACCGCCACGGTCATCGGCGTAGATCTGAGCCCTATTCAGCCCGAGTATGTTCCGCCCAATTGCCAGTTTGAAATTGACGACCTCGAAAAAGAGTGGGCGTGGCCTGAGAAATTCGACTTTGTCTTTTCCCGCAACATGATCGGCTGCTTCAACGACTGGGAATGGATTGCCAAGCAGGCCTTTGAGAACTTGGAGCCTGGCGGATACTTTGAAATCCACGACAATCTCTACCCGGTCGCATGCGACGACGGAACCTTAACGGAAGACCACGCCCTGTACAAGTGGTCGTCTCTTCTGTGCGAGGCCATTGCGCGGATGGGCCGTTCCCTCACCATCACGTCAGAGTTTGAGGGCATCCTCCAGCGGGTTGGCTTCGAGAACGTGACGGTTACGAAGCAGAAGATGCCAGCGTCGCCATGGCCCGAAGATCCGAGGTTACAGGAAATCGGCAGCTGGGTGCAGGCTTCCTTGCTTCCCGGGATCGAGGGTATGGCGATGGCGTTGCTGACCCGCGTGATGGGTTGGAAGCCTGCCGAGGTCATTATTTTCGGTTCCCAAGTAAGGCAGGATGTCAAAAATCTGGGTGTTCATGCGTATTGGTATGGGTATTCAGTCTACGGGAGAAAGCCTGCGTCAAAGAAAGAGGTTCCAAAGGAGATTTTAAGAGGAAAGCCGAATGAGAGCCTGCAGGTGGACAGTCCAAAGAGGGAGAATCTCAAGCGCAAGAGTCCTCATCCTGAGAGTCCAAAATGAATACCGGCATTCCGTCACGGCAGCCAAATTACCAAATCGCCAAAACTGGAGAGTTTATCGAGCACAACGAGCGACAGAGTCATTTAGAATCCTCGCCAAACGGCAGCAGCGCATGGCTTCGAAGCGGAGCCCTTAACTTCTCAGCGTAAGACGCAGCCAAGCACTATCACCATGGCATTATGGCCACATTGCTTCCTGGATTCGATGCGTATGAGATATGGCAACGGCTCTGGAGGACGCGGCTCAAGTAGCCGAGACGGCTTGAACATGTACATATTATTGAGACAACAGGAGCACTCGGAATTCACGATTAGAGGCCATTGAAACAGCCCGCCCAGCCTCTCACTGCCTACTTTATTGAAGTTTGCATTGCGGTCTACGATGCCTGACCGGCTTCTGCATGTTGACGCAGTCTCACGGCAGGCAAGCCTCGCTAGGCCTGCCGACAGCTTTTTCGTCACACTGCATTGCAGCGGCAAATGAGATAGCCAAGCTATGCTGTGCCACCTTACCGCCTAGCTAGGCATATCACAGCTGATCATATGCCATGACTGCATCGCGAGCAGTCCGTTGGGCACCTTTCATCTTCCCCAGCCATCGAGTATCCGTGCTAAGTGAAGAAGTCCGCCGCATTTACTCTTTGTGGACACACTCGAACGCCATGAAACTACTCAACTGTACTAGCCTTGAAATCGAAGAGTACTATGGATCATCAATTCCCGAAAAGTACGCGATTTTGTCCCATACTTGGGAATCCGGTGAGGCTAGCTTTCAAGACGTCGGCAATACCGAGGCTATGGCCAGCAAGCCAGGCTGGGCAAAAATCAACCAGACATGCCGTCTAGCTCTCGAACAGGGCTACTCGTACGCCTGGATTGACACTTGTTGTATCGACAAAACGAACTTCACAGAGCTGGTTGAAGCGATCAATTCCATGTTCAAATGGTACGCAAGGTCAACAATATGTTACGCCTATCTAGCAGACGTCGGAGGCGCTAGAACAACACGCCTTCAGGACTCGCGCTGGTTCACACGCGGGTGGACCTTACAAGAACTCATTGCCCCGTCTTCAGTCGAGTTCTACGACGTGGACTGGAAGTTTCTAGGCACAAGAGCTGATCTTAGCGACGAACTTCAAGAAAGGACCGGAATCGATAAGGAATTTCTGACCAATGTGACTGAGTCTGTCGAGGATATGCTTCCTGACATTCCCATCGCGCGTCGTATGTCCTGGGCAGCCGACCGAATAACCACTAGGGAGGAAATTCTTGCGTACTGTCTTCTGGGCGTCTTCGGAGTGAATATGCCGCTTCTTTATGGCGAGGGTTCAAGGGCTTTCATTCGACTGCAAGAAGAAATCATCAAAGAGACCCACGATACGTCGATATTTGCATGGAGCCACAGCAAGACTGCAGGTCTTAGCCAGATACCGCAAGTTTACTTTGGCATTCTAGCAACCTCACCTAATATGTTTGCTTTTGCCAAGACACTCGAAAAAGCACCAGAGAAGACTTCAGTTGAGGTATGTTGATTTAGACTGAATCAGATACACTTGCACATGTTCTTTACCGGCAGGTATGCTCCTGTAATCAGTACCCTGTACTAATGAGCTTTCCAGTACACCATGACAAATAAAGGCTTGCGGATCGAAACTGAGGTATTCGGTACTCAACACGATTGGCAGGAAATGTTTATGGAACTTGGATGTCGTCTGAGAGAGGGCAGTGAAAGTGGAAACCTTTGCATTCTGCTCAGGGACCAAGGAGATGGTACTCTAGTGAGATCAAGTCCCTTCGTACAATTGGCGTCACGGCTGCACCGTATCAACCCTAAACCAAACACTCGTTTGTTGATTAGGAGGCATCTGAACCCACGGCAATCACGCACCATCGAGGGATCCCATGGAAGCATTGTTTTTCCTAGAGACGTTCGAATTATCGGTGTAGCTGTCCCCGCACGACTGGAGCTCGTCGACGCATCACCCTGGGAGCTTTGGGATCCTGATAGACGTGGTTTCTCGACTGGAGGGTTGAGAAACTTTCACGGGTTCGTGCGCTTCAAGATTGTTTTGATGGCCGAAGCGTCCCCGGAGTGGAACTCCTCAGGTCAGGACTTTTGTCTGTTTACTTGGTTCCTGGAAGGCTGTCTAGACCAACCTGCAATGTGTCTGGCAACTTCGACATACCAAACTGAGCTTTACAACGCAGTCACGGCAGCAAACGGTGATGGATGGAAGCCTCTTTGCAGGCAGAATACTGAGCTGCCAGCCAAGGTGCTACTCGAAGACAAAGCAAAACAGTCGGCACGTCTTGTCGATCGCCTAAAGTCGAAGCTTACTGACAGGTGGAAATTTGCTATCTCTTGCGAGATGTTAACAAGATTGATGACTTTGCGGGAACATGTAGTGTCGATGAGAGTCACTGCAATGAATGCTTGAGGAGACATTTCATATAGAATGTCGAACATGTTTTATATTCCCACCTTGTTCCAATGCAACCCAATACTATTCCGATTTTGTTGGCCCAGATCACATAGTTGCATCCCCGGTGTTCGCGACTTTGTCGCCAAGCCTCCGCATTTCCATCGCAGGTGTCAGTTTTGACTTTCTCCTGACAAGACGGACACCCAACGACCGCCGCGTCCCAAGAAAAAGATGAGACGACGACAAGCCATCCAACCGCCGCGTTTCGCTGATCTCTCGTCGACTCAAGTTTCAGCATCGTGGGTGAAACGAGTGGAGCTGTCTTGGTACGAGAGACCGGCAAACTTCATCCCATGTTTTGATCGGCTACTTTAACGTCACTTCATTTCATCTGAAGCAAAAACATTGTGTTCCCCGGAGAAAATCAATGGAGATTTCGTTCGTCAAGTTTTATCATGTTTTCCTCGTTAGCAATAATATCTCTCGCCTTGGCATCTTGCTCCGCCGCGGCGCCCGAGGCCCAAGCGCAGCTTCGCGGGGCGCGAATCTGCCCCTGGACCCCCCTGGAAGAGTCGCTGTTGGAGTGTTCACCATGGGATATTGCGAAAACAGAAAATCCCTCTGAACGGAATTCACGGAATAATACGAGTCAAAATGAGCCTTTGGGGTGGACCGGACCGCATGGATGCGCGGGCAGCTACTGCTTATACGCCAACCGGGGCTTTGCGGCCGGACGAGGGGTGGTCATCATCTCGACGCCAGAAAATGTGCAGAAGTTGAAGGGTACGGAGGCCAAAATCCAGATCGCGGATGATCCGAGTGCCTCGAAACCATCATTTCGCGTCACCGAGGTGGAGGGTAAGGGGCTGGGCATGATCGCCAACAAGTCGCTCGCCCGAGGGGACACAGTCATGCTGAAAACGCCGGTCCTCATCGCCCATCGCGCGTTCATCGAACGGACACCGCCAGCAGAACAGCACCCTCTCCTCGACTCCGTAGCGCAGCTTCTTCCGGCATCAACACGAGAGACGTTCCTCGGCCAGATGGGCCATTTTGGCGGCCACAAAGTCGTCGACATCATGCAGACCAACTCGTTCCAGATGGACCTCGGCGGGGGAGCTCAAGGCGACGGCCACCATTACGGCAACTACCCCGAGGTGTCACGGTACAACCACGACTGCCGGCCCAACGTCGCCTTCCACATCGGCGCCGATGGACGTCACAGGACGACGGTCGTGCGGCCGGTGAAGTCGGGCGAGGAGCTCACGATATCGTACCTCGACCAGCTGGGCGTGCGGTCCGAGAGACAACACCGCGCGAAGCTGGCGTGGGGATTCGAGTGCGGGTGCTCGCAGTGCAGTCTGGCGAAGAAGCAGGCGGCGGCGTCTGATCAGCGGTTGATGGATATCCAGGAAATTGATAGGAAGCTTTCGGATATCAACGCCAGGGTGACGACCGCGCTCATTGAGAAGTTTCTGAAGCTGCACAAGGAGGAGAGGCTAGAGTCGAAGCTCGCGGGCGCCTATACCATCGCAGCGCTCAATTTCAACCTGCTCGGGCATGCGAAGCAGTCCGTCAAGTATGCAAAGCTGGCTGTGGAGGCAGGTTTAATGGAGAATGGGCCAGGGACGGCAGATGTTGAGGCGATGCAAAAGCTCGCAGCTGATCCCAAACGGCACTTTACATGGAGGGGAAGGGTAAAATAAGGTGACGAACACTTGGGACGATACAATGGATCAATGTAGAGTCCGAAGACATTCATGAACATGCCGATTGGGTTCCACACCACGGGCTTGTGCCATTCCGCCGGCGGCGGAGGCCCCGTTACGAATGGCGGTCTCGGTAGCGGATGGCCGGTACTAAAGACGGCGTCGATGCCATGACTCGACATGCTCGAGCGAGGTCGTAATGAAGAGACTCTTGACACATTTCCTCGACCGACACTCACAGATTTCAAAACGCCCACTGCAACCAAGCCCGGGCTGACCAGCGGTCGAATGCAACTGTTCCAACCAGCTGAATTATGCCCTTCGTCGTGGAGGGGGGACGGGTGTCTGTCTCACCCAACCGACAATCCGCCACAAAGATCGAGATCAAAGACATGCGTTCTAGCCTCAGGAACGGGGCCAGCCCACGGCAAGATGGCAAAGTACAAAAGGCAGCGAAAAACCGTAGAAAAGGACGACCCTTGATCAGGATTGACAGCGAGAACACTAGAGAATGAAGTGGTGTGGTGGACGGCAGCTTGGTGCGGGTGGGGCCTCTCCCCGAGCTTCCATCCAGCACTGCCGGACAGCGACGTCCGGAGCATTGGCCAATGGCTACGGCGCATTTGGCGGCATTTCGGGGGTGTTTCCCAACCACCCGCCTCTGGGAAAAGCAGCTCAGCCAGTGACGTAAAGGTGATGGGAAGCTCGCAGCTCCACCCACCACTTCTTCCCACAGAGTCACATCGCGAATAACTCTCTAGCCGGCCTCGCCAACTTTGCTAGCCCGCTGCTTGGTCCCGTTTGTCGTGGGGGCTCTGTCCTCGGCCGATGCACAAGCAAGCAACGCAAAATTCTCGCATTTGCGCCTTTGTCAAGAGCCGAGGGAAGGGCCACCACTTCCACCAACACAAAGCAACACATCTCCCTTAAGAGATGATTCGGTCGATAAGTAAGCATCAAGACGGCGATCGAGGACATGTGGAACCGGAATCCTCTTGTTTCCTGCAGCTTGAATCCCATCAATGCCGGGATACAGGCTGTAGAAGACTCGCAGAGACAAGGCTACCGACCTGCTAGAGTCCAACATCTACCTTGCTGTGAGGGGGATTCGTCCAAGAAATTTCCATTTCCGCGTTCCCCACCCACACTTACACGGTGCCATATCACCCAACATCGTCGACATGACTGGTCCGTTCTTGACATCCTTACCCCTGCTTGTCACATCGATGCCATGACTTGCAGTCCCCAGCCCCATCCCTCGGCCGAGGTGTTAGTCGAGCCCTCGACCAGGCCATTCTTCCTTTTCGATGCTCCCTTTAAGACGGGGATTGGCGTCATTTATCAATCACTGCTGTAGTATTTCCATTGCTGCTCCCGTCCCGTCCCGTCTCTGGTGCCGTAGTATCTCTCTCGCCTGCTCTTCCGCTTCCCTCATCGGCCATCTCTCTCTCTTCGCCTCGCCGTCAAGTCACGACAATGGCGCCAGTAACACCAGCTTTCAACGGCCTCGCCGGCCTCATCCCCCGCGCGGCATCCTCGGAAGAAAACCCGACGAGAACCTTCGACGCCCGCCAGGTCGTCGTCACCATCACATCCACCCCGGAGACAACCGCGGAGAGCGCATCAAACAACAACCTCAGCGGCGGCGCCATCGCCGGCATCGTCATCGGCTCCATCGCGGGCTTCCTCATTCTCCTGTGGATCCTCAAATCCTGCGGCCTCTGGAAAAGGCCAAACTCGTGGGGTGAGCCGGACGAATACGACCGCAAATATGACCGCAAGTACCGCGGCAGGTCTCCCGGCGCACGCCATCACAGGAGGCGCCAGCACCGCTACCACCACGAGACGTCTCGTTCGCGCCGACCTTCGTACGAGGTCGAAGAGGTCCGCTACGCGCAGCCTGTTGTGTACGAGAAGAGGCGGCCGAGCGCTTCACCAAGGCCGCCGGCTGCAGTATACCGATCCAGTCGCAGCAGGACCAGGTATTAGATGATGTATCGAGGCTTCATGTATTGGGGAGCCATCACAGCGAGTGGCCTAGCACATGGCATACGACTCAATAGAATGTAATGACACGACGATGATTTGATGCGAGATATTTTCTGTCCATAATTAGCAAAGACATAGCAGCGGCGGCGTTTTCAATGCAAAGAGCCTACCAATCAAAAAGACGGCAGGAGCCATGCTGTATACGAACATTCGTACCATCGAGTAGTCATGATAATTGTATTAACACAAGGCTATCATCTTCTATCCGAAGGAGACCACGCCTCTATCTTGTCCGTATACCACCAAAGTGTACCCGTGTCCCAGTAACGCCCGTCATGTTCCGTCATGAAAGACCAGCCGGGCCTCAGCCGGACTTGGTCTTGTTGTTCTTGTACCAGTCGTACCACTTCTTGTATTCGGCATACTCCAGCGACTCCTTCTTGCCCTGGTATCGCACGACCTTGAGCTCGACCTCCTGCCACTTATCCTTGCGGCCCATCCAGCCGGCCTTGCGCATGAGGCTCACGAGCGTCTCCTCCTTGGTCCACTCCTGCTCGACGGCGACGTCAGGGAGGTAGGTCGCGCCGTACCGCTTGCCGTGGTAGAAGAAGCTGATGCGCAGGCCATGCACACCGAGTGTCCAGTCCATGGCGTCGTCAGCGTCCTCAAAGTCGGTCAGCAGGGTCACGGCGACCTCGAGCGAGGGCAGCTCCGACGTCTCGACGGGCGGGAATCGCATGTCGTGCAGCGCCGACGTCAAGCTGTAGCTCGACAGGCCGTCCTCGAGCTCCTGCGGCTCAAAGGTGCCGATGCATCCCCGCAGCGAGCGGTGGCCTGAGCGTGGTGAGACGGTATTCCAGGTGACAAAGAGCGGGGACTCAGTGATGACATCGTCGTCGTCGTCGTCGTCGTCGTCGGCATCGGCGAGGGAGTCAACGGATGTCTCCGGGGTCTCGGCCGGCAGCGAAAGGCTGGAGCCGGAGGAGGCGGAGCCTGAGTCGCTGGCGGGCTCGGCGAGGCGTTGGAGGGCCGGGAGGAGCTTCTTGGAGGCATCCTTGCCGTCACCGAGGCCGGACGACAGGGTCTTTGCGTACTCGGGCCATGATTGCTGGATCTCTTTGAGGGAAATACCCCGCCGCTTTTCCAGGTGCGAAGCCAGCGCCTCGAAGCAGTACAGGCAGTGTCCCACAGTCGCCATGAGCTCGTTTCAAAGGGAGGAATGTGGCGAAGTGGCGTGTTGTTTTGGGGGGGAAGTAGCAGAGAGCTTCACAGCGTCCGCAGAACGGTCGCACAGGGTCAGCAGCAGCGTGAGATGGCGGAGATGGGCAGTCTGGCACGTTGGAGGTTGGAGAAGAAGCTTAGGTTGGAATGGGGGAGAGTAGGTAGATTGTCAGTTACCTTAGGTACGGGTAGCTGGAGGAATGGCATGTCACTGGGCTGAGAGGAGGCCTTGGGATCACTCCAGCTGAACCCCACTTCCGATAACGAACCCCGCGATTTGATGCAGCTGGATACGGGTGGCATAAGATTGTGTCTGTGCTATGGAGCATAACACATGCACAAGTTTTGTGCTGTGCCCGAGGAATGCAAACCGGGCCTTACTTAAGCAGCGACTGGCGATCCGACTAAAAATACGACGGGCCGCCCAAATGATTTTCCTGCGTCATACTGCCCCTGACATCTACGCCACAGGGGTTGGCTGGTTTCGAAACGCCTCCTGGACGGGAACGCCTCTGGTCCGAACACCTTCATCCCGTCCGAAGCTGTGTCGTCGAGGCCGTGACCCGTCAGGGAAAAGGCCGGTTCTGGACTCTCCCACATCCCACGCGAGGAATCCAACATCCCCAGCCTCTGGCTAAGCTTCACAATAAGGTACACCGGGGTGCAGACTTGGCAACACTAGGGTTCAGACGTTAAAACCCGCTTCCCTGCCGACTTTGCTACCGGAACATGCTCATAGCGAGCGGCTTGCTGTATGATCTACGCCCGTCCGAGCCGTAGGCGAGCCTCTGTGACACGGCATTCACTTAGACTAGTGGGCCACTCCTACGCGTCTCCCTCGTCACAGCCCAGTTTCAGACCTTTTCTACCACTGCGGTTTTCTTGTCTACCGCGATCAGCCCTCTTGGACGCTGCTGATCAGTGGCCACCCTCTCCTCAGTATCCTCTCTGAAGCAGGCGAAGCCCGGGGCAGCAACGGATGGGCTGGGGGCATCGTTCATCGCTTGGTGTGGTTCCTGTTAGTGCGGTGACACGCTGGGAGGTCCCTTGTTCCCCCATCCTCGACCCGTTGACAACTTCCTCCTCTGAGTGATGTTATGGCCAAGCAATCGACATTGGGCTGCGGCGACGATGACCCTCGATGGAACCGGGCGGAAGCCCTGACCGCTGGTCTCAACTCGAGGGCCCGGGGCAACGACTGTGTAGTTCCAGTCAGATTTTGGATGACAGCACTTCTGGATGGCTCGGCACCCGTGCGCACGTCGTCTCCCTATACCATGTCTGATGTATGATATCGATGGTGATACTTGGCGCAACCCCCTGGGCGTTGGGCTCTCCTCGACAAGTCCTCGACAAAGATACAAATACCCGCATGTCCTTCCCGTGTTCCGTTTCTTCTGATCCTGTTCTCTAACCAACAAACAACACTCTCTTCCAAACCTTCTCTTCTTGTACAGGAATTATCTGCTCGTCGCCGGCCGACACTCGTTCGAAAACAACCAACAACTACCGTCAAAATGAAGTACTCTGCCATTCTCTTTGCCTTCGCCGCTGCCGTCGTCGCAGCTGCCCCCGCCGAGCGTACGTTCTGAAAACGATGGAGATGGAACCACTTGATGCTAACGACTCACACAGCGATTGAGGCTCGCCAGGAGGCCAACAGCGTCCCCGTCAACGAGGCCGCCATGACTGACGCCAATGGCAACATCGTTCCCTTCAACTCCGCCGGCGTCTACCAGGCCAACAAGGCGGCCGGCCTCTAAAATGTCTCGACTCGAAATGAGGAGCATGGAATGGGGTCCGACGCTTGCTTTACGAACTGCAACAACATATACTACACAAAGACGCCTGTAATCTCATAATCTGGCGACAATACCGGGATGGGACCAGGCGAAATAGGCACCATGGCAATCAACCAACGATATTGACATTATTTTGATCTGGGATCGGGTTCACGAGGGTGCCAGTTAATCCACCGCCCTCTGAGGCAGATAATATTCTGAATATACTTGGTTAGCATGGGCACATTGCGTGCAAATGCCAACCGTTTTTTTCACAGAAAGTCATTGGACCAACAACATGCATCACAGTGAACGGGCTATCCATCAATGCGCACACATACTTCTGTCACTCACCCTCCACCACGTCAAACCAAATCGGGGGGATGCTGCGCGAACTCGCCTGTCAAAAGGATGATCCGACTGGTTGCTATTTCTGAGTCTTGGGACTTGGAAAACCAGGAAAGACTTGCTTGTAAGCTTAAACGCGGAAAACCCACCAGGAGTGGGTGTTGACGACAGGGGTGTCGCAGCGAGCGAAGAAGAAGCAAACCTGGGCTCGCTTCAGCGGTCTGGGCAGTATCCACGGGGTGATGGCCGTCGTTTGGGCGGGCTCAGCCACGATTCATCCTTCTAGCGCGGCTCCAGCCTGCTTCAAAAGGGAAAATTCAATCCCGTCGCCATGGCATCTGCGAAGTGGTTTATGGAGCTCGAAAATGTGACTGCCTGACGTCGAATCCTTCTCTGGCGGGTCGTGAAATTCTCCGTTCCAAACTTGCAGCCTGGATGGATGCGGTTGCGATGACAGGGACTGGTCTGTTCTTCGCCAGCATCAGCACACACACAAAGTCCCTTGCGCGCTCCACCCCTTTCGTCCCAGAAAGTCGCAATAAGCGACGGGGGAAGACCATTAGAGTTTGGGTCCGATGTTTCGTTCGCGTTGGGGCCAGTGTTGGAGAGGGCGGCTCAGGACGACCATGGTGTTGCATTCCGATCGTCTGGGTCGTTGGCGACTTCAGACTTGTTCGTGGTGGTCGATCTGACAGAAGTGCCCGGCGGCGATGCTTTTGCCTCAAGTTTGACAGTCTTGACTTGACGTTGACATGACGGACGAACGGGAAGGATGGTGGCCTCAAACCGCCGGCACGTCATATCTTTTAGATCTGGATGTGTGTTGTTGGTCTCATCTCGTCTTGAGAGAGGTCAACCAGAGGCGCCTACTTATTAGACGATACTTAAGATCTTAAGCAGATCCCTAAGGTCGCTCGACGCCCTCATCTTGAGACGAATCCTCGAGCGTGACCAGCATCGGATCCGTGAGCTTCCGTCGAGAAGAAGGGAGAAAAAGGCGTTAAGGGACCCGTTAATTAAGAACAGCAACGTGGACATGGAACCTGGGAACGAGCCAGAGAAGCAAGCACCAAACCTAGGTAGCCAAAACCGGGAGCAACAGACGAAAGACGCCAAGAGCTTGGGCCCACAGCTCACAGTGTGTCTGCCTGTGCCGTCACGCGCCGATCCAAATCAACATCGCACGGTGCCCTTTCCTCCCTTCCACTTCACAGTCCCGCCAGCTGCTGGCACTCATCCACCAACCCAGACTCCAACATCCAACAACACACCAACAATGTTCCGACTTCCCTGCGCCTCGCATGCCAGCTTGCTGCGTCAAGAACACAAACAATGGGACTTGTTCCGTCCGGTTGGGCTCCAGAGTTGCACCCACTGCGACCCTGTGGATGGCCAACCTCGAATAAGCTCGTCGTAACAGCTTCGCCAGCGACATCTCACCTTTCCCACTGGAAAGAGTCATAATCACGCAAAAATCAGCTGCAGCCTCATCGGCCACTGCCACAAAATCGTCTGCAAGAACGCACACCAAGGGCGGGTACCGCACCAGTGTCCAGCTACAACAGACGGAAAAGCAGGGACCAGACCAATGTCTTTCGTCCCTGGCGTCAGCACAGCAATGGTGCTCGAATTAGCCTCGAGCCATGCCCCTTTCGACGACATTCCCCGCCGTCAGCCCTGCTGAATGCCGTTTCCTTCTTGGGGGGCACTCCCAGGAGCCAAGCAGACCTCACCACATCATCAACCCGACCAACAAAACAGGCCCAGTCACCCACGTTAGACGTTATAGCCCGGCACGCCTCGGCACCGGCGTCCACTCGAGACGGCCACTATTACACCCTCTTCCTCAGAGCCAAGTGCCTCTGCCTCCCACGCACCACCAAATGACACAATCTCCTCTGCGTCCCAGACGGGGGATTCAGAAGTGGATCGAGTTGATTCATTTTGACTTGCGCAGCCACCACAAGCGCGTCTCATACTCCTCAACATGATCCTTCAGGAAGACGACAAGCGCGTAGCGAGATGATCAGGGCCAACCCCCGATCGCCCCAACCCTACCGCCTCGAGAGAGAGCCGCAAGTCTGGATTCCGCGCTGCCTGTTTGGCCGTCATGATCCAGCTTAAGCGAACATCCAGGGAGGGCAGGCTGTGAAGCAGGCGCACTTGGCGCTGCGCTCCACACCCATCAAAAGTCCTTTTTCGGCCATCTATGCAGAGTCTCTGCTATTGTGTTGACTGTTTCTGCAGGTTCGCGTACCCGACCAACAGTCTATTGATGCCGTCAGCAAGTGCCTGACCGTTCCTGGGCCAGTCACCCCCTCTCGAGCGAGAAGGGGAAAACATGCGCAGATGGTCTCACCCGGTTGGCTATCAAGATCAGCCTGACCGATACCTCATGGCCCGTCTCAGCCGCAAACGCCATCCGATGCGTCACAGTGATGCGGCCTTTCATTCCAGCATTCCAGCACCTCGCCCGCCCTTGCGTACCGCGTCGAGTCGAACGGAAGAGAACCGCGCGGGCGTCGAGTGCCGGCACGATGGCGTTTAATTTCCCTCGCCGCCCGACACCCGGAGATGCCCTAGCTGTCTCTGCCAGGCTCCAACGAATAACTAGTGATGCCCCGTTGCTGCCGCCATTCCATTCTCTGGAGTAACTCCAGGGCCCCCGTCTAGGCTCGCGCCGGCTGGGCTGACAGGGGAGCTCTTTGAGCGGGAACCTGAACGTGCCCGTCCAATAGCACCATCGTGGCTGTTCAGATTCACCGCTTGCAAAAGACGGGCGACAGAGCGGCTCCCTAAACCCCGACTGGACAGCCGATCCATCCTATTCCAAAGCAAGCCAGGCCTGGAACGGCTGCTTCTACACAGGGTTTAGTGCCCTTCGGTATGCTGCAGCCTGGTGATGGGACTCTCACTCATTTCAGCGTCCCGGCTCCCTGGGTGATGTGATTTTTATATATAGTAATAGCAGCACTCACGCCCCATAAGAGAGTTCTGACAGGCTCGCCTCATCACAGCCTCGCTCACCCCCGCGTCTCTCGGGCCCGGCTCCGATCGAATCCCTGTCATCCATCGTTTGTTTGTTGTCCGTCGGGCCTCTTGCTTATAACCTCGCGGGATCGCCTTGTGTCTGAACTAGTCTTCTCAGCCTCAGACAACTCTCGCGGACATCAAAGCTCCCTAGAATCAAATCCATCACAGCAAACATGGTTCTTCACCGCCAACAAGCCCAGTTCGACAGGGCACGATGGCGCATGGCGCTACTGCTGCCTTTCTGGATCCTTCAAATGATGGTTCTTCTCGCTGTCATCGGCCTCTTCTCGTGGCGTCTATCGGATACTCTGAGGAATTGGGATAGTCAAGTGGAGGACAAGGGCATGTTCCCTACGGTTGAAGTTGTGTAAGTTTGCCCCCGTGTGGTCACACGGCATAAGCTAATTTTGCCCAGATGGGAGTCTGTCAACATTGGATTTTCCTTGATCTGCCTCTTCTCCACCATCTACGAAGTCTCCAAACTCGCTGCCGAGACGTTGACACCATGGACCATGATCTTCACCCACGTACTCAAGTTTGTTTGCTCCATGGCCACACTCGCTCTCGACATTGTCGTCTTTACCCAAAGAAAAGACAGCCACTACTCCGTGGTTGGCCTCGGCTTGGACTGCTTCCTCATGTAAGTCAACTCCCTTCCATGATGGACTGCCATGATAGACAAAGCTAACCAGTTGCAGTCTCCTCATCTCCGTCCCTGGCATCTACGCGATTCAAACGTACCGCCGCCTCGCCAAGTACGACGACTACCACTACCCGGTCAACCACAAGCCATATGGCTTCAACGACCTCGAACAAAACACAACATACAACTCCCGCCTGTCCATCGGCGGGTTGTCTCTCGGTGACCGCTCCCTTCGCCGCATCTCGACATCCTCCGCAAAGAGCGGCACCAGCAGCCCCCACGGTTCGATACCTCAACCCCAACCCGAGCCGAAGCCCCTCCAACGCACACCTTCTCAATACAACAACGAAAGAGACACCCAGTTTGACCGCTACATGGTCGAGCGTGCGATGAACACTGAGTTCGGGTGGGCCAGCAGCCCGCCAGCCGACAACCCCCTCGCACGCAGTGATAGCTTCATCGGCAGCGGATCCGTGGCAAACACAAAGGTCGTGACGAGGGAGAGCATGGGTCGCGCGCCAAGCTGGGGGAGCTCGCACGTGCTGGTGGCCGTGCCGGAGATGGACGAGGACGACGCGCCTGGGCGCGGCGACAGGCAAGCCCTGTTGGGACACAGGAGACAGGACAGTGGCGACAGCGTCGGACTCAGCAGCCCGCCGTACCAGGCATACCAGCCGCCTTCGTCACGGGTGCAGGTGCCGATCATCGAGGTGGAGGAGTCGGACATCACGGCAGGCACGGTGGAGTTTGAGCGCAAGAGGAAGAGGAGCCAGTGATTCATGGTTGGTGCTAAGGGGCATCGGATATACCCATCATTGTTTTGCATCATTTCTTTCGTTTCACAAGCTCGATAGCTTGTGTACCTTCTTCTACATTATACCACATTCATGGCGTTTACGATCTGGGAAAAAAGGGGAGATGGCATGGAAGGGGGAGGAGGTCCTTGGGGACAGCTGTTCATACAACACCCTCGCTAGAGACGTTTATACAACGATACCAATCATGCCTTTTCTGGATCCTTTGTATGTGCTTGTATCCAGGCTCCTCTGTGCTGACAAAGTAGAGGAATAACTTGCACGACTAGGACTCAACAAGGCAGATCTTACATGCTGCCGCCTAGCCGTAGCTGGATCTAAACTAGTCAAATCCTCCTAGGAGGCCAACCATGACTGTGAATCGACCCAGTTCATCCGATGACGCGACGACGATGAGTCGAAAGGATTTGAGGCGTCAACGTCCAGTTCGAGCCAAGGATTTTCTCTTTGCTGTCAAAAGGATGGGATTTGGCCCCAATGACATCGTGCAGATGCCAGGATGGGGGCGAGAGGGCTGTGGGCTTACGTGAATCCTGATTTCCGTCAAGAAGGCGAATTTTGCTCATTGCCTCTCTGTGTAGACAATTGGATCTGGCAGACGGAGACTGCTTACGACACTTGTACGACGTAAACGACGTGAACGACAGCAAGCCACGGATATACGGGACAGGATGATTGGCAAGGCAAACTCGGCGATACTGTATTATGCACTCTGCCTGAGACATTACATCCGCCAAATCACTCTCTGAATAACGCAACGGCGTAACCTCATCCTCGCTCGAGCTGGCCATCTCTCCAACATCATCATGCCTTGTATCCGCTCAGCGAAACCCTACACGGATATCCGTCCGTGGGATGCGCAGCGCCTGCCTCCACCATGAACACCCTCTGCCCGCCAAGCCCGCTTGTGTCAAGCTTCCGCTCCCCATCAATCTCCGCGAACGAGTCCTGTATGTCAAACTCCCTGATGATGCAGGCCAGGACCGCCCGCGCCTCTACCATGACGAGCTGCTGCCCGACGCATAGCCGCGACCCGTACTCGAAGATTCGCCAGCCGCCCCGCGGAGGGTAGAGCTCGTCCGCGGGGTCCGTCACGAGCCACCGCTCCGGGATGAACTCGTCCGGCTTGGCCCAGTACCTCGGGTTCCGCCCGATGACCCAGTGGAGCATCGTGATGGCGATCCCCTCCGTCGGGAGCAGGTTCCCCTCGGCGTCCTTGAGAACGAGGTCCGCGGAGCCCTGACGGATGCCGCCCGCTGGCGGGAACAGGCGGAGCGACTCCTTGATGCAGGCGTTCGTGTAGGGCAGCGAGTTGAGCAGACTGGGATTCTCGACGATCTTGGCCGGCGCGGAGGCCACGTCGGCGCCAAACACCTCGTCGTGCTCGGCGCGCACCCTCGCGAGGACGTCCGGGCGGGAGTAGATGTTGTGGAAGCAGTAGACAATGGTGGCCGCCGACGAGTCGTAGCCCGCGAAGAAGAACATGCGCATGTTGCGCGTCATGATGCGGAGGTAGTCCGCGTCCAGCGCCGTGCGCCCCGCGTTCTGCGGCTGCGCGAGCCAGTTCTCGATGGCGCTGTCGAGGACGGACTGGAAGCGCTCCGCCTTGTCGCGGTTGTGCGCCTTGTTCTCGCGCAGGACGCGGAAGCGGGCGGCGATCTGCTCCTTGATGTGGTTGTCGAGGACGCGGCCGCCGTTCCAGGTGCGGAAGAGGGTGACGGGGTCGATGCGCGACAGTAGGTTCTCGGGCTTGTGGGCGGTGAACTTGAGCCGCAGCTGGCCCTTCATCGCCTCGGCGAGCGGGTGTTTTTGCTTCTGCGTGTCGAGGCGCACGTTGAGCAGGACCTCGCCGATGATGTCGGTGATGAGGTCCAGCGCGAGGGGCTCCAGGCGGAACATGTCCCCCTTGCGGGCCTGTTCGCGCAGCCTCTCGGCGAAGACACGGATGCCGTCGACGATGATGGGGACCTCGGCGGTGATGTTCTGGTTGCTGAAGCTGGGACTAAACAAGTTCTGGAGGTGCTTCCAGGGGCGGCCGTTGGTGTCGAACTGGCTCGGGCCGCCGGTGATGGGGTGGAACCAGCCGGTGAGCATGGGCGGCTTCTGAGAGCCAACGACCGGGTGGTAGACGGCCTGGTGGGCCATGTCCGGGTCCGTGATGAGGAGCATCGGGTCGGCCATCGGCCAGGTGTCCATGTAGAAGGCGCCGTTGGGGAAGGGCTCGGCCAGCTTGGCCAGGACGTAGTTTGCGTGCACGCCGGGCGGCAGGCTGTCAAAGGCCTTTTTGGCCTCGAGGAGGTTGCCAAAGAGGAAGTTGTGAGGGACCACGGGCTGCGCGTGACGGTCAGTTCGGATGACGATGAAGATGACGACGGGAGACAGCTCACCAGGCCCTGCTTCTTCAGATCGGCCATCTTGCCGCGGTGCTTCATCAGAAGCTTGAAAAAGTACAGCACGGAGCCCCCGACGACGACCATGATGGCCGCCGCGATGGACCTCACGGACAGCAGGAGCAGGCCCTCCATTGCGAGGTTCGTCAGGAGGTCGCGTGTTGTTACAATGGCTGGCAGAGTTCACGGAACAGTGCGGCAACAGCCCTGATCTCGCTGTGAGAGGTTGCCGTTGACCGCGATATCTCCCAATTGAACGGTCGAGGTCAACGGGCGGCGGATTGGCCGGCAAAATTGAGTTGCTTCAATTACTGACCGACTCCTCCGTCCACCGCTTACCGAAATCTTGGATGAACCTCCCAATCCTACTCCGTAGGTCCTACGGCCCAGAACGCTGAGGAGAGCGAGTCGGGCCCATAACCCAAGGTTCAGGGGTGGTCTCGAAGCGATTAATTGCGCTAGGGCACCCCCTACGGCAATGTCATTTCACTTCCCCGCTTGGGACTGAGGTGCCTGTCAAGCGAAACTCTGATTTCTCTATCTACTGATGCCCCTGAGGCTGCTTGATCTTTTGCCTGGTTTGGTGGTGGTATCTGAAAATGCCTCCGCGATGTTTTCTGGCCTGGTGTGTAACTAAGTCATGTCTCCAATGAACGCCAGTGCGCCCGCCTTGATGTGCTGTGCACTTTTCCCGTACCACAATCTGAGCCCGAACGCCTGCTATTGATGCCTCTCCAACAAGGACCTTGGTTGAAAGATGAGCGGTAAAATTTGACCAAGACGTGAATTTCTCCAAGAATTATGCTTTTGCCGATCCACATCCTGCTGGCTCTCGTCTCATTTGGCAACGTCGCAGTCACCTAGGGACTGCGCCGGCCAGACCAACAGCCACGGAGGACGTCAAGAATTCCGCGCTGTTGTATACTTGCTTGCAATTTGGAGGCGGCGGCTCCTTGGAGAAGCCGTGGCTGTACGCCTCCCCAAGAATGCCGACAGTCGTCGACGCAGCCTCTGGGTCATCGAGGCGGATGACGATCAGCTTCTCGGTGCGGGACATGGCCCAAATCTCGTCGCCCGGTCTGGCGTCGTGAGGGACGAGAACGAGAGCGGCGTGGTCCTGGGTCAATGCCAGCCGGCGAGTCTTGTCCTTGACGAAGATGTCAAGGAAGGGGATATCCGTTTCTGTGACGGACGCCATCGGGCCTTTGCCGGACACCGCGTCGGTGAGCAGATTCCTGTCGTCGAGGGCCCAGAACTGCCGGAAACCAGCCGGGTCTTCGCCGGCGCTGATGGCCTTCTCAAAGTCGTCCAGTCCGCTTAGGCCGTTGAGGACGGGGCTGAGGAGCCTGCTGAATGACTGGATAATCTCGTCTCTGGTGAAGCCTTGGGGATACCTGTCGGTGGTCGTCTTGTTCAGGGTGTCTCCTGAAAGCGTCCGCATGAGGGTGTTCATGCGATCCTCCTCTGACGGACTTGGAGCACGGACTTTGTAGACGAGGGCGAGGAGCTTGACGAGGGGGAGAAGCTGCTTCATGTAGAACAGCTGTTCAGAGACGTCGACGATGGTGTCGACATAGGTGCCGCCCAGCTGGGCCTGTTCTGGTTGCAGGTCGCCGATGGGCATGCTGTCGTCTGCTGAGAGCTTCATGGTGCCAAGTCAAAAAGGGGTACGGATGGATGGATGAATGACTTTCCAAGCGAGAAGGAAAAGAGAAAGCGGCGGCTCTTGAGACATATATCCCCAGAGCCAAGGCTGTCGTCATGTCCGTACCCGCGGGGTCATAATGGGCTTATGTGGACACAGGCTGGGGTTTCCGGGTTGCCGGTAGTCACGTTGCAGGGATGGCGAGGAGACTATACCTGACGGACGCGCTTGCGCTTGCTTGTTGGTCTTGAATTGCGTAAACGGGCGGAGGGGGTTTCTACAAGCGAACAGGATGTGCAGACGGGCTGGACCCGGTGCCGGGACTGACGGGGCCAAGGGGGGCGGCCAAGAGGGCGGCGATGTCATGCGCTGGGGATGGTTGAAAGCTTGACTCCCGGATGGCGCTGCACTTTTTATCCCCTAACTACCTCCTTAAGTGCCCAGGTAAGGTAGTCTAGTGTAGGTAGGTGTCTAGTCAGGTCGCAAGAGTTCGTCTTCAAAGTCAGACATGATCGACGTTGGGCGGCCGGCAACGGAGCAAGGGAGGCCATGGAAAGGCACAGGCGACGGATAGGAGACGAGACGGCCGAGTGTGTGAGAGGAGCAATACAAGATTTAGATTTGGAGGGGGATCAAAATCTGGCAGAGATGACGTCGAGCCGGGGCCCACAGCGGACGGGTCCAGGTGCGTTAGTGCCACGAGTGCTAAAGGGGGCAGCAGCAGGGCACGGTGATTGAGCTGCCCACCCCCCCGGCTTGCTTCATATTCAGGGTCCCGTCGTCCAATGTCGACTCGACCTCGCACAGGACCGTTCGTTGCCGTCGAGCCACAACGTTCTTCAGCGGTCAGCTCAACCGTTAAACCAATCTCAGGTCAGCGTCATCATGGATACCTTACCTACCTATCAGCACCTATCTTATCGTCCCGGCGAGTCGGCACCCGTGATTGTGCGGCGATGAGGTGCTGACGCCCTGTGAGATACCGTCCCGATGCCGTCTCGATCGAGCCGTCGTCTCCCTTGCAGCACCTGATGGATTATCCATTCGAGACGGCCAAGCTGAACCTCTCGTAAACAAGACACCACCGTCGGTACACTGGCACTAGGCACGATCGGCTCCATCAAACACACCCACAATGGTCAAGGTCCTCATCATCATGGCCGACTATGGCCACGATCCTACAGGTCAGCAGCACCCATGTCACTGACATGATCCCGGTGTCTCCCCTCCTCTCCGTCCCCTCCTCATCCCGCCCGTGTCCACCACACACACACACGCGCATCCATCTCCACAGTCTCCTCCGTCCCAAGACCGCTTCCCTGCCGCACCTCACCACCACAAAACCCCTCCACTACCGGATCTGCGTCACGAACCGCAAAGCTAATCTGTGTCATGCTCCCACAGAGGTCGCCGTCCCCTACCAGGCCTTCAAAGATGCTGCCTTCGACGTGAACTTTGCCACCGAAACGGGCAAAACCCCCCGATGCGATAGCAGGATGCTCGAGGGCCTCTCCCAGAAGCTGCTGGTGCGCACCCCGATCTCTTCTTTTCGATTTACGACCCGTGCTTCATCCCTCGTGCCAGACCACACTGTCACAAAACATAAGTAATTGCATTAAGCGCGCGCAGATCTCGCATGTCGCCAATCTGCCCCGGTTTCCGGCGTGCTGCTGCCGTACAATGACTTGTCCACCCGAGCTGACCTCGCTGCTGTTCGACAGGGCGCCGGCGCCTCGGTCATGAAGCTGTGCGAGTCCATGACGGAATCTGCAGAAATGCAGCAGCCGCTGTCGTGGACCGCCCCGGACTTCTCCCTCGATGACTTTGACGTCGTGCACATCCCCGGCGGCCACGACAAAGACGTGCGCCAGCTCATGAACAATTCCGTCGTTCAGAAGCTGTTCGCCAACTACTTTCCCAAGACGAAGAAGCCTGGCAAGAAGGTCGTGGGCGCCATCTGTCATGGGCCGCTGGTGCTCTGCAACGCCAAGGGAGAGGATGGAAACAGCGTTCTATACCACTGTACAACCACGGCGCTTCCTGCGTGCTTCGAGTCGGTGGCCTTTCACGGGACTAGGCTATTTCTAGGCGACTACTACAAGACCTACGGTGCTGGCAGCGAGAATGTCGAGACTTCAGTCAGTTGTTTGGTTCAGATGCACATGCACAACTCTAATGGTTCGACAGATGAAAAAGGTGCTCAAAGACCCCAGCCAGTTCAAGTCCAGTTGGGTCCCAAACCGGCCGTACGTACATTTTCGTCCTGACTTGCCCTTCGCTTACAGCTTCTAGGTTTGTGGTCGAGGACACAGAGTACAATTACATCAGTGCGCGGTTCCCTCCTGATGCGGCCAAATATTCCGAGATGGTGGTGAACCTGGCCCATCTCGTTCAAAGTTACAAGAGTGATGAGTCGCGTGTGCAGTAGTCTGTTTGTTCCTTAGTTCTCAAGTTGGAAACTTTTGCCGTTGGAGCTGCAGTCAAGGTATTGTGATGCGGAAACGGCATGATGGCTTCAACAACGTTTCGTTTATCCGTCGAGGCTACACCCGCGTATAGAGGGGGTTTCAAGAGGAAAAGGGTACGCAAGCCTCTCAATGCACGATATCAGTAATCTAGCCGTACAGTGATGTCATTAAGTCCGTCGGTCTCGTCAAAGTATGGGCAGACAGAGGCCCCGGGAAGCGACTCAAGCTTAAGTGAATCAAGCATTATGCCTACATTCCAACTTGCGCGACGTCACCTAATGGTTCATCCGCCCGGCGAGCATATTTACTTTGAAATCTCCACAATCTTCCTCAGAGCTTCGTCTACTCCGTTGACAACGACGGATGGCTCCTGCCCGATGGTGCTACCCAGAGCATCGACCCAGCCAACGCCGGCGCGGTCGATCCAGGCTGACTTCCATCCTGCAGCTCTCGCTCCGAGCGCATCAAAGGGGTTTGAACTGATAAGCCAGATGGCGGACTTTTGGTCAGACATACTCACCTTCCTCGCAAAGTGCTCATAGGTCTTTGGCGAGGGTTTGAAGCACTGAACCTCTTCAACAGTGATCAACCGGGTAGGCCCAAACACATGGCTCATACGGGACAGGTCCGGTGACGTCTTCATTGAGGTGCCCACCATGTCGTCGGTGCCGTTTGAGAAGACATATGCGTCTATCGTGGGAGCATTTTCGACTATCTCCAAGGCGTCCTTGATCTCGGGGAAAGTCTGTAGGCCATTGTAGGCATCCATAAGACGCTCTTCGTCTTCCTTAGACAGAGCGAGCTTCTTCTCAGCAACGGCATGCTTCAATGCCGCGCGCGTAAGCTCAGAGAATGAGCGGTACATTCCTATTTGTGTCAGCCAAAGAATCGTCGTTCACATATACTCAAACACACCCATGCTGTTGATTCGCCATGTGTACTCGAGCTGGTACCTCCGCCACTGCGCAGCCAGCTCTTTAGCGCTCTCCTCTCCGTATAACTGGGCGAGTTCGATTGCAATCGATTCTGTCGACAGCAGCGTGCCGTAAAGGTCAAACGCGATGACCACTTTCTTTCCTTCTGAAGCCATTTTCCCTTTCAATGAGTAAAGTATCTTCGTGAAATATCTTGTCGAGCTCGTCAGATGGGACGTCGTCTGAACGCTTTAGGGAGTTCGTGACGACCCGCTCACTAAATCGCGGGGAAACGGGGCGTCTGAGCACTTTAAACCCCCTGCAGCAACAGCCGCGCAGCCCTAAAGTTCACTAAAAACAGAAAAGTCATGGCAACCTAACGTCGAATTAACGTCATCGATACTTTTCCATCACCTCACCTCAACCTGGGCGGCCAGCAGGATGAATAACTCCGACGAGGAAACCACTCAGTTCGAGACGTTCAGGGATTACCTGTCTGCCGCCATTGTTGAAAAGGTCACAAAGCCAGCCTCCAAACCCAAGAAGCGCACCAAAAAGACGAAATCGTCGCCACCAACAGCCAAATCACAACATGGGGCAGACGACACCCCGGTCGACGCGGACGACATGATAGACTTCAGCTCCTACCTTGCCTCTGAAGCCTTCGAGTCCTTTCCAGAAGACCTGAAAGCCCTCTCCCACGTCACATACACCGCAGACCCGGCCCTTCAATCACGCCTCTCCATGCCCTTGACCGGCTCCGACGTGGCGGACCTCCTCCCCACGCTCTCGCCCGACGTATCAGAGTCCCTGGTGGCCTACAACATCATCGATCCGGACCGACAGGGGGCGCACGAGTTCCTCGCGCCGGTTCTGACCGAGTACGTCGCCGCCCTGACGGCAGCGCCGCCGCCGCCGCGCTCGACGAGGGACCAGGTCGACGGGTGCGAGCTGTGCGGCCGCGACTGGATCGGGCTGACGTACCACCATCTCATCCCGCGCATGGTCCACGACAAGGTCGTCAAGCGGGGGTGGCACCGGGAGGACGAGCTGAACAACGTGGCCTGGCTGTGCCGGCTCTGCCACTCCTTCGTGCATCGTTTCGCGGGACATGAGGATCTGGCGAGGCACTACTACACCGTGGAATTATTGCTCGAACAGGACGAGGTGGTCAAGTTTGCACAGTACGCCAGCAGAGTGCGGTGGAAGGGGAGGTAGGTTGTCTTGCGGTTTGCAGATGAGTCTACGGGAGTCCTCCAGTCTGTGACGATTCCAAAGGTCTGGTCAATCAACCCCAGCTCTGCCCAGCTTCCTCCAGGCCGAATGCCGTGCCCCCCTGCGGCGAGCCTTCTTTGCACCTTTCTAGCAGCTCCCTGGCGCATACTTGAGGCAGATCTTCGTCTTCTTGTTGCCGCAGCAATGGTGCTGAACACAGCCCTCGTCCGGTTCGCAGTTCTTAGACGATTTGCATGTCTTCGCCTTCTTGCAATCCAGGTTCTGGACGCAGATGTTGGGGTCATTTTTGGCTGCACCTTTAAGACAAGCACAGCGCGGGCCCTTCTTCTGCCCTTTTTTGCAGGGGAAGGTGTTGACCTTGTTGAACGGGCAGATGGCTGCCATCTTGCAAGTGACGTCCACTGTCGTAGTTACGGTCGCGGTCGCGGTCGTGGTCGTTGTCGTGAACACAACCGGCGTTGCTAGGGTTATTACAGTTGGAGGGATCCCCCAGCAGTTGCAAACAGAGGAGTATTCGGAGGTGCCAGCGCAAACGGCGGTCGCATAGTAGGGTAGGGAGCTGGGGGCATCTGTCACGGGAGCGCGAGGGGCAACGAGATTGACCAGCGGTTCCGCAGCGGCAAATCGCTTTTTGGCTTTCCCAATGGTGGTGGTAGAGGTTGTGGTAAAGGTTTCGCTGATGGTCGTGGTGCTGTTTGTGTGAGTAAGAAGCGTCCATCAGGAGGGTTCTCTTACATTGTGTCAGGGGTAACCGTGGTCTGCATGAAGGAAGAACAATCCAATCTGCGAATATCGATGTCGGGCTTCACATGACCTCCAGAGCCAGTGATGGCCCTGGCACAGTTGTTTCCATGGCAAGTGGCCGTGGCGAGGCCAGTGAGCGCGAAGATGGTCGTGGCGAAGGCAGTCTTCATGTTGGCAAAATGATTGAAGCTGTGCCGGATGAGCCTGAGAGGAAGCAGTGATTTCGAGATAGCATTCAGCCATCTTTATAGGAATCCAAAGGTAGCCAAAGGCTAGATGCCATCTTGTAAACAGACGTTGAAGTCTGTACGTTGAGAGATTCAGCTGGAGGCGGTGAGCCCAGTATCGCTCGGAAGAAGTTGCCTTTGAGAAGTTCTCCAGCTGGCATGTCTCGGAACATGTCTTGACAAGATATATCTCATAGGCCTATGCATTTTCATCGATGTAAGACGGCCATTGAGAAACGCCGTGCAGCCATGTCGAGCTGTCAAATCGAGCGGTCTGGGGCTATGACAGATCGTGGAGCAAGGTCAACGAAGATCCGCATCTAGATGGATGCACGTGGCGACTTTGTGCTTCATGTAACTGAAGGGTCCAGTCAGATTGGGCTACTGTTGGGGAACTCATCCTCCCGTGGACGCACAAGTGCTGACCGTCAGACGTCGCTTTCAGCTTCGAGTCTGCCAGAGGCAAGAGTCGAAGGTAGAATCATTGCTGAGTTCATAAGTCGGGACACTCTTGCCGAGCGGTGTGGTCGTTTATACTGACTTTTTTGTGGACGCAAGGACCCAGAATGCTCTTGCCCTCCACTGTGGCATCGAACGCTGGTGGTGACACCAAGGTGAATGAGGTGCAGTCACCTCGGTGAGGCTCGGTGACTCGGTCAAGAATGGCCACTACCGAGACTAGCCCTGACGATCCCGGCCCTGCAAATGCCTGTCCACCCTAAGGCATCCTGGTCGATCCAGGGTCCCACATCGCCTCGGCGACAGCCCACTTTAGATTGACTCAAAGCTCTCTCATTCCAGGGCTGAATGATTTTTTTTTTTCGCTCAAGCTCCCAACGGAACGCCTCTGAACCACTGAACGCACGGTGGTGGGTGGGCTCCGTCGAGAGCTCCATTCAGCCACATGCGATTCGCAACTCGCGGCCCGTGGTCTGATTGTCATTCGTCCCTGATACACGTGTGTATCGCCTCAGATAATCCTCAAGGTCTTGATGACTCCTATTTCGGCCCAATCAACGCCAATCTCGCCAACACGCGACAAGGCCATGCCGCCCCCCTTTTCCGAGCCCTCGACTGCGGTCGGTGAAGATTGCGCGAAGCATGTCCGCCGCCCCCTTGGATTGGTCACCAGCCTCTCCCACCTGCTTCTCGTCTTATCGCTAAAAAAAAAGTGACACATTGATCCTTGAAACGTCTCCATCAAAGAGGCGTTCAGGCCGGGTGGCCCACATGAAAATGGATCTCACCGATCGGGCCCTTTCTGTTTACATCTGCAATTTTCGGGCCGTTGCATCTAGGTGTGAGAAGTGACTTCGATAAGGCGAAAACCCTTATTTCTGCAAAGGACAACCTTTTTCTTTAATTCTTCTCTCTTCACTTCCCACCGACTTTTCAAAATCGCAACAAAAAAGCAACAACGAACCTTTCCATCAATACCAAGCAAATAACGACGCCCACCATGTACAAGCCCAAAGCAAGCAGGCATCCCATGATTTACAGCAAGGAGAATGAGTGGGCCATCATCGACGACGAAGAGGAGGAGGAGAAGGAGAGGCAGCGGCTGAGGCAGGCCGAGCGCCTCAAGGTCGGATGCTTCGTCGCCGCCCTCACCGTCGTTCTCGTGCCCACAATCTGCGGTTTTGTGTGGTGTTGCCGCCGCTCTGCCCGATGAGGCTGCATCGTAGGTTATTTTTGTTGGTTTGCCGTTGCGTCCACCGAGTTAACACTCAAACCAGGCGAATCGCGGACCACTGAAGACATCTCTTGAGGATCGCAATGTTCATGATTAATTCTACGACTACTTTGTACGAGTCAACCACGCACACGCTGCGCAAGATGACGACGACGGCAATGCTTCGGATTGCCACCCAACCGGGTTAGCAAGAGCTGCCGTCGCCCTACTTTTCCGACTTCTCACCGAGGGAAGCTTCGCGCCGCCCACGTTTCCACTTCCACCTCGTCTCGGACCTAGTCTTCTCGTTCTTGGCATGCGCCTGCTCAACCGCAGCCACGCCCGCGTCGAGCCCGAGATGAGCGACCCCCTTGACAACCTCTTTCGAACCCCCCGTGTCCGCCACCACGGCATCCGCGCACATCTCGGCCCCCTCGAACGCGACGGCGCCGAGCGTCACGCCCAGGGCCATCGGGATCAGCACGTCTCCGCGTTTCGTCTTGACCGTGAGCCCGCGCTCGACGGCGTGCTTCTCGAGGATCCGCCGCTTCCTCCGCGCGTTGCGGATGCGGGCCGCGTCGTACGGGACCATCAGCCAGGTCAGACCGGCCGTGGCGGCGCCCGCGGCGGTGTGCAGCGCGGCCCCCGTCGAGCCGCTCGCTAGCTGGCGGACATAGTGTGCTCTTCTGGCCAGGAGGACTTCGTCGGTCATTTGGTGGCATTTCAGGTCGTAGGCTTCTGGGTCGAAGTGCATTTTGTGGTTGTACGTCTAGCGGAATGGTTCACCAGTCTTTTGTGGGTTAGGAAGTTGCAGTAATCGCTGGCTGGCAAGGCAGGCCAAGCACCAAATATACAGCACCCAACACCACACATAGTTTCCGCTGAGGCGAAGCCTGGGAGAGGCTGAGAGGTCATCCAAAGAACGGATGATGGCAGATAGAGCGCATGAAAGCCAAAATACACAAGTAATTACGACAAGGTTCTTTCGCAGGGTGAGAAACGGGACGAGGTGACTGCGCCATGCTTCTTTACGCCGACCCGCCGGCTCCGATGCCGTGGCCGAGAGCACCGAGACTGTGGATGTCCGTGCTCCGGCAGCGGCCGGTGGCAAGACCCCGAAAAAAACAGGGACCAGGTCCGCGGGGGAGCGGAGTTTCGGAGTCCAGACACAGCAACTCGTCCCATCATCTGATCTCATGCAAAACGAAAAGCCTTCATCCTTATTAACCATACATACTCGGCCGGATGTCCAAAGGAGCCGATCCTGACTCGTCTACAAGCCTACAATCATTAAACCATAAAATGTCCCTTTCCGCAAGAGAGTTACAGTCATCTTGCCCCTTTTCCGTCCGAACTCCAAAAACATAAAAATCATCACACATCATCACAAAGATCTGAGCTCAACATCCCTCCGGTACGTCCAGGAGTGTGCGTCAGCGTATACCTGCTTGTATCCGAGGACGCCCTCGACGAGGGAGAGCACGATCGTTGGCGTGACGGTGAAGGTGCCGCTCCTGTTCTCGGCGACCAGCACCAGCCGGTCGATGATGGCGCCAAGACCAAAGGCGCACTGGTGGAGCTTGACCTCGACCGCGGGGGGCTTTGCAAAGTATGTTAGCAGCCGTCTTCCAAATATAAGTTGATGGGCATACCTTTGTGCTGAGCTGGTGGTTCACGCGGCGCCACTTCTTAAAGTACTCGGACAAGAACTTGAGAGTACCGCTGTGGCTGCACTGCACCTCGATCTCGTGCGCGCTGCGGGCGTACACGAACAGGTGATAAGGGGGTTTGCTGAGCAGATCGTCGGGGCGGGGCAGAGAATCCGCGCGGGGGAGGATGTCCGGCCCCGTCGTCGTCTTTGCAGAGGTCTCTCTGTCGTTCAGAGAGAGGTGGCCAGCCCGCACGTCCAACCCCACGTCGGCCCACTCGTCGCCCGACATCCGCGGGGAAATGGTGTATGACGGCGGGAGGTGGTGCTTGTCGGAGAAGCACTCCTTGATCTCGCCCTGGAAGAGGGGGAAGAGCTCTGCGGGGTGGTTGAGCTGGCGTCTCGGCAGGGCAATGATGAAGCCGCCCCGCTCGTCGGACCATGTTGACGATGCCTGGTCGTCGCGGGAAACCTGGTCGTGTTAGACTCGATAATCGATGGAAACGGTAAATTTTAGCTTACCTCGACAAAGAGACGGAGGTTGACATATGTCACCTTGAGCTTCTCCAGCAGGCTCTCGGTCCAGTCCGCGTTCTTGTCGTCGTCGAGGAGCTCTGTCGCGGCCTTGGTCCAGGTCTCAACAGTGCCGGCCACGGCGGCAACCAAATCGCCCTTGTCAGAGTAGACGGTGTCCAATTCGGCCAGCAAAAGTTGCCAGTCTGGTTCGACATCGATATCAAGGCCGAGGATGTTCTTCAGCTCCTTGAGTGCCTTTTGGAGCTGGCTCTCCTCGCTTGTCCAGTGGTCGCGGATGGCAACCTTGGCCTTGAGTGGTCTGCAGATCGTGTTAGTCGCTCGGTTGCGGGTGGGTCCTGAGAGGGCATCGCGGGATACTCACAAACTAGACATACTGAATAGCGTAGTGTTGTCAATGTTTGTATGCAACGAATATGCTTGTGTGTTATGAATGTTCTGATGATGACAAGAGTCTCTCTTCTCTGCTCAAAGGCGAGTTGTCGACGGTTGATATTGACTTCTCGAGACTTCGCAATGACAGGGGTTCACCATCTCGTGTCAGTCCACAATCCACCCCAGACGCCAAGATGAGCGGACAGACCCAGCTGAAGGCGTGGCGTCAGGTCTCCTGCCAGGCAACGAGGCGGAGCCGACGCAAAATGATACACAAGAAACCGTCGAAGCGTTCTGCAACTGCCATGGCTGGACCAGATTGCATGATCAAGGCAGCCTGACCATCGGCGATCAGCGGGTGGGGACTCGCGCGGGGAATGGTGCGTTGCTGCGAACATGCCATTTTGAGGGCCATTTTCGGTGTCAAAGCAGGTTGCACCGGGTTTCAACTCTTCGACAACACCCCCGGTACCTGAACCGGGCCAAGCCGGGGCCGCGGGCCTTTACGGGCCTGAGCTGAGCGTTCGTACCATCGCCGCGGTCCGGTCCGACATGCAGTGAGCAGAGCCGGAATGATGTCACTGACTCACACTTCGAACCACGGAGAAAATCGATCTGTCCCGTGACCAGGTCACGATGCGACGCAAATATCTTCGTCACTTGGATGTGGTCATTTTCGTGTCGTGTGTTGATGAAGTCGCCAACTTTGCTGCCTGAAGACTTCAGCACAATTAGCGCACTCAACCACCCCCACAGCTGGGTGCGCCCTGTACTTGAACCCCTGAAGCTGCCTTTAGCCTCTGCGCCACCAGCAAACTTCACCTTCATCATGTCCACATGTGGAAAAGACCGCGGGAATTTCGCAGCGACTAAACCACGAGGCGGGTCGCTAGGCTGACTGCTCGCGTGCCTGTCAAAGGGGTAGGGCGAGATCTAGGTTCAAAGCAGCTTAACTCGGCCGCCCAGGCTAGGGTGAGAACTGTATCGCGGAGCTTGCGGCGGCCGTTAACGGGCCAAGATCAATGTTGGAGAAATGATCATCAGAGAGCTGAAAAAAGAGGCTGATTGAGAGAGGAGATGGAATGCCTTGAGCTAGACCTCGATTGTTGACAACGAGAGCGGGAATGTCGGGATAAAAGGCCGCTTCATCACCGCCGTTCTGGTACATACAGCAGCAACTCGCTCATCTGATCCGGCTCATCAAGAAAACAAATCTGAAAATGTCTCGTCTTCCCGCTGCTGAGAAACTGCCTTTGGCACTCCGCAAGAACAGTATGTGATGGTTCCCAGCTTCAAATCGCACCGCTAACAGACAAGTCCGCGATGACTGGGAGAGCAAGAAAGAAGACCTCCAGAAGCAGCTTTCGGACGTCCTTGGCGCCGAGTGGACGTTGAACGACATCAACCCGAACGAGCTCTACCCGTACGCCGGTGATGGCTACGCCAAGCAGTCTCTCGGCAGCTGTATAGCTCAGTGAGTTGCCAGCGGTCGAATCATGCATCGCCTACTAACACTCAGTAGGTACATTACATCCGCCATCTACAACCTCAAGTCTTATACAGAGAACTACGGCGAGGAAGGTAAGAACGAGATCAACTCAATCTGCCATACCCGATCCCTCATCATCGACCTCGATGACCGTCCCAAGGACAAGCGGGTCTCGTACTGCGGCGTGACGGTCAAAGACGGCAAGCTGGCTCTCGTCTTCTCCGAGGGCAACCTCGGCACCAACGTCGACTACGCCATTGACTCACAGGGTCTGCTGAAGGCTCTCAACGAGGCCCCGCCCGCCCCCGGGGCCGAAGCGGCCATGAGCTACGCCGCGCGCACCTCGGTCAGGCAGGAGTACGACGAGAAGATCGAGGAGACCCGCAAGAAGCTGGGCGACATGCTCGAGAAGCCCGACATCGTCCTCGTGCCCAACTTCGAGACCAACTTTGCCAAGATCATGGAGGAGAGCAAGAAGAAGAAGAGCGAGGTCAGGGATGACTGGGAAAGTAACCTGGGCAATTTCACGCGGATGTACTTTGAGGGCTTGGTGTACCAGATGGGATACCAAAAGTTCGACAAGGACGACCTTTTGAGGGAGAGTTTCAACGAGGCCGTCGACAAGGGGGAGATTCACTTTCGCATTGTGGACAAGATGTCGTATGCGACGTACGGCGAGGTTGTCGTCGAGGACGGGGCTGTTTATGTCCAGGTAAGTTGCCTGCATGCGTTTTCGGGGGTAATCGTACTGACCAATGCCTAGACTCAAGCCAAGAACTTTGGAACAAACGTCGACTATGCTGCCGAGAAGATGTTGGATCAGCTTTAAGTTGTGTTGAAAGTGATGAACCGAACTCATCGGCCTGGGGTTACTATTTCGGCATGTACATATATCAAATAATTACTTTGCCCTGTGGCACCACCGCCTCCCGCTCAAGAGATAACTGCACATTTCGAGCTCCAGGAAAGCCCCGAAGAGACTCCCGACGACCACACCTCCCGCATCGCCAGCAGTGACGATGCACATACTAAACTCTCTGTCGTTGGCGTCTCGAGTCTCTTCCATAATTCTCACCAAAACGTTAATGTACACCAACCCGCTCGACAGGCCCGTCGCAAAGGCAAGTGCAAACGAGAGATTCGTCGACACAAGAAAGACGGCGTTGAAGAAGGCGAGTATGGAGGCCGCAGTCAAAATAGCCAGAGGTGCCCTGAGATTTCGAAGAGGGTAAAAGGTGACTGAAGAACGAGCCAGCAACGTCCCGAGGTGGATGGACACGCCGTAAGTCGCCGTAAAGCGGGAAAAGGTCCCAAAGACAGATCCGTCTAATGTCCTCGCGACCCCCTGCTGCAGGAAAAGTAACAAAGATGCTGCGAAGAGTGGCAGCATATCCGATCTCGCCAGGCCAAGAATAATCTGCACATTAGCCCTCATCGAAAGCGAGCCAGACCTTCGCCTATGCTGACCAGCTTCCAAACACGATTGCCTCTCTGCGCGATCCCTATCCTGTCTGCCGGCCCATTTTGTTAGGTTCTGCTGCAAGATTGCAAAGTGCGCAAGCACCAATAACGCAACAAGATAGAAAACCCCTCCCGTCGCGCTTCTCAGGACCTTGCCCGCTTTGTGCGCCAGAACAAACGGCCACACGGCGTTGCTGACCATCCCGGCGCCGGTCCCGAAGCCCCACCCCGCAAGCGCGTGCACGCCGGAATGCCCGACCATCCCGAGACAGGACACCTCCATCACGGACGCCGACACGGACGCTAGCACCGACATGGCAATCCGCACCGGCGGTAGCACATTCGGCGGCGTGTCATCGGCGACCTTTTTGGCAACGAGCCAGCATGCGGCGACGACGAGAGGCCGTATTCGGCATGGTAAGCGGTGGATGACGAAGGGGAGCGACAGCTTCACCGCGACACAAGGCAGAAGCTCGATGAGCGTGACGACGGCTCGGGGGTACGGGATGATGAGGTAGTTGGCGGCGTATATAATGGCCGGGAGGATGGTGTTGGCCAGCCCTATGAACAAGGCATCAATTAGCGACAGGATCGAAATGAAGTGCCATTTAGATAAAACTTACCTAGGCATGCAAACCCCAAAAATGTCCGAACCTCGTCAAACGATGTCTTGCTTTTCGGCGCCATCATCAATCGAGGCAGATGGCTTCGGTTTCGGATGGTGCTAGACTCAAGGTTCAAGAGCACGCACTCGCACGGCACGCCCGCAGCCGAGAGCGAGACACGGCCTCGTTCAAAAAGAAAAACAACTCACAAGGGATCGCATCCCCTGCAACAAGGCAGACGGTCAATTGAAACGATACCCGTCCACCACGTGCAGCCTGAAGCAACCGCCAAGCATGGATGAGCGGTTCGCGGGGGCACTGTGCGGGCGAATCGAACCCACCACGTGGGGAGGGTCTGCCGAATGATAGGGACGGGAATGGGCCGGTCGCAATTACATACGACGACGAGAACCAGCGATTGCTGACGGCAGTTGATGAAGTCGTCGTCATTGAGCTGTCGCGTGCGGCCCGTGAAATACTTACTTCCACCAGGATAACTGAAATTGGGGGATTTGCATCTGCGGCCGACGATTCACCACGATGTTTGTCAACACCGGCGCCATGATGCGAGACTCTCGGGTTTTTGGCTGGATCACAGGCTCAGAACCCAAGACTGCGTGGCCCTCCATCTCTCTGGACGCAGAGACTCAGCATGGCCGTCGCAGGGCGCCGCGGTTCGCTCGAGCGCGTGCTTCTTTGTTGAAGGTTGTCCTACCAATCGGCATCCTAATGTGTGTCACGGCAGCTCTTCTGACGAGTCTGGTGTGTTTGTCCTCTTTGTAAGAGATACCCCTGCTAACGCTGCACAGTTCCCATCAGAGGCCGTATACCTCGTCAGTGTGTTCGACTCGAAAAGAGTCATCTCCACGGCGCAGCTGGAAAGTCTCAAAGCACCCGCCCATGTAGACACCGGCGGCTCTCGACGGTTGAGGCTGTTCATGCCCGCCGATGGGCCGAATATCAACCTTTGCAAAACCACCATGTCTGCCGTGGCGCTTGGCTATCCCTTGCCCACCCTTCTCAACTGGAACGGAGAGTTCAACAGGCCCGACTGGCACTTTGCAGGCTCGCACATTGCCAAGTTGGAGTCTCTGCTCGCTGTCATTGATGCCCTCTACGAGAAAGACGATAGCCTGAACGAGAACGACCTGGTCCTTCTCGTCGATGCCTACGACATTTGGTTCCAGCTTCCTCCGTCAGTTCTCATCGAACGTTTCCACCGCCTCAACAGCGACGCAGATGCCCGCGTGAAGAAGCAGTGGGCAGAGCATGGCTTCAAAGAGGGTTTCCCGATCCAGTCTCCCAAGCAGAACATTGTTGTCACCACCGCGAAAGACTGCCAACCGGACTGGGAATCAGGGTCTAACCCCCGGTATGAGTATTGGCCGGATTCCCCCCTGCCCGCGGATTTCTACGGCGAGGGGACCGACGAGATCCTCCCGTATGTATTCGACTCCGCTAGGAAGTACAAAAAGATCCGGCCTCGATGCGTAAACAGCGGGATGATCATGGGCACCATCGGCGCCTTGAGAGGAGCGCTGCAAAACGCCAAGGAAAAGGTTGACAAGGCTGCCATGGGCGGTCGGCAGCTATGGAGTGACCAGGCCCTCTTCGCTGAAGTCATTGGAGACCAGGAGATGTGGCGGTACTGGATAAGAGGTCTGGCTTCGACGTGGAACGGAACCGCATCCCACGACCAGCCGAGAGATTTGCCTCGCCATGTCCGGGACATCGCAAACAGTGCACTGGAGGGGAAGAAGTTTGAGTTCGGTATTGGGCTAGACTATGAGTTTGCCACAATCCCACCAACATGCTCCTCGGAAGACGATGGCTTCTTCGTCAGGCTCGACGACACCGAGATGGTGAAAAAGGAGTCGGAAAAGTCTGGCGTGACCGGCGGCGTCAGGGTCAAGGGCATCCCGCCAGAACTGAAAGGCTCCGAAGGACCCCTGCCTGGACTCGGCTCGAGTTGGGGAAAGGTGCCTCTGTACACCGACTTCTTCTTCGGCAACACGCCCGTTGGTATCCATCACAACGCCTACGTCTTTGGTCTCAAACCATGGCGACTGGAACACTGGTGGAACATGACTTGGTACTATCCTCATCTTCGACAACTCGTCACCAAAGCGCTGCACTCCAACAGCAAGCTTACGCCCTTGACAAGGCTGCCGTTGCGAGAAGACGGCGGAAATGAGATGGTGTACTGGGCTTTAGACGATGACGAAAAGACGGCCATGATTTTTGACGGATCGAACCAGACATATGCGTCAATCAGCTGGGACGGCTTATGCCAGAAGGGAGACACCAAGTGGCATGACGTTCTCTTTGGGGATCACAAGGGGCCGTTGGTTGTTTGAGTATTGAAGATTGATTTTTCTATTGTTTATACCCAGTTCTGTAGTAATGAAGCGCTGCCAAACTAAACCAAGTGAAAGGGTATCATTCTATACGAACCGCGTCATCAAGACCAAACTCCAATGTATGCTGCCAACTGTCAATGAAACCGTCCTACAGCGTGCTGTTTCTAACGATGCCATTCTCCGACGTCACGAATGGCGGCAGCTCAGGGGGGCTGGCGCCGTTACGGTAGAGCCACAGTCTCGAGAGATCCTTGACCCTGACTGTCCTCTTCCTGTTGCGGCCTTTGAGGCGCTCTCCGTGGAACTCGACCTCGTTAGCAAAGTCTCGGCCCAGGTAAGACACCTCAAAGGCCTCACGGGCGTTCTGCCCCGCATCTCCCTGCCTCCCGACCTGGATCTCACTCTCCATAAACTCGTTTGTGTCCGCGGCGCCAATGTATTGCCCCGTCTCTGCGTCCTTCTCCAGAGGAAACATGCCGTCCAGGTAGTGCTGGCAAAACTGGTGACCTCCACGCTCCGAAGCCCTCACAAACAAACGCCCGATGAAACGCGGCATGCTGTGGTCTGCGGTCAGAGAGGTGCAAAAGTGCAAAACGCCCCAGATCGCTACGAAGTCGGTCGAGTGGGCGTAGTGTTCGACGTGGCCGATGGCACGGTCGAGGGCGGCGGTGGATGATCGGGAAGACGACAGGGACGAGGATTCCTTGGACAAGGTCGGTGTACGAGCGTGTCCGTTTTCGGTGCCGTTGGGGGTGCCCGAAGCTCGTCGCCGAAGACCAGTCGTCACCGGAGATATGGGGCTTCCGTTCGGTTCGATCTGAGCCATCGTGGTCGTGGTCAAAGTCATGGCGGCCGGGTTACGTTGCGCCAGGTTCTGGGACGCGACGTGGCGATGGGGGTTGTTGAAGTGGTTCGCAGCGTTACCAAAGGTGTAGACCTCAAGCTTGGCAAGAAGATCCTGGGGCAGCTCCTGGAGAAGCCAGTCGAGGACGAGACCGCCTTCGATGCCGCCCTGGGAGTGCAGAATAAAAACCACCTTGGAGTACTTTGGATTGTACAGCGTCTCTTTGACGATACGATAGCACATCCGTACGTCGTAGGTGGCGTAGCCGAGATTCCGCTGGATCAGGCACTCGACGACGTCGAACAGGATGCCGGAGGTTTGGTTGTGGATGCCGAGAATGGGGCGCTTAAAGGTGAGGGCCAGACGGTTGAGGTTGTTCTTCATCCAGTGGTCGCTGCATCTGGTTAGCCGCCGTTTGCAGATTGGTTGGTGGATCACTTACCCAACGGCGACGCCGTTCAAAAAGATCCATTGCTCGTGAGCATGCTCAGGCAGCTCTGGAGCGTACTTGGGATCCGACGTGTATGTGAGAGTTGGGCCGTTTAGGCAGAGACAGAGGAGATAGTTGACGGTGAAGAAGACACCCAACGCAAGGATGTCGATCCACAAGGGGAAAAAGATGGTCATGGGGAGTGCCAGAATGAAGCCGATCTGTAGCACACATAGCAGGAGATGCATGCCGACGCAGAAGAGGTTCTGCCTCGTAAAGGCCAGCTCGTCAAGGGCGCCAGAGTCGGATGGGGTAATTGGCCAGACGATCCATGGAAGGGCCCAAATGTATCGAAAGAAGTAGTAGATGTCGTAGGCCAGCAGCTTCCAGGGAAAGTCCGTGTAGGAGTAGTTGATGACGGAGCTCCCGCCGACCTGGGAGCCCAAGAACTTTGTCGAACCCATCCTCTCTTTGAGCAACTCGTCGCGTTTCTGGTGTCGTGCCTTGTGCCTAGCAGACAACTTCTCTCCCAACCATGGGATGCAAAAGATTCCCCCACCCATGACGACGAGACCCGCGCAGGAGGAATTTATAGCAGAGCAAGGGTTTAACAGAAATTGGCAGAAAGGGTATGTGATCAAGTGACCGGTCCACCGTATGGGGTTTGTGTCATTCGCAGAAGACGAAGGACGGGTGCTCACGCGGCATTATATTCCCCATGGGCAGTAGGAGATGGAGGGCACGCCGGGTGAGACACCAGTAAACACCAACCACCAAGCCCGAGATCCTAGCACCTGGCGGCAGACTGGGGAAAGAAGGCCAGCTTCCAAAAAAGAGACGATGCAGGTGCAGGGCTGAGCTGGCCGCCTTTGCTGGGGATTATCGACGGCGCCGCCCTTTGGCTGGTCACTCGACCGGGGCGCGCACCAATGAGGTGCCATGGTCAGCAGCTAGCGATGATGTGGTAGGACCCGGAGGGGGGTCTGGGGGCGCCACCCGCTGCCGCTGCCTGCCCCGTCGCTAACGCATCTGGTAAGGTAGCGTGGGTAGGTAGCTCTTGATCGCCAAAGGTGCCTTGTTGGGTGCAAGTACGAGGCATGCAGTCAGATCTGGGCAGTGCAGGGGACGAGGATAGGCATGGCTGCGAGGCTCCGAGATTGTCTTGTGCACCGACAAGAGGCCAATTGCGAGTGACGGGCTGTGGTTGCGAACGGAAAGGCCGTATGCCCCGTGTCTGAGGTGCATATGTTGGTGTCTTGAGGCGGTATTGAGGCCATCTCGGTTGGGGCTTGTTCGTACAGAAGACGCAAATGCTTCGGCTGGTGAGCCAGGTGCCCAATTAACCCAATGAGACGCTCCATCTGTCGTCATAACTGACGTTGCGCGCTCAGCCTATCGGCACGCCTAACCCGGCAGAGTCATCCTCCCAGAATAAAGACTGAGGAATTGCGGTGCCTTGCCGTGCTTACCACAGAACCTTGAAGACAGGTGTCACCGAAGAATGGATGTAGCCTTTGTGGGAGCTGAAACGCAGCCTTGCCGTGTCTTGGTTGCTCGCCGGCTTGAGGCAAAATAAGTCAACGGCGAGATGAGGTTGAGCCGCCTAGGCGCAGACGACGTTGGCTGCACGCAGATATGTTGCAGCCTGGTTCCTCATTACTCGTTACTGAATGTCTGCCTGGAGTCTCGGCAGCATCAGTTGTCTCATCATGGAATTCTGCGCATGTGTTGTGCGCAAGTCAGCGCGAGCAGCTTGGGCTGAGTGCGCGGGTGGGGCCGTCGAGCATCGTGAGATGGCAAAAGCTGGACGAAACTTGGGAAATCGATTTTGGGACTGTTCTGGTACCCCCGAAGCATGGAATCCGACGCCCGGGCCTCTTCAGGGGTACCTATTTTGACCGCCGTAGAAAATCTGCTGCAAAAAAAAAACCCGACGACCTGACGGGCTGAACTTGATATGGTCCGTGCGCCAGTGACTGGTTGTTTGGTGGGGTGCGTTTGTTGACCAAACATTGGTCTCGACTCTCACCAGTGAAGACAGAGCCCAAAGCTGACAACTTCGAATTGGCTATTCCAAACAACACACAACCGCGGCTATAGCCTACTACTTCCCGTCATGTCTATGCTATCAATTCACCTGGAGCAAATAGCTCTGTCGTGCGAAGGCATCGACTCTCTCCCGTACGCATCCTATCCCTCCTTCCGCGAATCCCACTGACGCGCCTCAGATTCCCACCTCCCAAAATCTTTACAAACGCTATGCTCTACAACAGCGACATCACCTCTCTGATCCGCGACACCGAAGCCCACGAACGCGCCCTCTTCTCCGTTCCACCTCCCCCAGCTCCCGCCACCTCCCAGAACCCAGACCCGAAGCCCAACAACCGCCGCCAGACCGTCTTCAACGTCGCTTCGGGTGAGGTCACAACCGGCCCCCCGGCAACCCGTGGAGGTGGCGGCGGCGGGCCTCGTAGACACACCGCCGTATCTGCCGTTTTGGGAGGCGATCTGCACGACCAGCTACGCCGCGGCGAGCGTCAGGCAGCTAGCAAGGGCGGCGACGTCGACGTCGAGGTCCTGCTGAAGGGAGCGACGAAGCTCTGTGGTGTTTACGCACTGCCCGGAGCTCTGGAGAGAATCCCACAGCTGAGGAACCGTTATGCACACCAGACGAACACGCTAGCATACTACGAAGCCAAGGTCGCCGAGCACCAGGCCGCGTTGGAGAGGATGAACAAGGACCACTGGATGGGCGACGAGGAGGAGCCAGAAGACGACGAAGAAGAAGAAGACGAGGACATGATGACCGAGGAGGAATACCGGGCTGAGGAAGAGCTAGTGCGCGACCTCGACAGGAAGAAGCGCGAGCTGCAGCAGCGGCTGCGCGCGATGGACAAGGACTTGGGGGGGCTGTTGAACATGTGAACGGATTGGCACTTTACGAGGCTACGACCATGATATCCAATGCGAGTTCAGAAATTATTTTTACATGTTTTGTACAGAATTGCCGAGTGTCCTAACACGACAGGCCGTCTTGCCCGCTGGCGCCCTTGCCGCCCTCTCTCGCTGCGACGAGCGTCTCCAGAAACTCACCAACATCCTGCGCGCCGCCAATCTCGTACTTGTCGTTGATGACAAAGTGCGGCACGCCTCTCACGCCCATCCGGTACGCATCCTCGACCTGCCTGTCCACCTCCTCGCCTCCCTTGCCCTCCTCGAGCCACTTCTTGACCTCTTCCTTTGCGAGTCCACCCCGGACGGCAGAGTCCACAATCGTGTCCCAGCTGGTGATGTCGCCGCCCTCCTCAAAGTAGCTCTTCATGATCGAAGTCACCACGGCGTTCTCAACCTCGGGGCCCTTGGTCTTGGCCAGCTGTATCGCGCGGTGGGCGTCACGCGTGTGTCCGACCTTGCCGTCAAACGTAAAGTTGAAGCCCTCCGCGGCGCCGAGCTTCTTCATGCGCGCGTGCATCATCTCAAGCCTGTCGGCGCCGAAGCGCGCCGCCATGCGCTCGTTGACGGGGACGCCCTTCTTGGGCGCCGTCGGGTCCAGGTAGTATGCCTGCCATGAGACGTTGAACTTGTCTTCCTTGCCTGCAGGGTAGGTCTTTTGGTACAGGTCAATTGCCCTGTTGAGACGGGCCTTGCCGAGGTAGCACTATCTCTTGTTAGCTAGTGAGTGTGTAAGTGAGGGTTGGCGGGGCTTACAAAGGGGCAGACTGGGTCTGAAATGACTTTGATGTTGAAGTTGGCCATTTTGCTCACTTGCCGTGCCGCGTTCATTCGATGACGCCAAAAACTGATGCAAATCTTTTAATAAGTCGAAATCTTGGCCACACCAACATTCAGCCAGGGATGACGGCCGTGAAATGGTATTTATGATGACCCGGCCTCGGGCCTAAGCTCAGATACGGGCGGGACTCCGCCAGGTGCCGATGCCGACCTGATTACCAATCACTTCGGGGCGCGCTCCGGACGGAATCTTTTCTTGGCCGGCGGGACGGTTCTTCATCAATGACTGCCCCGCCATTATTCAGCCCCAGGTGCCGCCGTGGCGGCGTTGGAATTAGATTCCGATATAGTTCGGCACTTGATTCAGTGGATTTGCCAGGGGGCCATTTTACTTTGTTGCCGCAGACCCTGACTCGAAGCCGCTCGAGCTGTGGTGCCGACGGCAACTGTGCTCTACCTAGAGTGTGACATCGTTCCACATGAACTGTGACAGTTTCGCTAGATTTACGACGAGCAACGACAACGATATACGAGTAATCGGTCAGTACATACGTGAGCAACTGCCCACAACCTTTCGTTTATCACGTGTATTTGCAAGGCACCTTGACTGCTGTCTGAAAGTAAAGAACTGGACGCAACCACCCCCCCCCCCCCCCCCCAATGCGTAAGAACTCGGGTATCATCTAAACCTTCACCTCTTAGTCAACAAAGTAGCGTTCGGTTGCCTCTCTCAACCTCTCGTGATTACGGGAGCGTCGAGCTTCGTAACTCCCCCGCGGATGTCTCCGTCGGTCGTCTCTTCTCCAGCGTGAAGGGTACATGCCGTCCACGCTTGAGCCGCCACGTTCTGAGCTGGGGCTTTGAGACCGCCGACGCTTTGGAACGACGTCTGGATATTGTACAGCGCGGTCCCAATTCTCCAACGAGGTATATGGACTCCGAAGCCAAGCTCTGAGTTCGTGGAGTAGCAGCCGAGTGTTCTCACGTCCCAGAAATTCCTGGATCAACTCCTCCGCCTGGCCCATGCTGCCCTGCATGTCCACGGTCTTCAAAATCGCGACAATGTATTCCAAAAGAAACTCGGCATTGTTGGCTCTGCGACGCCGAACAGGGTCTGCTTCTGGCGTGCGCGCATCGTTATCTGGGGACAGGAACTCGAACACCTGAAGTTCGCGCCGGAGGAACGTCCGAGCACGGGACACCAACTCAGAGTCAGATGCGAACATCTGTGGTGTCAGGTCTCGGTACCTAGATATTCGGTTCGAGCCGACGTGGAGCGAATACAGTTGGCGGCGATACACGTCTCGTCGGCGCGCAATCGTCTCATCCTGAGAAGGAACAAATGTTCGATACGAGGAGTGGGCATTCTGCGGTCGCGGTCGCCTGGGTCGTACTTGGGAGTAGTATCGCCTCTCTTGCTGGGCCGCAGCGGCGTTTCCTGCCGTTTTGGCAGCCGCCGGCGCCGGTGCAGGCTTAAACGTTTTCCACTGCTTCTGGTCGTCGCTAAAGTCATAACGGACTTCTTTGATCTCGGTCTTGCACAGAGGACATGCTGCTTGTTGTTCCAGCCATGTTACCAGACAGAGGTAGTCGAAGTTTCGGTGGTGGCAGGGTTGCGCTTCGCAGCCTTCGGTGATTTGGTCGAGGCAGATGACGCAACAATCGTCGGCTGATGCGCCCCGCTCGGGTTCCGTCGGCCGTGATGAGATCTCCTGCAGCGTCGTTTGCAGAACAGCGGACTGAAGATCTCGAGAGCTCGAGTTGTCGCTCTTCGCTGCTTCGGGGGACATGCCAGTAGCACAAAGCACAATCCAACGCGGTAGAAAGGATGGCAATGTAGTGTTCGAGGTGATGGCTGATGGACGGCGGCTAGGCGAAGGAGCTGTTAGTAAGCTGAGGCCAGTGTCCCGATAAGATAAGAATTTGAAGTGGGGCTCGCATCTGCCATACCGGGACGCGTTTAGTGGTTTGGCGGTCGCGTCTCGACCGCGTTCTCCCTCCACTGCGAATCCACTGGTACATCAGTACAGTACCTGCACACTTCGTCACAACAGACTGATGCACTTTGAAGTACGCCTCTTCAATGACGTACACGACCGGTTGCTAGCATTGCTTCGACATGGACAACCAGACAAAGGCAGATTACGAGTCGCAATCCCAAAAACTACGCGCTGAACTCAAGAGCTGGGAAACCTCGTGGGCTAAGTCCCATGATGGCAAGAAGCCGGGAAGAGATGACATCAAGCGCAATGCTGACATTGGTATGGTTCACGAGAACGGAGGAAGGCTCACATACTGACGATTGAGCAGCACAAAAATACAAGCAATACAACAAAGTACGCGACATCCTCTCTGGAAAGGTTGCACCGCCCACAAAAGAAGATCCGAAAGCAAACAGAAAGGAGAACACTGCTCCTGTAACGACTCCGTCCAAACGACACAAACATGCCGAAACCCCCTCGAAAAGAAGATCGATACCCGATGGCGCGAACCTCAACAGCACTCCCTCGATTTCCAAAACCTTGTTCAGCCCTGTTGCTCCGAGATCAATCGGCCCAACGCCGCAGCGCGATGGTCGGGTTCTTGGACTGTTTGACCTCATGGTCGAACGAGAACTTGGCACACCGTCGAGGAAGAACGGGTCTCTCAACACAACTGCCGACTCGAGACCGATGACGACGCCGAGAAAGCGTGCCACGCCCATGGACGAAGAGAAACTCGGGCGAACCCCAATGTCAACAAGCAAGAGGCAGATGTTGGATAGTTTCATGACGCCGCTTAAAAACAAGGAAGGGGCCCAGGTGGTCGATGCAAAGACTCCGACAACAGTTTCGAAGCTTCAGTTTAGCACGCCGTCTTTTCTCAAGAGACACACCCAGCCACCTCCCGCCGAAAGCACCGACTTCGCCGCCCCACCGCTGCGTTTACCCCGGAAACCTATGGTGCGCGGCCTCAGCGCCATTGTGGCCAGTCTCAGGAAAGTCGAGGAGGAGCAGCTTGACGATGATTTGGAGGCTCTGCGAGAAGCTGAAGGTGCAGAGCCGCAGCCCAAGGCTCCTCCGAAACCGAAAGAGGACTTGCTTGCTGCGGACAGTCAGGTGCATCTGCCACTGGGCGGCTTTGACGATGAGGGGATGTACGATAGTGTCGATGAGGAGCAGGTGGGACGGGACGGGAAGCCTTTGAAGATATTCAAGAAGAAGGGCCAGAAGCGAACGACCAGACGCGTCAATATGAAGCCGACTCAAGTCAAGAGACCGTCGGCTCCTGTTGAGGGCGGCGATGAAGACGACGAGATCGTCTCGGAAACGCAGGCCAATGGAGCTGATGACGATTTCGATGAGCTTGGCGACGCGGGATCGGGCTCAGACTGTGAAGCGGCAGCTCCCAAAGCTAGCAACGCGAAGAAAACGGAAAAGGTGGGAACGGTCAAGAAGGCTGTCAGGAAGGTGAACGAAATGGCCCACACCAACTTCCGAAGATTGAAGTTGAAAAACCACGGCGCAAAAGGAGGACCGGGGTACAACAGTAGGTTCAGAAGACGGCGCTGATTTGGTCACACATGCATGGCACGGCGTTATGGCAAGCGATACCGCAGTCATTGGTATTAATGAGGTAATGCCCAATATACAAGTTTATCATGGCTCATACGCAATTTGCCTTCCCTGGGTATAACAAACATGAACAGCCCTTGTTCCACTTCATCCAAGTACACGACTTCTCAGGCGAAACAGGAGGACAGAAAGGTAGAACGTCGCAAAGTCACAGCTGATCGATACCATGAACCATGACAGACCGGCCGAGAAAACGACGCGATTCACGAGAAAGCGGTCTTCATCGGGCATATCTGCGGGTATCTCGCCATCCTTCTCAACCAGCCACTCGTCCTCACTCCAGATGTCTTCATCCCGTTCAACTGGGCATAGTTCCAGCTCCATAAATCTGGTAATCAGGCCTTGCCCGCGATCAATCCGTTCCTGTATGCGGGTAAGACAATGCTGTCGTCGCTCATCTTTGGCAACTGGCATGATTCCCTCCCCCTTTCGAACGACCGGAGGCACAGAGAACTCAATCTTTTGTCGATATCCTTGCGCCCTGTTCTCAATCTCGGCCAGCAGCCACACTACCGCCATGTGGTCTTTAAACAGTGCCCACATCCAGCACGTGGCCATGGCGATTTGCAGCAGCATGTTCCTGGCCACCTCAGGCGTATCGAGCCCGTGAAACTGCGCACCGCAACAGTTCTTCAGGGCTTGTTGTCGGTTGAGGATCTCACGATAAGTTCGAAGGCGCGGCGGCATGGCTTTGTAAAGGTGAGGGCTCCACTTCCTCGCCCTCTCTTCCAGCAGGTTCTCTGTATGCCACCTCTCGTCCCAGAAGGATCTCCAGAAATCGGTGAAGGTCTCGGCGATCGTCTGCGAGAATGGAAAAGCCTGGAACAGCCTGGTTTTCCAGAAAGACGACCAGTCTGTCGCCAGAACAACGTGGAGGAAGAAACCAGCCACGTCGCTGGCGAGGAACTCGGGCATCAGGCGGGGTGGTTGAAGAATACCCCTGATGTCGAACTCCTTGATGCGACGACCCAGCCGTGAGGCCGCCAGGAGCCTCAACGGCTTCGAGGGTGGTGTCGTGCTCATAATCTGGATTTTGGCGGTGCACTCTTGAGACTCGCTCACTCCATCCCTGTCCTGCCGCGATAGAAGCGCGGGAAATGTGCCTTTTTGATGGCCATCATAACTGACGCACCGTAAGCCACGGGAGGTCTCGAAACAAAAACATGCCAAAACGCGCTGACCGCGAGAGATGTGCTGGCACGTCTCCATAAGCGCCAATTACTGTTCTCGGAGAAGTCCCGACCTGGGTGTTTAAGCGGATGCTGAGGCGTCTGATGTAAGACGGCGCCCACATGTAAGCACTGCCCAGCGCAAACGAGCCTCCAATGTTCTGATTGATCCAGCAAGAGCCGGCCGTCCGGGTAAGACATGGCAGGATTAGCTGATCTTCAGCCCTTTGGAACCTCTTGACCTAATCGGGTATGCGCACGCCTCACTGATGCGTTCGGTCCGCGTTGGCGGTATCAGGTGTCGTCGCTCTCACAACAACTCCTTTGTAAGTTATGATTGTTGTCGATGCGTCTCATCCTTGGGCTGACGCTGGAACTATTCACAGTCGAAGAACTTGAAATTCGTCTACGCCACTTCTTGAGGGGTTTCTATCGCGGTTACAAGGGGGGTCTTCTCTGCCAAGAGCGCTTCGCTTGTCGCGCCAAGCCCACCTGCTTGCAAAAGTTCTTCCTGTGCCTTCGCATTCAGTCTCACCCACATTTGCCTCCTCAATTCCAACCCGTCGAGAAACACCTGGAACCATGAGGGATCAAACGGCGGCAACCGTCTCCCGACGCCGTTCTCGGGCTCGCCCGCCAGCGCCCGCACAGTCTCAAAGTACTCCTCAAAGTGCGGGTGCACCAGTGGAAACTTGTCACCCATTTCCGCAACGCGATCGGCCTCCCACTTGGCCTGCTCTTCCGCCGGCGGCAGTCTCGCCCTTCCGGAAAGCACGCGCGCCGCCAGGACGGCTTGCCACTCAAAGATTTTGAACGTCAGGCCCGCTGCCACGGCGCCGATGAATAGGAGCGTCGGGTCGCGGTGGTAGATGACGTGCTGGTAAAGCCCCGTTACGCGGTTGTTACGGACCTCGACGGATGGCAGGAAGGGCAGCGTCCAGGTAAAGCCCGTCGCGAAGATGATGCTGTCGACGTCCGAGACCGACGTGCCGTCTATAAAGTGCACCGTCCGACCCTCGATGCGTGAAATTGTGGCCTGTCGGGATATTTTGGGGTGGTGAAAGGCGCCGTCGCCAAAATAGAGGTTGGCCTTGCGCCCGTTCACGACGGAGTAGATGGGGAGCTTTGCTGTGTTGATGAGGTCAACTGAAATGTCGGCTCCTGAGACGGAGGCGCCGACAATCACGACGCGCTGAGCATGTCAGCTACGGTTTGCACATCGATGACAGAGTGACGAACCTTTCCACAGAAATCTCCCCTTCCGCGGTAGTGTTTGCTGTGGATGACACTGCCCGGGCGAGCTCTCTCAAACTCCTCGAGGCCTTCAATCTTGGGGACGTAGGGAACCCAGTAGTGTCCCGTCGCGACGACAACCGCGTCGAACCGTTCAACCCACCACTCATCCGAGTCTTTGCCCTCCTTTCTCAGGACAACTTTCCACTCATCCCCCACCTTCTCGGCCAGCTCAACGGTGGTGTTATAAGACACAAAGCCCTCATACTCGTCGACAATGCGCCGGACGTAATCTCTCATGACGGTCCAGTGACGAAATGGCGTTGAAGGGCCGTGCAGGGCGATTGAGTTGGGTGTCCGCTCCTCTGAGATGGGAGCGTCCGAGAAGGACATGGGGATTGCGTCGACGTTGGTCTCGAGGTACGGGTAGATGCCGGACTCGGTGAAGCGCGGAGTCTTCTGTGTCGGGGTCTGCGCCGGAAAAGACTCCGGGACCGGGATGGGTCTGTCGGCGGTGCGGTCGGCGAGGGAGGTGAAGTCGGTGAGGTGAGGTGGCACTTCCTTGTCGCCAATCCTGCGGGTGTCAGTCCATGCGTGCCGCCATCATGGCCCGTCCCGTCCAGTCTGGTTCGTCCCATTCTGCTGGTCTCATCTCATCTTGGTAGAGATGCTTCAACCACGTTTACGCTAGAATGAACGATGCCAAAGATTCCAAGCAACATACCCATCCGGGTTCTCGTCTCGAGCATCTTGCACCCTGGTCTTTACTTGCCAGGATCTCCAACCATCAAGGTGCTCTCGAAGCGACTTGATATGAGGGCAGCTGGCCCGCAGCGCGACAAACAAAGTCCCGGAGGTCCAATGAGAGAAACTAGGTACTCACCAGCACCCGCCGCTCGCCTCCCGGCGCTCAAACACACGAATGACGTCGAAAGCCTTCTCCTTTGCTAGCGCATCAATGGCAATGGCCCCCGCCGGCCCCGCGCCGATGACTGCGACTCTCTTGATTGCGCCCATGGCATACGCACGCGACTAGACAGAACGAGAGATATGATGAGGGACAGAGAGGGGGATCAAGATCTCAACAAATCTAGCCAAACAGATAAGAGCGCCAAAACCTCGCCGCGCGCATGCAGTGCGAGTCTTTTTAAAATGTCTCCCGACAGCGTGGGTTCGGCCCAAGGGACCAGAGAGCAGGGGTCCTACTGTTGAAGACAGCTGCGACCGCCCAATCATGCCGTCGCAAACCGCCTGACGGGGCAGTCTTACAGGGATACAGGGGGCCGAAGATGGCGCCATGTGCGGGCAGAGGGTGCGTCTCTGTGCGATTGATCATCTTAGCGTCCGATGGCGTTATCCCGCGATGCGCAGACGCAAACGCTGTCCCAAACCAAACCCCATCAAAGGACCGGAGGGCTCGACGGAGGTCGCTCCGAGGCGGGGTCCCGTCTTCGGGGGGGGGGAATCAGACCCGGGTGGATAAGGTGAGATCGGAACGGGACGGCCATCAAGGTTCGCAAAGTCGCCAACATTTAGGTCTTGGACCCTGGAATCCGAGTTTGCGATAAGCTGAAAGATGGGGGACTTGACGCAGATGGCAGGGATGACATGGGCAATGACTGGGATCGTGAGAGTCTGGAGGAGGACCTGGATGGCCGGCTTGTGGGACCTGATCAAAATGCGTTCCCTCTGCTGTTTCTACGATGGCGACGAACGTCGACAAGCTAGGGAAAATGGACTCGAAGACGGATAAGGCAATGGTGTGTGACACACCAACCGATCAGTCGGTGGCGGCAACCGACGACAAGGTAGAATGGGATGCCGGCCAGGAGCAGAGAGCGAAGAGGAAGTAAGTAGGAATAATGACCCTTCCAAGAAATGCTTAGTTGACTTTGGCTTCTAGGATCGATCTGACGGTCCTCCCCCTTCTGGTCCTCGGACTCCTTATGTTCCAACTCGACCGTATGAACCTCGCAAGCGCTCTCACTGCGGGATTCGCCAAGGATATCGACGTGAGCCAGGACACCATCAACTTGGGGAACCAGCTCATGTTCATGGGCACTGTAGTTCTAGAAATACCATGCAATTTGCTGCTGCAACGGGTGAGTCGGACTGCCTTCTGCATTGCTAATGCTTGGCGACTAACCACGCCTCCACCCTCAGTTCGGTCCACGAAAATGGATCTCCCTTCAGGTGTTGCTCTTTGGCCTTGTCGGAATTCTCCAAGTCCTCGTCAAGAATCGCGCCGGCTTCCTCGCCATCCGCCTGATGCTCGGCTTCACGGAGGCGGGCTACATTCCGGCATCGATTTTCACGCTTTCAACATGGTATACGAAGCGAGAGCTGGCCAAGCGCGTTGCCATCTTTATGTTTGGCCAATTCGGTGGTAACGGCTTGAGTCCTCTACTGGCATCGGGCATCCTAAAAATGGAGGGTCATCTTGGCTTGAAGGGTTGGCAGTGGCTTTTTTTGTGTAAGAGCCCTTGATTCCTGCATGATTGGTAGCATACTAACAGAATCGTGCTTCAGTGGAGGGTCTTTTTACTCTTGCGGTGGCTTTGATGTTCATCTTCCTCCTCCCCGGCTCGCCCGACACCCCGAAACCGATAGGAAGCCCGGGCCTGGTCCGATTCTCGAGAAACCAGCAGGAGATCCTCCAGAAGCGCCTTGAGATTGACGGTCAGGTAAAGAGACATGGTATCCACGGTCTTGAAATCCCTTGGGCTCTGGTTTGGAAGACTGTCGGCCACTACAGGCGGTGGCCGCATTACGTCTCCACGTTTTGCGCATTCTCGACCTGGTCACCATTGACGACGTATACTCCTTCAATCATCATGTGCGTTCTACATCTCGCAAGAAAGAACTCTTCTAACTCGCAGCAGGGCCCTCGGCTTCGATCGGATCAGCGCCAACGCACTGGCAGCGGTCGGTGCCACTCTTGCCATGGTGGTCGTCTTTGCGTTCGCAACAATGAGCGACAGAACGAACAAACGAGGAGGGACCGTCTTGACGGCGCACATATGCTATTTAACCATCTTGGTGGTTGCCCGCAGTGTTCATCCGCATGTTGAGAAATGGTCCAGATGGGGACTGTGGACGGCCATCAACGCCTTTTCGGTTTCCTACCATCCGGCGCATAACACCTGGGTGCAGGTGAACTGTCGCGAGGCAGGAGAGCGGAGCATTGCTATTGCGTAAGTTGTAATATGCTACTTATGGATGATGATGCTGACGAAAACTAGGATGTGGGTGATGTCCGCCATCAGTGGTCTAATGGTCGGTTCTCAATATTTCAGGGCGAACGATCTTCCTTTGTAAGAGCCCGAACACTAAAGAGAGTTACCATCATCTGACGAGTCAATAGCTACGATAGGGGACTCCTTACGATGATCATCATGGTTTCGGTCGGAATGGCGTTTGCGCTGTTGCAGGAGTTGGTGTACTTCGTGCACAACCGGCGAGTAGCTCAAGGGAAGCACAAGTCTAAGGATGGTTCGGAGCCGTACGTGTATTCTTACTAGACGTTGCACGTGGTTAGAAGTTATGACGCAGATGAGGTGTTGAGCATTATGAAGGCGTTGGTAGGCTTTGGCAAAGGGGTTAGTACCTGTCGTAGAAAATGGCAAAAGGCTGCAGTAGCAGGCATAGATATTATGGCAACAACCAAGACTACTGTCCAGAATGGAGACTTGGAATGTACAGGTTCTCCTTCATCCATACACAAACATCAGTGACCATGGTTGTGAACGTCAATGTGCTCATCAAAACGCTTACGCAGCTTGGATTTGACTTCGGTCCAGCCAGTGCCGTTGTCCCGGAGTAGGGTTGTGATCTCATTCATATCGATGTCAAGGACCTTCTCGATATACCTGGGCAGCTGGGTGTTGTCCCAATTACCAGCCATGTCGGCCCTGATTGCACGACCGTTATCGCCGGCACCATAGCCGTACAGAGTGACATCCGTGGCCGTATGTCCGCCCGTGGACCAGTGAACACCAGACCTGCTAGAGAGCAGCCGTCCAAGATCAGAACTCAGATCGCTCGATTCGAGGAGAGTATTGATCTCGGCATCTTTGGCGTCGGCAAGACCATATTCGGGCAAGATCTCGCTGATGAGGAAAGACTTCTTGTCAGAGCCGGTGTATGCTTCCCAAACCTTCATGAGAGCTTGAGTGGAGGCGTTAACATTGGCCATGGGAAGAGGGTTAAAGCCGTTTAGCGTAAGACCACCGCACTCGTGGTCCGCGGCTGACATGAGCATCGTGTCGGGGTGCTTGTCGATCCATTCCCGGACGAAGCCCATAACCTCGTTGTAGTGTACGGTGTCGAAGAGGTGGGCGGCGGGGTCGTTGGCGTGGCCAGCATGATCGATACGGGAGGCTTCGATCATCAGAAAGTATCCCACGTCTTGGGAACCTTGTGTGAGGGAGTTGAGAGCGGTCTCAACCATCTCGAGAAGAGAGGGCTCTTTCTCGGGTTGACGAGATCTGTCAATCTCGTACATCATGTGGTCTGGACAATGTCAGCCTCGTCAGGACCAACATCAGGTGATCCTACCATCGTTGAACAGGCCAATGTAGGGGATGCCGATGTCGCCAAGACCCTTGTTTAGAGCATCAAAAGCAGGACGATCCTGCATGATGTGGTATCCATTCTCCTCGGCAAACCCAAAGAGATCGATTTCATCTTCGCGGCAGGATGTCGAGTCTGATTGTGGCTTAAAGAAGCATCGACCTCCTCCAAGCAGAACGTCGACAACTGGGCCGAGCGGGTGGTTGTACCCTATTTCGTGCTCCGCAATCTTTTCGTAGGAGCCCCGATTAGCAACATGAGCGGCATAGCCTGATTTTTTTAGTCTCGAACTTTGCCTCAAGGATGGGAGAACAGACTTGCAGGGGTGGCGTGGGTGATGGTGCTTGTAACGACCAAGCCGGTCTTCATGCCCGCGAACTTGGCAGCCTCAAGGATGGATCCAACGGGCTTGCCGTCAGGGTCGACACCAATAGCTGGTTCTTGTTAGGCTATGCCCCTCGAAGATGATTTTCATTCAACCTACCAGAGTTGTATGTCTTCACGCCGCAGGCAAAGGCAGTCCCGGAGGCTGCAGAGTCTGTGATCAAGTTATCGCTGGATTGGGTGCGGACATTCCCAATCACCTCAATGATGTCGTTAGTAGGGGGATTCGTGATAATGGGTTCGCTCTTACCAGCTTATCTGCTGCCAGTTGTATGCTAACTGGAGCTCCTTCGTTCTGGCCATTCTGCATCAAGGAAACGTAGTCCCTAGCCATGGTTTGGGATGCCGGCCCATATCCATCGGGGACGATGTAGATGAAGTTCTTCACATCTACGGCAAACGCGGCATTTGCCAGCGCGAAAAGAGAAAGTGAAGCTGTATGCATCTTGGCAATTTGCTCATGGACCAGTGAATGTGTGATTTGAAAAGATGCAGAGGGCGAAGAAATTTCTCGCGACAAGGAGGGGCAACAAGGACCTCAGGGTGGTCGCAAGAACCAATTTCCTCTCAAGGTGATGGCCAAATGATTCGACTATATATGTACTCGACTCTGAACATCTTGGCTTCATTTCATGTAATGCAACGCACATCAATAATTCGACGAATGCAGTCCGCCAGCGGTGCAGGTTCTCTTGGCACGACGGATCACATTCAATGGTGGCAGATGATTTGAGCGGGAGGACGCACTAGTCTTCTACCACCACTGTGAGGAATTTCCAAGACATCGATAACGGAATTGAGGCCGGCCTTTGCTGAATGTCTCGCAGAAAGATGACAATGCATTGTCCCGTCACCTGTTGCAGATCATCAGCGATGCACTTCGGGATCCATGCCAAGCCGCTTCCTAGCGGAGGTGAGGCTTGGCGGACGGAGAAATGATGGACTAGCCCCCAATGGACGCCACCCAATGTGCAACGTGCCCACGGCAGCGTTGGTAAGGAAGCATATTCCGACGTCGTTTGATGGTGTTTTCCCCTCATTTAGGCCTTGGCTGGGTGGTCCAGAGGGGAAGGTGGCACGATTGCTGCTGCTGCTGCAGAGGCCACGTGCCTTGTTCAATCATACTCTGATAAGACATTGGAAGGTGAGAGATTTCTCACATTGCGGCAATGAGTTATTCTGCTGGTTTTGATGAAGTTGAGTCTGGTCGGTCATGAATGATGTAGGTAGGACCTTTGAGGCGAGCCCCCTCTCCCTGGCTTTCTCTCGCCCCAGCTGGAAATTTCGAAATGAGAGATTCTAGCAAATTTTCAGAACACAAGTGGAAGATCGCACGATGCCACCATCAGCTGTGCCGGCTGCTGACCTTGATTGCAAGGGAATGGCTTCACAGTCGGGTGGTCGCTCACCCAAAGGATCTGTACTGCTGGCATTCTTGAAGGGCTGAAGACGGGAAGTAACTTATTCCATCACGCGACTCATGCATGGCGTTGACTGACAAAATCTAAAGGCTTTTCCCCCCTCAGATGAGCACTGCTTTTTCACCTAAGGTAGGCCCGGACAGGTATCCCAGTGTCGTAGCGCTGATCCACATGCTCATTTCGGCCAGGGCCTGTTGTGTGATTGGCCAGCCCGTGTGTTTCAGTGGCTCTTCGCCCGCCAACACGCGTGCATTGCGTCCCAGTCAGAGTAAGGCAAGATAGAAGAAGGTCGACGCTCATTCAAGTTTTCTCTAGCAGGCTCACATCAATTGTACGAGTGTTTTGTCGACATTTCAATCCTGAACAGGAGCATGCAGACATGTGGTGCTCTTTATGGCACCAAGATGGACTGGACTCCGTCAACCTCCCCTGGCCGCCTGTCCCGTGTGGTGTAAGCGCTGTGGCATTCATTGGCTCGCAGCTCTCGGGAACGCAGCAGGGATCCGGGGCTGCCAATAATAACTTCCCGCGCGTCTGCAGTCGACCCGACAAGAAACATAGTCCCATTTCTCCCCAAGAACACTTTGTTTTTTTTCTTCTCGTATTTGCCAGAGGCGCTTAACAAAACAACGCTTCTCCAAGTCGCAATGACGGCGCCTCATCCGCAGCTCAACCCTGGCCACCAGATCCGGAGCAGCGCAATGGATTGGACGAAAATCCCCCAAGCTGTCGGGGCTCATTTAAACTGCTCCATTCGCCTTGCCAATTCGCGATGGTCTGTTTCGAACGGCTTCACAGCCCGGCTGCTCGAATGGGCCACGACAGGCCCAGAAGTCTGGACCCCGGAGAGGCTGTTTGCTGTCCATGCCAGTCATACAAGACGGGGCTGCCCCTCGCCTCAAACCAGTGCGAGACTCCGTCATCAGCCTTCTTCGAGTACCCTCTAGTCATATTGACGCCTGCCCTTCGCTCTTTTCCTTCTGTCCTTACTCACTTTCCTTGTGTTTTGCCTTCCATTCTTTCTCCACGTCCTCTGCTGCTTTGCTGTCTCGCGTTCTGTTTCTGATCTGCGCTGATCATCATCTTTGTTCTCGCGCGAGGTCCCCTCTCTTTTGTCCAGCGCGGTGCATCCCATTGTGGATATCATTTACTCATAATACCTCTTCTTGACGAAGAGACATACCCACTGGTTGACTTTCATTCATTTCCCACAATGTTTTCCAGTATTCGCATAGCAGACGTCTTGCTCCTCCTCCTGTTATCTCAGACTACGCAGGCTGGTCCGGTAAGACGTGCTGAGAGACTGTCAGTACATACAGCATAATGGTCGAACTCCACTAACATCAGTCGCAGTTTCGGAAGGGGCTGGAACTCTACCATCTCAGTCAGTGTCGCCTCTAGTAGAACAGATTCAACGTACGTCTCCAAAACCTCCTTCGACGATCCTTACTCACACGAACGCAGACATATTTCCACCTCTGCCGCTGCAGTAACGGCAAAGGAAGAGGATGATGGATCTACACCAAGTCCTGTCTTCAGCACCATCGGCGACACGAAAAGCACATCAGCAGCCACACGAGGCCCCTCAACGACAGCTGTACAGTCGTCGAGCACCGCAGTCTTCCTCCCTCCTCCTCTGAGCACGATATCAGTACCGTCAACAACATCAGGCGGTGCTTCCACGACCACTGTAGCCACTCTGCCTCCCATGTTCAGCTCTATCGCTCTACCTCCGTATCCGACAACAGGCCTTCGAAATGGGTCGGCCCTCCTGCCAGCAAGCAGTCTGACTGAAACCCCGACCGGGCCGCCCACGACGGCCGCAGGTGAAGAGGGCGCTTCGCGAGGACCTCCCAATAGGATGCAGTCGTCTTTGTCCTTTGCGTTCCCCGTCCCTGGCGAGACTACAACGACCACCGTCCAGCCTGTCGCATCATCAACTTCTCTTGTGCTCAGCACCACCGCAAAGGCTGAAGCTTCATCTACGCCCGCCCCCACATCCCATGATACCCCGGCTTCATCAACAACACCACTCCAGACCATACCCCCATCATCGGCAACTCTCAAGGTCACAGGCTCTCCCAACGTCGGCGTCCCCACCATTGAGACCTCGCTTCCCGCCGCCACGGCGACCATCTCCCCAGAGGTTGCAGCCAGAAACCTCGCCAACGCCAAGTCTTTTAATGCCCTCTTCGCCACCCTCACCGAGCAGTCTGCTTGTAGTAACGGCCAAGTCGCCTGCGTCAGAGGCAACATCGGAAAATGTGGCTCCGATGGCGCCTTCGACATCGTGAGCTGCGGTAACGACCAGTCATGCTTCGCCCTTCCTATGAACACAACAGAGGGGGTCGTCGTCGGCTGCTACAACCCTACCGTCGCGAGCAACATTCTCGGAGAGGCTGTGTCTGCCCCGGGATCCTCTACAAGTGCTGCAGTATCAGAGGTCACAATGACTGTCACGCCAGTCGTCACCGCCACGTCCACAATCCAGGTGACTCCGCCGAGCAGCCCAGAGACCACAAGCCCAGCGGTCCCAATTGCCACCGCCACGTCTACGGTCCTCGTCGCCCCGCCTGAGAAGACCTCCTCCCCGGGCTTCACCACGACCGTCGTCGTTACGAGGACGGTTGAGCCCGACCCGGCACCAACTACCACAGAAAGAGAGGGCACGACGACTGCAGAGGAGCCAACGACACTGTCGACCTCCACCCGTCGTCGCACACGCAGCTCAATATCTGTAGAGACATCTGCACCACCTGCGACCACCACTGTCACCGTCACCGGCACACTGACATTTGACCCGATCCCGTCCACCGTCCCGACAGTCCTCCCGACGGCGCCCGCGGCGAAGTCCAGCCCCGATACTTTCGGATTCGTCATGACAGTCACGGAGAAGGAGACCGTGACGGCAACGGTCACAGTGAAGGAGACGGAGACAGTTACCGTCACAAAGGGCCAGTGAGAGAGCTGAGCGCCCATTCGAGAACGAATTAGAAAGAAACACTATTAATACCCTGTGCTTTACACCTCCTGTCAACTACGTAATCTAGGTTGGGAAAATAGCGTGGCTTTTAGATAGTATATCGCAATCAATTCAAAACATATTACAGACGAGAAGGATCACACAAAGAAGCAGGCGTGGTGAAGAATTATTTGTCTATGCTATGCAACTGATTTTCGTTGCTTCTGGTATCTCGTACGCAATGCAGATCTATGAGAGCCTCTCTATATGCGGCTCTAGTGCAAATCTGCCCGCGCTCTGCGTTCGTCTGTAGGTTCTCCAATTGGGTATCTCGAATGCTTTTGCAAAACCTCTTCAGAAAATCACCTCCGCAAGCCTGTCTGTCCAGATGCTTTGTCCTTCTCTACCCCAAAACGCCATTCATAACCCTTTACTGCGTATCACTCGCTGTCTGCAATGGTCTTAGCCATCTTAGGCACAAACAACTGCACTTCTAAGGTGCTCTCGAGGGACCGCTTCGGTGGACGCGAAGAGTCCAGAGCATCGGCACCAGCACTAGGGGTACTCCTAGAACTTGGCCCAGGCGGCGTGTTCAGTTGGGCGATATTCATGTCGTTGAGTATCGATTGTTGGCCCAGCGTAGGGTCAGCCTCATCCCCATCGACCAGAGAGCCGATCCAGGCTTCTCGAAAAGATGATCCCAAAGCCAGAGACACCTCTCTCGCGACACTGTTTCCGACCACTCTCCACTGATCTTTGGGCTGTCCCAGAATCACTTCGTGGTCCAAGAACCCTTGGGCTCGCCGAGCTTCCATGACCGTCAAAGTTCGACTTTGATTCCAGTGCAGGATCCTGCCCATTCGCGCGTCTGCCGGAGAGGGCACCGTTGTCACCGTTTGCATAACCTGTTGGGGGAAACACCTGCTCCACGCACGCGAAGAGGCTTGTGTGACCCTCAGACCCGCAGCAGGGAAGAAGTCTCTCTCTGCCTTCGTCATGATCCCGTGACCCTTATTCCAAGTAGTTGTAAAGTTCATGCCGTAGGGGTGGGTAGGAATGACGCTTAGTTGGTTCCGAAGGTATTTCGTATACCCATGTGCAAGACGGTGGTCTGGGAAGGGAATGCAGATATCAACTTTACCGTCGATAATGTTCGGTAGGTCTGCAGTTGCCTCTTCGGATCCGATGAATCTAAACGGCGTGGGCATCACCAGATGCTCGCCCATCGGCCCATCGTTCGGCAACTTGCCAAGGGTCTTCAAACGAACGTCTGGCTTGTAGTGCGAATGCGATTGAAGAGGGAGCTCCGGGAGTTTGTGGCCCGGGGCTGCAAAGCATAGGAACACACGACTTCGGCTCTGTGGCGAGCCGTAGGACCATGCGTCTAATAAGAAGAAGTGCGTCTGATACCCAAGCCCAACCAAGGCACAGATCAGTTGGCAGAACCCGTCTTCGTTCTTTTCGCGGCGTGGTTGCACGATCTCCAGGACGTTCTCCAATAAGCCGTACCTGGGTCGGTAGGTGTCAATGAAAGAGGCAAAGGCGGCAACAAGTGACTGGTTTTTGCGTTGCTCCGGGGTGGCCTTGTCGACGGTAAGGCGAGAGAAGCCTGGACACGGACTACCAGCAGACACGAAGTCCACTGTACCAATCTTCGGAACTTTATCGCTGAACTTGCCCTCCAACGCAAGTCGCCGCAGGTCGTCAATAGAGCCAGCGAAAGGATGTACTTCGCCCAGGGTATTTGCCATGTACGTGTGAATAGCACGTACGTTGATGTCATTAGCTCATTGCATATCGATAGCCCCCCCTTCCTCGAGGCCGCGTCCAAAATTACCGCCTCCGCAAAACAGATCGACTCCTCGAAGCTTGGGGACCTGCCTTGAGGGATCGAACCCCTGCCTTAGCGTAGGAGGGGCATCGTCCATGCGAACGATCTGCCCTGATGAGTCGACATGGTGAGTAACAAAGAAGGCATTGCCGACGCCGTTTCGACCGTAGGGAGGCAATAACGGCTCGTCGCGTCTGAAGAAACGCACAAGACACCTGCCGTGGATGCGATCGGCATCGATCGAAGTCGTCTCGTTGCTGTAGACAAGCTCGTTCCGGGGTGTATTCGTGTTGGGTTCCAGTTGGCTTCTGCGAAATAGACGTCGAAGTACGACCATGTTCTCCTCGTCAGGACCTGAGACTAGCTCGTAAGGCTCAGCTAGGTCGTCAGGATTCTCAGGACTGATGAGAAGACTATCGCCGACTTTATGGGCGAAAGCCTCAATCTGGTGGTTACAACGTAGGTGGCTCTGCTGAAACGTAATCCATCGGCGTATCGTCGGCTTAGTGAGGTATGTTTGCCGGCAAAAAAACTCAGCATCCGTGTCTGCAGCGCCTCCCCAGTGAACATGATGGATAGAGAGAACCTCGCTCTCTTTGATCTTAGGATATCCATCCCCACACGAGCAGTGGTCTGAGAGGAACAGCTCATTATTCCAAGGATACTTCATGGGACCACATAGGGTATCCACGGGTCTGTACAGCCAAATGACATCGAAGCACCGCTTTTCATCCCTCAACTTGTGGACTTTCTGGACCAATCCAAACCACCGGTCGACATCATCAAAGCCAGCAGCAACCTCTCTAGCCCAGTGAGAGCCATCGTCATCCCTTGTCGTAGAAATAACATCGCCAACACAGACTTCTCTGGTAACTTTCTTGTGTACTTGGTGTGCAGCTGCGTGGGGGCTTGGTGATGGCTCTAACTTGTAAGCACTTATGAGATCGGTTCGCAACTTCTCGGCTCGGGGGCTTGGGGCCATGGCCTCCATCATCATGCCGCAGGGCAGATGATTGAAGAGCTGATATGTGTAAGGTGTAACGATGGTCTTGTCGATTTGGGCTGCTTTACCTGGTGCTGGGGAGGACGCGCCGCTGGTTGGGGTTGATGGTGTCTTCTTCGAAGTGTCTGGGTAGGCGGTGTAGTCGCGAATCTCTTTCCACATGTAGATGGATTTGGTCTTATGCCAACCGAGAAGGCCATATACCTCCTTGTAGATAAAGTCCAGGTTAGCCACAATTGCTGTGCAGAAGTCGTTCCCTAGTAGCTGTTGTCGCCAGTGAGTGAATGCCTCAGAGGCGTCGTGATGCTTTGAAAGCCATGCACTGAAATCAGATCGGAACTCTCTGAACAACACGCGATGTCCAGCATCTACCGCAGCACAGAGGTAGTCGGCAACATGCTTTCCAAGGTTCGCTACCCACATGAAACCCATATGAAATCTTCTGTACTCTGGCGAAGGGTTTTTCAGACGGTAGTAAACGTCCTCCTTGCCTCGATCAGCAGCCTTGGTATTCATCTTTGACCGAATCCATATCTCCCGACCAATGGTGCTCTCAGACAGGCCATAATTTCCGATGGGTAGCTCTTCGAAGGGGACTTGGCGCACAAAGTACCGAGCATCGCCAATTGACAAGACGCCGTCAACGTACATAACTGTACAGCCAGGTTTGATTGAGAGGTGTTGGAGTGGTCGCATCTCTGCTGGATATCGCATCTTCTCGTAGGCTTCGGTGAGCCCACCCATGTACGGCTCGGTATATACGGTGAATTGGTCGAGTTCAAAGTCAATGAGGTCATCCCCTCCTTCACTTGTTCGCCGATGCTCCTCTAGCAACTTCTGGACGACCCTGAACTCCCGATCAACTGGAGCAGGGAGCTCCTGGCCCTGGTAAAGGTACCGCGGCGAAATGAGTGCTTGGCGGGAGGTCGACGGAGATGTTTGTGACCGGCTGAAAATCTGGCGGCAGGAAGACGGTTTGCGCGTCCCCACGAAACTCTCGCAGCACAGGCGCGTCATCCGACGGGTTGGCGACAGCCGGGTTCTCTAAGACTCGCAGGATCTCGCGGTTCTCGATCTTAGCGAGATTATCGGCGGCTTCCCAGTCTTGGCCTTCATCGTAATCCGCAACCAACAGGTTGCCAAGCTCGTCCTCGTAGTCTTCAATGGGGCCTGCATTAGGTAAGAAACTGCCGACATAATGAAAGGAAGGGGCTGACCTGGCATGGTGACTGCTCATTCTTACCATTCGGTAAGCGTTGCTCAGAAAGTAAGCGCAACACGCGCACGCGGCAGGCGTTGGCGCGTTGTGTGCTGTAGACGTTGTGAAAATGTGCAGGGATTTATGTTCGTTGGCGGGATGAGACTCGGGCAAGCGTTGGTTGTGTGAGCAGTTGGGTCCGGGCGCGCCTCAAAGAGTCAAAGCTGTCGGCGCCCTGTTGACGATGCGAAGTTGAGGGTGAGGTGAGAAGTTAATGTTTTGAAAACAGGGAGCATCAGGCAAAGGGAAAGACCCGATTTCGCCTGCTCTGGTGCAGATACCTTGCATAAGTGTGGTGGCCCGGAAAAATAAAAAGATAAAAAGCTGAAGCCCAATTGTTGCACAGCAACTTGACCTGTCGAAGTCAATGTGCTTCCTTTTTTTTTAAAATTTTTTTTTATTCGTAGACTGCCTGTGTTGATATTGAAGAATTTGCGGAGACACTGAAGGCGGCCAATCCCGCTTCGCGATTGACAGATTGGGCAAGCGCAAACCTGCTGTGGAGTTTTCGCAGCGTTCCTGCAGCAGGATTGGCCAATAAGATAAGGCATGGAGGTGCGTGTTCGTGCATGGCGGTCGCGGGTACCACGACCCTGGCGGCTGCTCACCCGCTAAGGTATGCTGCTGTAACTTTACCAGCTGGGCTGGCCTGAGGTGGGTAAGGCACAGGTCTAGAGCTGAGGTGGTGATGCAAAGTCAAGGTTGTTGGCGGTTGTGATCGATGTCCGACCGTGCAACATATCTTTTATAGAAATAGAGATTGGCATATGAGTTCAGATGAAAATCGATTGAGTTGGGTATCTTTGGTTCATAAATCCTTCCTCATTTCTTCCCGGCGTTCTCTAGTGCCTCCTCCTCCTTCCACTCCAACACAATCCGCCTCAGCTCAAAGACGACTTCGACAGTAATGAGGATGATGATGATCCACTCCAGTCTTGTGCTGTGCTGCTCACTGGACATCTCTCGTAGCACGCTCGCAATCTCCTGCGCATAGTCCATCTTCTGGTTCAACGTTCGAATCCGCACGTTTACGTCAAGCGCTCGTCCGACCTGCTCGTAGTACCCTTCTAGACCTAGTTCGGCACGGCTGTCCCAGAAAATGTCCGGGAGGGAGTCCGTCAGCTCCGAGTAGTGGTTGAGCCGCGCGCGCAGACTCAACAACTCGCCCGTCTTCTGCAAGATAAACTTCCTACCAAGGGGTAGCCCAGAGCCCTTTGACAGCAGCGACGGTATTTTCCTGGTACTCTCAAAGTACGCCGTCAAGGCTGTTTCGAGAACGGCCAGCTTGGTGCTCCTCGCTAACCCCGAAGAGAAGGCAATCTTGGCCAGCGTCGTGTCCAGTCTATCGCCATCCCTCTCTTCAAGCTTCGTCCCAAGTACCACAATGTCACCCTTCATGCCGCTCGTTTCCCTCGACGAGTCGGCAACATACTCCAGGTCCTCGACCTCCCGCAGAGCCGGCTTCAAAGGCGTTTCCGCCGCGCCGAGCAATTGTTTAGTGACGACATCAGGAGGCAGCGCCCAGGTCACGATCGTTCCAGAAGGGAATACAAAGATGTCGCCTCCATTTACACCGCGGGCATGTACAACCTCACTTGCCTCGAATCCGCTCTGGTCTGGGTCGATATCGAAACCATGCGCCCGTAATGTATCTAGCACCAACCCCATATCGAAAGACTCGGAAATGCAGACGGCGCTGATCAGGGTCGAGGCAGATGCATCGACGGACTCTCCAGGTAGGGCGCCACCACTGCGTTGCGCTGGCCGTTGAGCGATGATGGCCACCCGACGTAGAGAGTTCTTTGCGCCGGCAGAACGAACGCCTTTGCGCTTCGGAGGCGTGGGCAGTAATGATTCTCCATTTTCAGGTTTCGACTGCCTCGGAGACGGTTCGCCAGTGCTCTGGGAAAGGTAGACGTTGGAAGTAAAAAAGTTACGCTTTCGAGGTTGGCTTGTTGGAGTCGTTAGGTGGAAGTATCGCTGCGGGCGGGGCGTGAAACGCGCGGTGTGGAAGCCACGGTTGAGGTACGACGCTATGGTGAGATGGCATGGCCGCATTTTGAAACTATTGACGCCATTGAATGGGCCTTTCGACACCCAAGACACACAATGATCGGTCGTGGCTTGGGCGAGGACAGTCCTCAAAGTCAGAGCTGCCGTTAACTGCCGATGCGGGTGGTTATCTTATCAGCACGTGATCACAAAAGTTCGTCCGGCGGCGACGCAGCGACATATCGGCATTAACAACCTCTTGCGACCTACTTGCCAACCAGCCAGGCTCACTGCATCTCAATCGTGGGATTTCTCAAGCCTGTCAGCGAAGATGGGGCAATGCGGCTGCCTCCCATCTCCAGATCATACCCTTTTGTCCTGACCAAGGGCCGATGGTCATCGGTTCTTACCTGGCGAGCTGTGGGTGTTCCCAAGAAGCTTCCCCTGCCATAGCTAACAAGACTCAGCACCTCTGCCGATGCCATGACATCCGATCCACCCAGACCGCCGCCGTCAGCCAAGTTCCGCAACTTGAGCGCATAATACAACAAGACGATCACCAACAACGCTCATTAGAGTCGGTCTACAAGCCCATCGTTGCCGGCGAGCGCTCATTTTCCCAAGAACTGCTCCTCGCCGGCGCCCTCGAACTGTACCGTAACCCGAATCAAACCCTGTCCGATGCACAACTAGCCGACCTTCTCCTTCTGGCCTCTTTAAGGCAATCTTCGCTCAGCGTCATCACGGCCCAGCTACTCCTGCGAAAAATTCCCAAACTTGACCCGCGCATCCATGCCCGCTTGTACAGCCCCGACTGGGAGGCTATGCCCAAGCTCTTGGAACGTAGGGGGTATATCGTTGAAGAAGTCACCCACTGGACAAAAATACTCGTTGTCGAAGATGCGGACGAGAGAGTACGAGACTTTCTGAGCAAGGAGCATCACAAACCGCTGTTTGTTCTTTTCTACCTACTCAGCAGTAGGCCGTATTTCTCAGATCGAGAGTCCCTCTGGGGGCTTTTAGAGTATTGCAAAGAATGGTACTCCGGCAAACAGCAGGAAAGCCCTGGCGCACCAGACTCTCACGAGCTGGGAATGCATTTTGCCCTGTTCTGCATCTTGCTTCAGAAGCTAGGCTATCACGCGGCCAGGCTCCAGCCCGACATTCTACCTGAAATAGCTAATCTAGCAGTATTCTACATCAGTGGTCTTCCATTGACAAAATCACGCACAAGGCAGATGCGCCAAGATAAGACCTACAATATGCAGTGTCGCGTTTTCAATGCCGCCTTACAAGCTGTCTCCGAACCCGCAGCGGAAAAGCCATACGACCGCGCGACTTGCAACTGGAAAGCCATCACAGCATTGTTGTCTCTGTCTTCCGGCCTGCCACGACCTTTGAGCATTGAGCGCCAGAGCTACCGGGCAATCCGGCAAATCCTGCTCATGCTACCAAAGACCGTCACGGAACGGGACACGGCCAGTGCCCTTGCCAGCTCGTGGCCTCCCTATCGAATCTTGCGAGATGGCATGGAAGAAAAGGCCAATGCTGAGGACTATTTGAGCAGAGTCGTCAAGGCCGGCATGATGATGCAAGAAGCCGGCTACGCCAAGCAACCAGTAGACGACGTCACCGATATCCTAGGTGGCAGAGCCCCAGATGGTTCGCCTACCGTCCAGACCAGAGCCAATTACCCTCGCCGTATCCACTACGATCAAGCAGCTTGGGCAGCACTTATTCGGACCACTCGGAACTCACAGGAGGCATGGGCTATATTCAAGAACCCTCCAGAGGCCAACATGGAACCCAACTGGCAAGTGTACTGGGAGCTGATTGTCAAGATCGCCGCCAAGCCAGCTGATCTGGACCACAACAACCTGCCAGGTGACGGCCGAGAAGTTTCTCCGTTTGACGACAGGAACCTTACCGATTTCGAAAAAGCTAGAGTACGCCCGCCCACTATACGTGCTCTGACGCACGAGATGTTCAAGATGGGCATTGTCATCAAAGGCAAAAAACTAGCTTTTCTCATTAGGACAGCAGAAACCATTCCCCATGCGATGGATTACATCGATTACAGCGGTATATCCGGCGGTTTCAAAAGGGATATCCGACGATGCATGGAGACTCTCACGGACCTTCCACCATCTCTGCTGAGAACGCCTCCTCTGGACATTCTCCATGCGTGTATTGAATTGCTCTGTAAACTGCAGCCAAATCGCACGCAAGGCCAGACCAAGTTATATCCGAAACACTTTCTCCGCATACGGTATGCGTTCCGCCTCGCTCAGCAAGGATGGATCTCGACAAAGAATAGCAGCAGAGCGCCCTGGGAGTCGATATTAGTTGCTCTTGCGCGACCCAATATCATGCTCAGTGCCGTCAAGACCAAAACGAACGGCTTAGAGGTGCTTCTGTTGGCTACAGAGGTCATGGAGAGGGCGGAGGCTCACAGCGGTTTGAGCATGTTAATGTTTCATTCGTATGCTCGAGCGATGCTCAAGGCTGCATGCTCGGGGCTATTGCCTCTGAGGAACAGTCGCAGAGAGAATAACCGCGAAAGTCAAAACTTCTTGTCATTGTATAGTCTCCACAGCACTCCCGCCAAGGCACCGAAACTCGTCTCCAGCAAAGACCGCCAGTGTTGGAAGACGGCTCTGTCTCCCATCTTCCAAAAAAGAAGCTGCAATACAGCTGATACACCATACGAGATTATGTGCGACGCAACGAGGAAGCTCAAGAGCGCATGGAGGGCACTCTCGACCACTGGTCCAATTGCCAAGCCAAAGGTGAACCGGCTCGTCACAGCGTCTCACATCAACAACTATATGCGCACGCTAGCCTTTGTCGGCGACTATGAGGAGATGCTATTGCTTCTTCAATGGGTTACCAACGAGTGGCTTCCCGCGGTGACGACGGCGTTAGGCGGTCTGTCACTTGCCGATATGGAGCGTCTGGAGAGGGCAGTACGAGCGTTCCGGGCGTTCGCCGAGCCCATGCTAGGCAATGAGGTTGTAAAGCCTATACACCAGGAGATGGCCCATAATGGGGCACTGCACTGGTCTTCTGATGAGGAGGTGGAGGATTATATCGCAAGCGATAAGTGGGGTGATCATCAAAACTTGAAAGCAGTGATTGATATGGTCAAAAGGCTGGAGGAAGAGGAAGCCACTGTATGTGTATCATCACCTGTAAATGGATTAGGGAAGACGGAACCGTAGACCCGGATAGATACCCCGTAAAATATGTCAAATATTCTAATCAACACATGGACCAGGTGATGATGAAGGAAGCCGACAATGGCGACGACAGTAGCAATATCGAAGACAAAGGAGAGGTATAAAAAAGCCGAAGGGCGGGCTAAGCACAAACAAGACGAATGTATTCTTGTCGGCTATCTCTAGGACCTCGACGGTGATGCTCATGCCGATCGAACCGTATTCACGGACGAAATTGTTTCTGTAATGGCCAGCTTTGGCAGGCGGATTGACTCGTGCCGGGCAATTGGGGTAGAGGTCTCGCAGCGAGACGAAGGGTGCGTATTTTCCGGAGTGCATCAATCTCAATACCGCTACCAAGGCAGCGGCAGAGCGGGAGAGGCAAAGTTCGCCGCCTTTCTTCATGAGGTTAGCAGCTGTTTTTGGGTATTAGCTTGGAGGGCAAATCACACTGTCTCTCTCGTTCTTCAGAGCTTCGCATTGTCCAAAGACGATGCCTTGGAGACAAGTTGAAGTCCGACCCTGACAGTCCAGATTAGATCGGATCCTTGCTGGGTGTAGAGTAGATTAAAGCAATCTTGTTGGGCTGCGGAGTCCTTTATCATGGAGCTGTCAGAGAGGTCCTGGGTTGCTCCAGACTTTCGGGTTCGCGAGATGTTGAATGAATGAAGTGGATGAGTGTCATAAGTGGACGAAAGAAGAGGTGGATCGGTGAGATGTTGCTGCTCTGAAAGTGTCAGGAGCAAAGTCATCTCCATACGAAGGTGCCAGATGCCTTTTCTAAGCTCCTGGGGTGTTAACAACCTGGAAAGTGAAGTGGGACGTGTTGGCAAAGTGAAGGATGGCGGTGCTTCATTATGTCTGTTGACTGGGACGACGACGACGACGACCGACCGACGACGGCAACAACAAAACCGAAAGAAAGAAAGCGCCAGCTTCTGCTTATAAGCAATCATAGTTCATTATCGTCGTAAATATCAAAATTGTTTACCTCAGAGATGCCTCTCAAGGAAGACCAAAGTTGCAAATGTCGCCCTCTTTCCTTTTTCAATTTTCCATCGCACTTGCCTCCCATAACCGTTCAAAAATTTCGAGACCACAGTGAATTGGAGGAAGGCCCTAGCCTGTAAAACTTCTCTTTATCCCCAGCAAAATCTCACCTCGTCGACTCTCCTTTCTACCGTCCCAGTAACCTCTCCCTCAACCTATCCACATTTTCTTCTCTGCGATCTTCCACCCTTGTTTTCTGTTTTCTCACTCTCGATTCTCCAACAAGTTTCTGTCCTTTATCGTTCACCAAGGTTGCTGGCAGCCTACATCTAGCCTAGTGTCTCAAGATTATCGATTCCCATCTTCTACGCGGATTCAATCAATATACGATCAGTTGCTGGCAAGTCGAAAACCGACTCAACTTCAAGAGCAGATTCATCGCCTCAAAATTGCTTGCAAGCTTTTCTATCTCAAGACTATCATAACATCGATACAGCATCAAGATGGGCCGCCTCGACTTGTCTTCTCTTCTCAACACCAGCATGTACGCTGACATCCACCTTGTGTGCACTGGCAAAAAGGGGAACAAGCAGACCTTCAAGGTTCACCGTTCAATTGTCTTCTCCCAGTGCCAGAAACTCAAGGAGCTGGTTCTCGAGTCGTCAACTGTAAGTCATTTCCCGAACCTTTTAACCGCGTATCCAAAACTAACACTGAGTCTACAGCTTCGTGATGAACTCTTCGGGGTCGACGTCGTCGATTTGCCGCTGGAACCGGAGATCTTCGAAGGCGTCCTTGCCTTTTTGTATTCCGGAGAGTACCAGGTCCGATACCAGGCTGCGGGGACGCAGGCAGAAGATGGGGAGGAGGAAGTGTGGGAAAACACTCCGCACTCTCTGTTCTACTCCACCCGAATCTGCGGAATGGCCCAACAATTCGACATCATCGATCTCTTCTCAGAGTCTGCAGCCGCGCTCTGTGCCGCTGTGCGCAACGCTCTCTTTCACGTCGACTTGCCTGCCGTTCTCGATGAGCTTTATGCGACCCTAGGAACGAGCCCCTACTTCACCCTTCGCCTGGCATCAATCCCTCATATGGTGGCTCATAAAATGAAGCGGTTCAAAATCGTCAGGACGCATCTTCGCCGGGTCCTCTTCAAGCAACCCGTCTTGGCTGCTGACATTCTCGACGCAACCATGGAGGCCCTCGAAAAGTCAGAGATGAGGCTGAGGAGAGCAGCTGACAGGCTTCAGGAGATGGCACGACCTGTTGAAGCTGTACAGGATATCGAAGAAGGCGAGGCGGACCAGGCAGTTGAGCACGATGAGCAACGCCGTTCTCGCCGTCGTCGCCGGGATGATGATGATTCGGACCTGGAGCAAGAAAGAAATGTGAGGAGACGCCGGGTGATGTAGATTGGTTACGATTTGTCAAGCGGGGAACGTTGCGAAATAATGATGCTGGGCTGGCCCTGGATAATAAATAAGAAAATAATCGGAGGAAGATGGACAGCCCCGGTATCTCTTGTGAACAGGCTTAGATCTGATGGCCTCAGAAATGGCGAAGTAGACTGCCTAGATAATGCAAACTACTCTTCTATTGCTCGTTCTTGTCTTGACATCTGTTATCCCGTTTGCAGTCTTGATATTGGCTCTGATTCGTACGACTAGTAACCACTGGTTTTCTTGGCGTCATTTTTGATTATTTACAAAAAAGCAGGATCGCAAGGGCGCAGCCAGTGACCTCAACTCAACGAAGCAGGCCAAGCACGCAGGTCGCGAACGACTGTCCCATTGATGCAAGGCTAGAAGCGTGCTATTCGATTCAGCCATTTGGCCTATAGCACTTCTTGCGACGAGCCGTTGCCGCCAGCCCCAACAAGCCGAAACCTTGCAGCTATTTCCACCTCCGTATTAGCGCAACCGTTGACAGCTTGCCCCCCATCGTTTCTGCCGCCTTCTTCAACGGTCAACATCAGCCGAACGTTGTCTTGAATCAGCTTGTTCGCTAACAGGTAGCGTGCAAGCAATCAAAAAGTTCATGCGTGACGCGTTCGGACGACTTTGACAAAGGGCAACATAGACAAAGGCTTACGTCCTTTGTAAGATACCGCCACATAGAGACATGATACCAGAGCATGTGTCAAAGATAATAGCTAGAAGATTTGACTGCCATTGTTTCTGATTAGGATGCAAGTACTTAGGCTACCTTCAAACTCTATACACTTGAGCCAAGACTCGCCTTCCTCCGTGAACCATGAACCGTTTCCCCATCCACACCCCCTTCCTCGCCGTGGATAAGACTGAAAAAGTAAAAGAAGAGAGGAAAGCGGGCCTCCACAGACCAGCGAAAACGTAATTGTCTGCACTGGTTATTCCAACACGAAGACGCCCTCTGGCGGTCATCTATGCATCGCAACTCTCCATCGAAATTCTCTAATAACACAAGGCCAGAACGCCGTAAATAGGTCAGACTTGCAGTGGCTCGATTTGAGCGTCTCAACAGTCTGAATCCCTTGTTTGTCCGTCCATCGTCAATTGGGCCGCCCCCTGGAAACTCGATGCAACGCCTCGTTGCCACCTGCAAAACAGAGCCCCCTCACCAACTCCGAAAGGACATCGCTTCCTCAATAATCAGACACCGAAGAACTAAAGTGGTTGAACGCCAAGACCTAGGGCCCTGAAACAGCTCCCGCCGCGTTTCCTCGATACCCATTTAGGGGCGAGTAAGGCGTTGGAATGGGCACGGAAGAAATCTTTGGCCGTAAGGCTTGAGCTGCAGAACGTTGTTCTGCCATGAGACGCGACAACGATATTGTTGGCAGCGGACCGGCTTGCTAAACCTGTTTTCTCTGCTGCTGTTGAGGTATGACGGGTATGGGCACAGGCGTCACTTTATGGGGTATGGGAGGCGTTCCGTTTCTGCCAGCACTGCCAACGGGGCTTTGTGGCTTGGGCGTTTCGCCCGCAGCTACGCGCGCCTCGTGACCGCCTGCAATCATCTTGTTGCCAAACGCATTGCTCGTTTGCTGCGCCGCGGCCCTGAACCTGGCTTGTTCGGCCGCCATGCGCTTCCGGTCGGCTTCGTAAACAGCCATATTGTAACCCGTCATAGCATTCATGCCGGCATTTGGTGTGTGTTGCGACTGGTGGCTACCGTTCGGATACTGTTGACGGTTGATGGGCGTGCCAGGCATGTTCTGCTGAGGAGTCGACCCATAGTGCCGTTGCTGCTGGTGCGGAGTCGGAGACTGATACTGGCCGGCCGGCACCTGCGGTGACATGCGCGGTTGCATATTGTTCCCTCCGTTGGGATAGTAGCCGCCGTAATTTGGCTGCGGAGTGCTAGGCGGCTGATGGTGCTGCTGTTGGTACGGCTGCTGATAGGGTTGCTGGAAACGAGCGTTAGGCGTGCCATGCGTTGGTGTTCCAGCATATCCAGGGTACTGTGGGGGCCTCTGCTGTGATCCGTATTGAACACCCTGGTGACCATAGGGTGTTTGTGTCTTTCCGACATGCTGTGCGTAGTTGGTGTATCCGTTTGTTGGGCGATATCCACCGGGTTGGCCAGGGCGCGGCGTCTGGTGCGGAGGCATGTGGTGGGGAGTGCCACCTGGACGAGGAACTTGCTGCTGGGGCATCGGCGGCTGCTGACCGGCACGGTAGTAGTTGGTCGTTGCAACGGAAGGGGTCCGGGACGGGGTGCCGTACTGGTTCGCCCCGTATTGGCTGTAGGGGGTCGACGCGCTCGGCGTGCGATGAGGGGCGGGCCGATTTTGAGGAGCCGCAGCAGCCACACTCTGCTGTTGACGCATACGAGCTTGAGTTGCCGCATCGTCTTCCATGACACCCTTGTACTGGTCTGTTCGGACCTCGAGCTTCGTGCTGATGAGCAGTTGCTCCAACTGGTCGCCGTTGAGCTTGGCTACAGCGTAAGGGGGGAGACTGTTGACGATGAGACTCAACTGGGCCTTGAGCGTCTCGTATGTCGCAGTCTCCTCCTCCGTTGGAGTT